TTAATAAACATAACCCACTGTCAGACTTCCACCTAGTATTTAAATTTAGCAGAGCCCTATAGACAGAAGCAGCTCCAGACCTACTCTAGAAACTAAAATAATCTATATTTTAATCCTTGGAGAGAAGCTGCATTATTCTATGGGTAAACCAACCAATTGCTTGTCTTTGGAAGAATTAGAACTGTATGCAGTTCAGGAAATTCTATCCGCCATAATAATAATTCAGCTGCCCTATATGGTATTGGACCACAGATGTATCAGGTTGAAAGTTGAATGTCATATTTTCTAATTACAGAGGAAAGTGATCAACTTGGGGAAAATATCCTGGTGATACTTATCTTAAATAGGTAGTTTCATTGTGAAGGCACATCGTCAGCTTTCTCCCTTTACCTCCATGTCTCCCATGGTCCATTTTGGAAGTAAAAATAACAAAAAGCAATTTCTGCAAGTCTGCAAAATATTGAAAACCCCCTTTTTTCAATCACATAAGAAATCACATTTCTAATTGGGTTGTTGGAGGTTTTTTCGGGCTATATTGCCATGATCTGGAGGCATTTTCTCCTGACGTTTCACCTACATCTATGGCAAGCATCCTCAGAGGTAGTGAGGTCTATTGGAACTAGGGACATGGGTTTAGATATCTGTGGAATGACCAGGGTGGGACAAAGGACTCTTGTCTGTTGGAGCTAGGTGTGAATGTTTCAACTGACTACCTGTATTAGCATTTGATGGCCTGGCAGTGCCTGGGGCAATCTTTTGTTGAGAGGTGACTAGATGTGCCTGATTGTTTCCTCTCTATTGTTTTGCTGTTGTAATTTTAGATGATTTTTTAATACTGGTAGCCAGATTTTGTTCATTTTCATGGTTTCCTCCTTTCTGTTGAAATTGTCCACATGCTTGTGGATTTCAATGGCTTCTCTGTGCAGTCTGACATGGTGGTTGTTAGAGTGGTCCAGCATTTCTGTGTTCTCAGGTGAAATGTCAGGAGAAAATGCCTCTAGAACATGGACATATAGCCCGAAAAAACCTACAACAACCCAGTGATTCCGGCCATTTCTACATTTTCCCCTATTCTTTTCCAAAGGGAGTTTCTTCTACTTTGCAGTCACTAGAGGGAGCCGAAAGTATGCCTCATTTGGTCTTTTAGCAATTGGGATTTTTGTACAAATATATCTATGTTTATAATTTTTTTCGAATTCCCGTCTATTATCTACTAACACTTAGGAAGTAAAACTCTTATGATGTGGATTCAGGGTCTCCGCTGTTCACATGCATCAGGTGACAATCCATGTGGTAAGTATTTATATATATATTAAAAATTCTTTTAAATTTCTTAATTATATTTTGTTAAAGCTGCATAAACACATAAAATTGACTCTAATGTTTGTTAGATGCTCATCTAAGGAAGTTTTGTCATTGTGTTTGAGTTGCATTGGCAGAAAAAACTTTCCAATTTAACAAAGCATGGTGAAGGGAGAAAGAATCCCATACTTTGAGGAATACACACAAACACATATATGCAGTTGTTACTATTATGAAATAACATGTGCCATTGCTTTTGTTTACCCTAATCACTGAAGCATGATAGACTGTACATTCAGCCATGATAAGGATCTGGAAATCTGCTGAAGAGGGTGTTATCCCGCAGTAGGCAAGGGACAGGTGTTTCCTACTTTACTTTTCTCTCACCTGCCATTTACCTTTTTGTAAACCACTTTCCTCTCTCCACTTCTCTCCCCAACAGTGTTCTTGTCCTGTTCTTTTAAGAATTGTCTAAACCTATTCAGTATTTCAATACTTTCTCCTGCAGCATGTTTCTCAGTTAGTTGGAAAACATAATTCTTGGAGAAATTTCCCAGAATTTGAGAAATTACATTTTACGAATAACAAATAGGAATGCTAAGTTATTTAAAAAAATGTCAAATAAACGGGGGCGGGGGCACTTTAATAACAATCAAACTAAGAAAGCAACAGACTTTAGGTAAGATGAGTCTTTAGACTATTTGAAACAGGTATGGAAATATATATCCTTGATTAGTTTGTGATAGTATTTAAAGCTGTCATAAATTACAGTGTAAATGGTAGCTAACTTCAAGTGGATTGAATATAATTTACTCAAAGGGAGTTTGTGGGCAGCAAATTAATGGGCGGTCTGTGAGTTACAAACATCTGATTTACAAACTACTTATAGTTCTCAAGAGTGACTTGAAAAACTGCTAGTCACTTCTGGTGTGAGAGAATTGGCCATCTGCAAAGAAGTCGCCCACGGGACACCCAGATGTTTTACTATCCTATGGGAAGCTTCTCTCATGTCCCCCATAAAAGCTGATGCTGACAGACAGGAGCTCTCCCCACTCCTCCAATTTGAACCACCAACCTTTTGGTCAGCAATCCTGCCAGCACAAGAGTTTAACCCATTGTGCCACCAGGGGGTCCTGACTCATAATTAAGAACAGGGGAGAAAAAACAACCCCTCGGAAGGTAAATCCACTCCTGAAAGTTATTGGGGGAGGGGGTGATTTTGAAAAAAATGGCTTATTGTGGAAACAAGGATAAATTCTGATGGTAAATAAAGCACTATCAGGCCTGTCTGATAAAAATTGGCTTTTGTTGTCAGCGGATAATGCCAGGGTAGACTGGAAGTGTTTAAGACACTATGGATTATATATATATTCTCCTCTCATCACAATACAGGACTCCGCTTGGCAGGAGCTCAGTAGATTCAGTGCTGTCTTGCCATGGGTGTAACTCCACTTTAATTGTGCTAAGGCTCATAGAAGTTTACACATGGGGTTCAGTCTTGAGAGTTTCGTTCCAGGTCTGTAAGATAAATCTGAGGTTCCACAGTGGGTTCTCTTTACATTTTTGTATTATGTTGTAAGTTAATTATCATATAGTAATTAATTAATTAAATAAATAGCATTTTAGCAGTATAGGAGGCAAAGTGGTGGAATGTAATCTTTGGAAGTTCTGGCCCCATCTTTCCTTTTTCACAATTACCTTGTCCAAGTTTTAAGTTTAAGTCAGGATAGTTTTCCAGATACTGTTGGTTCATAGCTCCTATCATCCCTTATCATTGGCTATGCTGGCTAATGCTGATGACAATTATGAATAGCATCTAGAACAGTGCTTCACAACCTTTTTTTGACCAGGGACCACTCTCCAACATTAGTACCAAAAGGGTTACGAATCAGTTTTTGGTCAACTTTAGATTTGGGGTGCTTGGTTATTTGGGGTGCTGATTCAGAAAACCATATCAACTCTAGTTTCTGAAACAGAACATATGCCATCCAGTAGTCGCCATCTTCTTGCCCACAGAAAACCATATTTAATAAGCCGCGGCACTGTGGTTTCGCGAGACCAGTCGCTCTTGTTGCAATGGTGAGGCTGCGGACCATATTTCAATTCTTGCAGACGACTGGTGGTCTATGGACCACAGGCTGGGAACCACTGATCTAAAGAGAACCACATCCTCATAACAATATTTTCCCAAATATTTACCTATCTTTGTATAATTTAAAAATAATTTGTCTGTTTTTTTCTAAATGCATAACATGTAATCTTATTGTTATTCTTAATCTCCTAGTCCAGTTTTCAAACAAAATGTGGAATAAGAATCCATTTTCTTTGCACTCAGGTCCCATTGAGAAAACTGAAATAGCTCTCTTCAGAAGTCTTTTTTTTTTACTGTATTAACAATTTACTTTGACAAGATTGTTGTATGCTTTTGTAGAATTTTTTTTAAATATGACCATATTTATGTAATTCCAATTGTTACATAAGGGGGAGGATTTAGCATATAAAGTGTGAATTTGATAGTAGCAAATGATTTGCTGTTATAAAATAATTGGGAAGGAATGAACAATACATGGAGATTTGCCTATTCCAGGAAGAGGGAGGATTTTTGGCAGACTTTGGCTCTTTCAGAGGGTTCCAGAATCTCAAAGGGACTATCTTTGCAGAGAACAAAATGTTCTGAGTTTGTTATGATGACTGCATCCTTTTGGAGAGAGCTTATAACTGTTATCCACTTTTTTCTGGATGGATAAGATTATTAACGCTCATGTCTACTAAAGTAATATGTGAATGTGCCAAGTGTGGATTTGCAAAAAAAAAAAAAGTGCTGAAAGACAGGGAACCATAGATTATTTTATACTACAGTATTCAATTATGACGCAGTGGCATCCCACATTAACAGCTGTGCTTGGGTCTTATGGCATCCTAATATTTGGACAATGGTTGCGAGGGACTACAACTGTTTGGCTGTCAATTCTAAACTCCTTGCTCTGGACTGCAAATCCCAGGATTCTGCACAATGTTGACATGGCATTTAAAGTGGAATCATAGTGCTATAACTGCATATAGAGTGATATAAGCTGCATAATTAGCGATATCTCTCTGTGATGCATATTGCTGCCCTACCCAGCCAGATATGCCTCCGTACAATATTATTTGTAGTCCCTGGATTTATTTCGTGGTTTAGAAAACATAGGTGTGTTTCAGCCAAAGGTTTGTTGACTGAAATAAAGGATATTTATTTATTTATTTAACATGTTTGTATCCCGTTCTTCTCACCCCCAGAGGGGTACTTAGTGTGGCTTCACAACAGGCATTCATGGGTGTATTTATTAGTTTGCTGGGAAGCTTCCTTTGGCAACATCACAAATTTCACAGGGTTTTCTTAGACAACAAATATTGAGAGGTGGTTTTGCACAGTTCCTTCTTCTGAAATAGAGGCTAAGGAGCCTGCTATGCATTGCTGGTCTCCCATTCAATTACTAACCAGATCTAATCTATTTCCAAGATCAGATAGGATCTAGTTCTCTGTGAGCACTCAGGCCTATTGGGTCAGGAAGGCCTTTTAAAAAATACGGTAAATATTCAAAAACTTTTAACCTACTGATGCCTCAATGCAATTTTATTGGTATCTATTTTTATTTTGAAATTTACCTGTAGCTTTTGCATTTCCCACCCTAGGCTTATATTCGAGTCAATACGTTTTCCCAGTTTTTTTGTGGTAAAATTAGGTGCCTCCGCTTATATTTGGGTCGGCTTATACTCGAGTATATAGGGTAAATGCAGTCAAATATATGTGTGTGTATCTATCTAAAATGATGTATTATTCTCCCCATATAGTTCAATAAAATGAACATAATAATGAGCCAGCTGTTAATTCTGCTGTTCTTCGGACCATTTTGCTTGTCTGCACCTCGACTTTTGGTATGTACAAGATGCACATGACAATCTTCTAAGAATCCCTGTATAATTGGTTTTACTAATATGGAGGTTAAATTTGTAGAACTGTAATTACTGAAAATATAGAATGGTAGTTAATTCAAGGAATGCCACATTTCACACCTATTGGTACAGACATGTCTTGACTCCAAGTTTTTTTTTACTATGGTCCATAACAGTTTCCTTTTTAACAATTAAAAATAGGGTTGTTACTCAACAGCTTCTGTTTAAAAGCCTCCAAGGAAGGAGCTTCCACCACACTCCAAGCCAGAGAGTTCCACTGCTGAACAACTTTCAGGTGCATTTAACATGTTCCAGGTTCTCCCTTCTCCTCCCATGTTCCACCTTAATTTCTCACTGATTCCTCATCTTCCTTCAAACACCACAAACAAGAGTCCAAAATGCAAAATTAGTTAGCATTAAATCACCTTAGTAGGGAAGGGAGGAGAGTATGGGAAGGAAAATAATCTGGCCTTTGCTGGTTTGTTGTTACTGTGTGCCTTCAAGTCATTTCCAGAACCCACAGTGGCCCAATGGGTTAAACCCTCCCAGACTCCAACCACATTTAGTTGGTGGTATGGCCTTCAACTCTGCCCTATATGAAATATAAGAATACCTGCCTGTGTGTGCACATAGACACATCAGGATCCAGTACAGTCGGTTTCCCACTTCCATAGGGTTTAGATGCACAGGAAGCCCAGTGAAAGTGGAAAAGACATGAACAGGAAAAAAAACCCATCATTTCCAATCCCTGTCATTTATAGGAAGGTTACCACAGAGTTGTGCTGAAGGACCTAGAGATTTATAGAGAACTTTTCTCTCTAGGAATCTCTAGGTCAAGCATCCCCAAACTGTGGCCCTCCAGCTGTTTAGGCCCCCAGTTCCCAAAAGCCATGGCCAGCTTGTTCAGTGGTCAGGAATTCTGGGAGTTGGAGGGCTGCAGCTTGGGCACGTCACTTTGGTCAACATCCAGCAGATGGTGTTGGACCCAGATATCTGCAAACATCCAGAGTTGGGTCTATCCTTCCTGTGAATAAAGATTTTTCTTTCCACTTGTAGGAAAGGGATGAGTGTCTGTTGGAAAACAGCAAACTGCAACAGACATTGAAAACACTCCAAGATTTATCCCAGCTCTATGAACTCCAGCTGAATGACCTCCTGGGGAACAATTACCACAGACAAACAAGCAAAGTCTTCTCTGCCAGAGAGCCATCTCCACAAAACACATCTTTACCCACAACCAGTGGGGGCCTCTTAGTCTATGATCAAGGTAGATTATCCCTGCAAGTGGGACCTATTTATCTGAGGGCACTGGGAAGTATCTTGCTTTAATTTTACTTTTGTGAAATATGTTGCTTTATTTTGGACTGCACCCATTAAACAGATGCTTGCCCTGTCTCTCCTGTGGCTTTGCAATGTGATAATTTTGCTACAAGTGTCATAGTTTTATCTTGACACACTCTGGAAATCTCATAAAGTTTTTACTTATTTATGGATGTATTTACTTATTATTAAAAATTCAAATGTTGATGTAAATAAAATGAGTTGCAAAAACACTAAAGAACTTCTTTTTCAAGAGCTGTTAGTTCAATATATCAATTTTCTTCCTAATCTAATATATTTCCCAGGAGGTTAGACAAGAATGGGTAATTGTAATTCTGCAGGTATTTATTTGCTCACATTTCCCATCCGCTGTAGCCAGCAGAGCCAATGGTGAGGCACTATGGGAGACGTAGTTTTAAAATATCTGGAGTGATATAATTGCCAACTCCTGAGTTTGAGGCATAGTAGACTCTGGAGCGGATGTTGTCCACATCAGTTGCCAAATTTACTCCTCATCTCTGAGCAAATGTGACGTATCAAAGCATCTCAAGTCAGATGTGGGTTACTTATTGTATTACTTTAAATCAGGTTAAGAAATGTGTGGCCCATCAGAAGTTGTTGGTCTGCCCCACCCACCACCCTTTACCATTGGTTATGTTGCCCAGTCTGATGGGATTTGTAATCCAACAACATAGTTTGAATGTATCAGTTTAAGCTGACACAGGGGCATTTGTTGTTGGAGATAGCAACCTTCTCAAGCCTCCTCTATTTAATGTTTTGTCTGTTTATAATGTGTCATTTATTTCCTGAAGTGTATGTCTTCTTTGGTTTGCAGTTTACTTAGCTCTATGGACTTGAGGCAGTGGGAAGGGCTGCAGACCATGTGACTAGTTCAGTGACCATTTAGAATGTAGTTGATGTATGACAGTTGAGGCGTGCGTCAGTTTGAGTAGAGAAGTCAGTGTAGAAAGTTAGAAAACTGTTGAGGCTTGAGTCCCTTAGTAGTAGACTGTTACGGAAGAGAGCTGTAGAGAGCAATATAGTTTTGAAGAAACTGATAAAGACTATAAGTGAAAGATATAAGAACCGATGTAAGGGTTCCCTTTCAAAGTTACAAACTGAAATGTTTTAAAGTTTAATCTGACAAGAAATGTGCCTGTATATTTAAATACATGAAGTTGTGTGTAAAACAAACATGTTATTTTAAAAGAAGTCTACTTGAATCTTTGTCTGCTGAGAGCATCCAACAGAAGCAAGATATTTATGTGCCCAGTGATAATCCATTACCCAATAAATTAAAGGAACACTTCCGTAACTCTGCTACCCAATAGGTTATGATCCTAACAGGTCATAATCCATATCCCAATATTTGTTTTGCTTTACAGAAGTGGTGGGATCTGAATTAAGATTCCTGTGCATGAAAATTGAAAGTTTAATCCTACAGACATTGACCCAATAAGTATAAATACTAATATCGAGTGAAGGCATAAGTAGACCTGGCTTTTTCTTTGTGGATTAAGATACTATGAAAACACAATGTGCTCTAAATTATATAATACTTTTGAACTATATTGGAAAAACCACTTGACTGCAATCTAGGACTACTCGTTACTTGGATTTTTGTGAACTGTGCCTGTAAAAATACTTAAATCGTATATTTCAACTACAGAAATGGGACTACTATTATGGGGGAAATGTTCATAGTCATTTTATTTGTCTACAGCGAAATGGCCATTCCACATGATGCATCACAAAGAGCAGTACTTGTAGGCTTCTGCAACAAGAAAATAATTAGGCACTAAGAGCCATTTATTCATGTTTATTTACAATTATTAGAAAGCCTTCCCATGTTTCTGCTGAGAGTATCTTCTCCTCAGACAAACTCATCAACTCCAGTATTAATTTCACAATAATATATGAATGCAAGAGTTGTGTGATATAATTGTTTGAGTGTCGGACTATGACTCAAGAGAGAACACATGTAATAGACCACATACGTTAATAAATTGCAAAATACACAAAAGCTAACAGTCAGCAGAATCATGTAATGAAAGAGAGATATGAAATCATTTCTAGAATGGTGCCGCTTCATCAACCTGAGTTGCTGCACAGATTCAGTCTCCCTGGTACATCACCCTTCTTCTACTTTTAATGCTGTTTTGTTTAGATTGTGCAATGGTGTTCATCCGTGGAAAAACTGAAAGTGGATACTACAGAATTAGACCCAGAATGGATAAGGAACCCTTCCTTGTGTACTGTGATATGTCAGATGGTGGAGGATGGACAGTGATCCAGCGGCGGAGCAATGGCAAGGAGAATTTCTTCAGGTATACAGTTAATAATAGCTTATTTGGAATATCAGTCTCCCCTCCGCCCCCCGCTTCCATACCTGTTACATTCACCTGTATTTTTAAATTGCGATTTTTTTTCTAATCTGTGTTTTAATAACTGCTTCACTGGGGAGCTGTGTTTCCCCTTCCCAGGGTGCTTGTGCCTCGCTTTGTGCTGGTCAGTGACTGTAATAAAGTTTTGTATTGTATTGTATTCTTTTTGGAATTGATATTTTATTGGTTTGGAAACTAGGCAAGTGGGGTTTATATATCTGTGGAATGTCCAGAGTGGGAGAAAAAACTATTGCCTGTTTGGGGCAAGTTTGAATATTGCAAAAGGTCACATTGATTAGCATTGAATGGCCTTGCAGCGTCAAAGCCTGGCTGCTTCCTGTCTGCAAGAATATAAAATGAAGGCAGTAAATAAAGAGAAACACTCAAAAATAGGGAATTCCAGACAGGAAATAATCAGGGCCAGCCAACATCTCCCAACAAAGGATTTCCCAGGCAGGAAGCAGCCAGACTTTGAAGTTGCAAGGCCATTAAATACTAATTAAAGTGGCCAAATGCAACATTCACACTTGCCTCAAGCAGACAAGAGTTCTTTGTTCCACCCGGGACATTCCACAGGTATATAAACCCTGCTTGCCTAGTTTCCAACAGACCTCACAACCTCTGAGGATTTTTTTTTCATGTCAGGAGCGACTTGACAAACTTTAAGTCACTTCTGGTGTGAGAGAATTTTCCATCTGCAAGGACGTTGCCCAGGGGATGCCCGGATGTTTTACCATCCTATTGGAGACTTCTCTCATGTCCTCTCATGAGAAGCTGGAGATGACAGATGGGAACTAGCCTCATTCCCAGATTTGAACTGTCAACCTTTTGGTCAGCAGTCTTGCCAGCACAAGGGTTTAACCCAGGGGTCCTCAAACTAAGGCCCGGGGGCCAGATATGGCCCTCCATGATCATTTACCTGGCCCTTACTCAGGGTCAACCTAAGTCTGAAATGATTTGAAAGCACACAACAACAACAATCCTATCTCAATCAACCAAAAGCAGGCCCACACTTCCCACCAAAATACTAATAAGTTTATATTTGTTTAAATTGTTCTTCATTTTAATTATTGTATTGTATTTAAGTGTTTTTTGCACTACAAATATGTGCAGTGTGCATAGGAATTCATTCGTGTTTTTCAACTTATAATCCGGCCCTCCAACAGTTTAAGGGACTGTGACCTGGCCCTCTGTTTAAAAAGTTCGAGGATCCCTGGTTTAACCTATTGTGCCACCGGGGGCTCCTACCTGCCATATATGTGAGCGAAATGCCTGCCATATATGTGAGCGAAATGTCAGGAGAGAATGCTTCTGGAACATGGCCATACAGCTTGGAAAACTTACAGCAACCCAGTGATTCCAACCATTAAAGCCTTCGACAATACGGATATCTTATTTTCCTTTAGAGCAGTGGTTCTCAACCTGTGGGTCCCCAAATGTTTTGGCCTTCAACTCCCAGAAATCCTAACAGCTGGTAAACTGGCTGGGATTTCTGGGAGTTGTAGGCCAAAACACCTGGGGACCCACAGGTTAAGAACCACTGCTTTAGAGGGAGCATTTGTGCTTTTCCAGAAATGAATCAATGCATTACCACCACACACATCCCAAAATAAATTTGAATAAAATGTGCATGTGCTCAATCAACATATAAGTGAAACATTCTAGTATTTGAATAGAAATAGCAGGGAAGCTCTTTACCGGATATCCTATGTGCTTGCTTATTGTACTGTTGATGGACAACGTCTGGTCTTTATTTTCCTGTGGTGCATCTACACTGTAGAATTGCTGTCATTTAATACCACTTTAACTGTCATGGCTGAATAATATATAGAATCATAAGAATTGAAGTTTTGCAAGGACTTTAGCCTTCTTTGCCAAAAAGTATTGATACTTGATCAAACGGCAACTCCCATAATTCCGTAGCATTGAGCCGTGGCAGTTGAATTGGTGTCAAACTGCATTCATTCTACAGTATGGAAACACCCCTAGACTGGGCTGCAAAGCTTTTCTGACATAGGATTGTTATCTGATATGTTTTTAGAGGATGTCTGATACAGCATATTGCTGATGTCAAGGAGGCTAGGGTCTGATAGGGAGCACTAGTTTAAGTTCTTTAATGGAAGGAGTTCAGGATATAATATGAAAACAAGAAATCCTGCATTTTGTATCTGACCTCAGAGCACTAATAGGTGTGCATTGCCTCATTGCAGACTATGGGCAGACTACAAAGAAGGGTTTGGAGAATTCCAGAGCAAAGGTGATGAGTACTGGTTGGGTAATGATAAAATCTATGACCTACTGCTTAGAGGTAAGTACAGACATTTCCTCTAGATAGATCTCTGTGATGTTGTTCAAACAGACTAACTTCCATGTCAGTCCATGAGCATGTCAGGACTTTCTATTCCCAGTCACTTCTTCTAATTCAAAATGGGCACATTTGCAGGCTAAGCCATGTAGAATGAAGAAGAGCCCTGAAGAACTTTATTAGAACTTTACTACTGTAAGTTTTCCAGGCTGTATGGGCATGTTCCAGAAGCATTCTCTCCTGATGTTTCACCCATATCTATGTCAGGCAACCTCCGAGGATTCATGCCATAGATGTGGATGAAAATGTCAGGAGAGAATGCTTCTGGAGCATGGCCATACAGCCTGGAAAATTCAAAACAACCTAGCCAAATTTCAGCCATGAAAGCGTTTGACAACTTTCTTGGTGTTGTTTTTTCATTTGGTGCAACTGTATTGAAGACTCCAATATGATCGGAGCCATAGTTTAATTAGGGATTGGGGAGAGCATGACTCTTCTCTCTTATGCCCTTTTCCTGACTGTGGTGCAGCATGCACTCTGTTTACCTTCTGCATGCAACTTGGTTATGGCATGCTACATGGTTATGGCATGCTTTGTTTACCTTCTGCATGCACTTTGGTTATGGCATGGTCTTTCTATACTTTGATATCTCTGCGGTGTGTTCACACTTCCGTCTCCTTTTATATAAGAGAGTTTGGCGTAATCTCATTTTATATTCTAGGAGAAAACTCGCTGAAAATAGACCTGATGGACTGGCATGGGGAAAGACGATATGCAATGTATGAAGACTTCCAGCTCAAGAATGAGACGGTGTGCGACCTATCTTATAAATCCATTAGCCTGGCAGAATAACAGGTGGAGGAGAATTAATGGTGCTCTATCAGTATCCCATAGGGTTATAGTAGAGATAATATAACAGATATTTTTTTAAAGTTAAAGGCTCTCTTAGTACAGTAGCCTAAATATTCTAAGCAGTTAATTAATTCTGGATAAATAAAAAGGTGTTTATTACTGACAAAGCAAACTGTTAGAGTAACTACTTGAGAGTAGGAAATCTAACAAGTGCTCTTTTCAAAGAATAAAATACAATTAACATAAGGATGTGGAAAAATACTGAATTGAGATTTTATTTGCTATAATTATATAATGAAGGAAGTCACGGTTTCTCAACTGTAAGGTGCAAGTGGGAAACTAGTCACTTCAATGCTATGCAACTTTATGATATTGATATTTTACATTCTGGTGATTTATTACGTTACCATGAAGGAGGAACCCCTGGTAGTGCAGTGGGTTAAACTGTTGAACTTGCTGATTGAAAGGTCGCAGGTCCGAATCCGGGGAGCGGCGCGAGCTCCTGCTGTTAGCCTTAGTTTCTGCCAACCTAGCTGTTTAAAAACATGCAAATGTGAGTAGATCAATAGGTACTGCTCCGGCGGGAAGGTAACGCCGCTCCACGCAGTCATGCCAGCCACAAGACCTTGGAGGTGTCAATGGACAATGCTGGCTCTTCGGCCTAGAAATGGAGATGAGCACCAACCCCCAGAATCAGACACAACTGGACTTAATGTTAGGGGAAAACCTTTACCTTTACCTACCTGCCATGAAAGAATAATTGGATTTGGATTTTTAAAAATATAAATATGTTTTAAGGGTGAGAACCAATACGCAAATAACTATGAAGTAGGAAGGTGAAGTATGAACAAATTAAAAAAATCAAGGTTATGGCAACGAGACTGATTGATAACTGGCAAACAGAGGGAGAAAATGTGGAGGCAGTGACAGACTTTGCCAGGCTGCCCTGATATTCAGAGGAGGCAAGGTGAAAGCTTATCTCTGCCTGATTTAATGAGCTCAGTTGCATACCTGACTTTTAAGAAATGTTTCTGTCGTTTCTTTCAGGATAATTATAGAATATCCTTTGGCACCTTCTCTGGGACTGCTGGGGATGCTTTGTTTGGAGGGAGCAACTTCGATCAACAGTGGTCTGCATCACTCCATGGGATGCCCTTCTCGACTTCTGACAGGGACAATGACAGGTTTCTAATGGGCAGCTGCGCACAGGAGAGCAGGAGTGGCTGGTGGTTCAATCGGTGAGTTGATAGGTAAAGCAGCTGCTCAATAATCAGCACCACCATATTTGTGAATGCAAGTTTTTTCTTAAGTGTGTCAGAGTCAAATACAGGCTATATTGCTGATTCTGGAGAGCCAGTGTGGTATAAAAAGTAAAATTTTCTGCTAGGATGCAGAACTTGGAGATGTATTTGCTTAATGCAATGCCTCTTACTAAATATTAATTAGTGCAGAACAACAGAAATGAGCTACCAGCCAACTCCTATAAGTCCCTCCAAAGACCTCCAGTACTTTTGTTGGTCATGGGGGTTCTGTATTCCAAGTTAGTTCCAGGTCCATCATTGGTGGAGTTCAAAGTGCTCTTAGATTGCAGTGAATTATACATCCCAGTATCTGCAATTCCTATAAATCTTGGTGAATTCTCCCCAAACCTCTCTAATATGTTCAGTTGCTGACCAATTCCTCCGTTTGCTATGCACCATAGAAAAGGATAGGAAAGGGTTAAGGGAGAGACAGTGGGCAGTGTCATGCAAATTCCACACCAATGAAGAGAGTAATACACTGGGATGTCTGTGGTAGAGAAAACACATAAAATCTAGGATGAAATGGTCCCCGTATGAAAGTCTTCACTTGGGTGGTGATCAGTATGGTGTTTGTGGAGGACATTGGCAGGGCTCTTGGACATGTTCATGGCACTCACTCTAACCTGCAGTGTCATTGGAGGGAGGGCCAGTGGTGTCTCATGAGTAGTGAGAGCTATAGCTGTTTGTGGAGGCAGAAGGCTGTTTGTGTAAGTGGACACCCCAGCCACACACACATATACATATTTTCACTTTTATTATGTGTATAGATTGTGCATGGCTGTGTTTTAACTTGTTTATCATCAGGTTTTTAGCTTTGTTGTAAGTCACTTTGAATCTTGTGTCAGGAGAAAGGAGAGATATAAATATAGGGGGAAAGAAACCAAAAAGGAAAATACCAGATTATGTGTGTAAGCAATTCCTTTACCATTGATTAATGTTTGCTTTCTATTTTTATTTGTTTTTCCTCTACAAGATGCCATGCAGCAAATCTCAATGGATTATATTATAAGAAAGGGAAATACACAGCTTCTTCTGACAACGGAGTGGTTTGGTCCACATGGCGAGGGCTGTGGTATTCCCTGAAATATACAGCCATGAAAATAAGGATCCCTTCTTTTGTGGATGGAGAGAGTGGAGATGGTGAAGCCAATTGAGATAGTTCATCCATGCATCCTGGAAAAAAGACAAGTGTCATGCCAAGAAAGGAAGGAAGGAAGGAAGGAAGGAAGGAAGGAAGGAAGGAAGGAAGGAAGGAAGGAAGGAAGGAAGTGAAGAAAGGGAAGAGCATTTGAAGGATTGCATTCCTTTGTCAGATAGAATCAACTTAGTTGTATGTTGCAGTATGCAAGCTGCAGCAGTTGCTTCAAAATGCACACAGCAAACACTAAGGCACATATGCCACACCCTCCTTTTCTTTGCTTTTCCCATTACCATTTGATTCCTGACAATGGAAATGAGCTTCCCTGTTCCATGCACATAACTGCCCAGGAGACACTTCTTCCTTGGGATCGTTGTGAAGCAGAGCCACTAATCAGCCTCGTCTGGGAAGGCAACCTTCACTCTAGACCAGGAATGAGCAGTGGCAACACTCCAGATGTTTTGTCTGATAACTCCTGTATCAGTTCTATCTGGCACTGCTAATAGTGACAGATGAAAACATCTGGAAAGCTATAATTGCTCAAGCTTGCTCTAGGCACAGGGCACAGTGCCAGCTTGTGAGTTTCATTTTCTGTAAACAACAAAACTAATAGGCTCATGAGAACTCCAGATAGGAAATAGGTCAATACGATTCCCCTAATTTAGAATTTCTACAATATTCCCAACATTAATTTGTTTTGCTAAAAACAAAAAGAAATGTGTTGAAAATGTTTTAAGGGAAGGATGAACTCCAGGTCTTGTTCAGAACCCTGCTAGACCATTTCCAGCAAGTTTTCCAAAATAACAAAGTTGTCATGTTTCAAGGAAAACCCTCCTCAACAGTTCAGCTATCACAAGGATGAGAACTGTGTGGCTCTCCAGATGCTGGACTGTGATTCCCAGCCAGCCTAGCCTACATTGCTAATGAAGAGGAGATGTATTTCAGTTTCATCCGGATGGCTGCATGAGCCCTACCCAGAAATGTGATGATTCTATATCTGAGTCCTTCTCTTCATGTGCCTTTTGGTTTATGTTGTATTTTCTCAAACAGAAAGAAAGAAAAAGTGGGAAGTCTCCTCCAATGGATGCCTAATAAAGCAGAAGCTATGCATTTTTGCAGAAGATTTCAAAAATTTGTATTCTATGTAAACGAGAACATTTGTTTACATTTGAAACCACAATATTTAAAATAATTTTTTTAACAAAAGCCGATGAGTCCAGTATGGGTGGAATAAATGCTGGATGTTCTCCTTGGCCCCTTCCACACAGCTGAATAAAATCCCACAGTATCTGCTTTGAACTGGGATATATGGCAGTGTAGACTCAGATAACTCAGTTCAAAGCAGATGTTATGTGTTATTCAGCCTTGATATTCTGTGTGGAAGGCCCCTAGCCTTCTACCAAAAAATGAAGAGTGATACTGATTTTGAATTCATGTAAAAACGATAAAGTGTGCCTCATCATAATCCATGCTAAATGAAACAGCATAAAGATGTTATCACAGGAAAATCATGATTACACATAGTAAATACAAAACAGTGTAAGGTTCTTTTATTTTTCATAATTATCTACAATTTGTATATCAGAAAGTACTAACTTTTGTTTAGAGTATATTTTTATTCAGAGTTTCAGAGGTGGAAAATACCTAATACTATCTAGCCATTAGTTAAGGGAAAAAGAATTTCAAAGGGTTAAACCACAAAAGGGGAATGTGGTACTGCTACTGAACTACTAGTAGTGAGCCAGCAGAGGGCAATGGTCTGAGTACTGGACTACGAGTTTGGGAGACCAGGGTTCAAATCCCCATTCGGCTATGGGAATTTAAATGTAACGTAGAGTTTTGCTTATCCAACATAAACTGGCCAGCAGACATTGGATAAGTGAAAATGTTGGATAATAAGGAGGGATTATGGAAAAGTCTATTATTAAACGTCAAATTACATTATGATTTTACAAATTAAGCACCAAAACATTGTTTTACAACAAATTGACAGAAAAAGCAATTCAATACACAGTAATGTTATGTAGTAATTACTGTATTTACAAATTTAGCACCAAAACATTGCAATGTATTGAAACAGCTGTGGATCCAGGTAGGAGGCAGACTGCGTTGGATAATACCAAATGCTGGATGAGCAATGGTTGGATAAGCAAGACTCTACTGTATGACTAATACCAGGGGTATCTCACACTCTCAGCCTAAAGCAGTGGTTCTCAACCTGTGGGTCCCTGGGTGTTTTGGCCTACAGTTCCCAGAAATCCCAGCCAGCTTACCAGCTCTTAGGATTTCTGGGAGTTGAAGCCCAAAACATCTGGGGACCCACAGGTTGAGAACCACTGGCCTAAAGGGAAGGGAAAGCAAACCTCCTTTGGACAAATCTGTATAAGAGTGTTTCCGCAGAGTCAACTTGAAAGTACTGTATATACCATCCACTGGACAAGTAGCTTCTTAAGGTATGAAAAGGGTTTATTTCTTTGTAGGCAGAAGTAGGGAATATGTGGCCCTCAAGCAAGGATGGGCTACACTTCCCATCATCTATAACCTGTACAGCCAGTGCTGATAGGAATTGCCATCCTACAACACCTGGAAGGCGACATGTCCCCCAGCCTTACTGTAGGAGAAATTCTCATCTTTATGAGCAGGGGAAACTTTGGACCCCTCCCAGGATAACTCTGATAATGGGTTGTAGTCCAAAACATCTGGAAACCACATATTCTCCACCCATATTTTTCATGGTAAAACTGAAGGGCTAATTCCTAACTGTTTGACTTTTCAGGAAGCTCAGAATCAAATTCCTAAAAATAAAAGTCAATCTGTGAAAATTTCTGATACACTATCTTATTTTTTTTGTGGTATGTCTTCAAGTCATTTCTGACCTATTGCAACTCTGTCACAGGGTTTTCTTGATAAGATTAGTTCAGTAGAGATGTGCTATTGCCTTCCTCTGAGGCTGAGAAAGTGTGACTTGCCTAAGGTCACCCACTGGACTTCTATGGCTGAGAAGGATTCAAACCCTAGTCTCCAGACTCAACAGTCCAACGCTCAAACTGCTATACTACACTGTCTCATTTAGCAACTGTTTATTTCCATATAATCTGATTACTCCTCCCTAACAAAGTAGTTGGCATTGAAATGTGACATTCAGCAACACTTTGGCCACCTATCTCTTTAAGATGGTGAAAATTGATTCCTTTTTTTAAAAAGGGAGAAATCTAAAGATCACATTTACCATGTTTGGATTCAGTCCACAGGATCACTCGCAATAAGATCATGAGACCCTCAGATCACTAGATTCTCAATACTTAAAGTACTTATTTCACCTTCTTCGCTTGAGCCAAAGTATCCAGGCAGGTCCATCTTTGGCTGTCCTGATTCCATCAGCCCAAAAGTAGTGTTGTCATAGAAGCTGTACTTGGGACCGGAGGGGAAGCTTTGGCACTTGCTCCTTCTGCAATGGGTGGGGCTCAGAGCACCTCCTCTCAGGGGGCAATCCTTAGGAGCCAGCCTGGCAGGTTCTCTCTCCCACGTGTTGCTGTGGTTTAGAAAAGGGCTGCTCTTGTTTCTCTTCCATTCTGGTCTATCAGCTCCATGTGGCACCTGGAACATAAGCTGGCGACTGCTGACAGGACCTGGTTTCTCCCCGGGAGGTTCCCACTTGTGGGGTTTCTGTGCCCCGCGCATCATCTCTTCAGACATTACATGGGTACTACGGTACAGTTCAAGTTCGATGAGGTTCTGATTGACAGCTTTGGATTTAGGCTTATGTTCTTCTGGAACACAATCCCACATTCGAGTTCTGCAGTGGTAAAGTGGAGTCTGGGTTGGCGTAAGGGTGGACATGCTCCTTTTTCGGAATGGCTTGGCCTTCCTAGTTTCATGAAAACTAGCTGTTCTCCTGAACTGTGCATTTCTTGAGTAGCTTCTCTCCCATGACTCCCCTTGGCTGTCCAGATATTTGGGGACACCTCTTCTAATTAGGGACTGACAAGGGCTCCAGATGGGCTCAGTTGCTGATGGTGTAAAATCCACATTGGAGTAGGGTCTGTTGGTGGAGAATTTAGGACAACCGGATGGTTGCTCCAAAAAAGGAGACTTGATCCTAAACTTGTTTGCAGCTGCAGCCTCCTGGTTTTCTGAGCTCACCGTGTCCGTCAAAGGATTCTGAGAAACATGGTAGACTTTTGTTGTTTCTGTGAGGCCCTTCTTCTTCATTTCCTTGAGCTGCTGTTGTGCAAGGCGGTAGCTGAAAATGGGGGGAATAATTTTATGGGCATTGGACTGAAAACTTTCGTTCACAGAAGATCCGCTTCCTCCATCTTGAGCGACATGAAGGCTTCTCCTGAGATTCAAGGGTACATCAGGAGCCCCTCCAAGGGATGAACAAGGGGCTTCGGCCTCAGAAAAGCTGTCTCGCAGCTGTCTTTCCTGGCAGATTGTCTCTTCATCTGAGTTCTTCCGAAAGCCAGCAGAGTTAGAAGAGTCGCAGTGCATGGGAGTGCTGCACTTCTGGGTCCTGCAAAGCTTCCTCCATAAGGTGATTAGGATAGTTGCAAAGATGACGGATAAACACACTGATATGCCAGTGACCGTGACCAAATTGTTGGCAGTTCTCTGGCCTTTAGGATGCCAGGGTGTGATGGGAGCAGATAGAGTGGCTGAAACAAAGAGTGAATTTATTGGTGAGCTGTTGTGATATACAAACTATTTCTTTTAAAAAAATAACACCTGTTGTTTTAACTTAGGGCATTAAATGGAACATCAACTCAAACAGACCAATATTTCTGGAAGCTGTTTAGTAGACTATGCAAAAGACAGGCCAAAACTACCACTAGGATACATGATGTGTTTTTGCAGGACTCAAACAGTAGAGCACCCTGTTCTGTGGGCATTATCAAGCACAGAGACATCCACTTGCAGCCTATAATGGATAGTTATGCATCATCAAAATAGAAGAATGTTACCAAAAGGAAATACGCCACTGCATAATGTTTGCATGTATCAATTTATACCTGTTTTTGCAGACTCGGAAATTATTGCCATAGTTTAAATAGAAATGCAGTATGTCTCCCTATATGGAGAAAGAATGTAAACAGGTGACTTCTTGTGCCTGCTTGATCTAATGTTATCAAGGCAACGTAACCATCCTAGCTTGTTCTCCTTTCTGTGTCTTCAACTGGACATCCTTAGCACCTGAAGAAGTTAAAAATTCAGGGGTGGGAGGAACCAAATAATTTAAACCTAACGTGAACCGAAGCCCATTCTTGGTTTGTAACAGTGGTTCTCAGCCTGAGGGTCCCCAGATGTTTTGGTCTTCAACTCCCAGAAATCGTAATAATTGGTAAACTGGCTGGGATTTCTGGGAGTTGTAGGCCACTGGTTTGGTGAGACTGGTGCATGTATTACAAAGCAAAATCACAGTTCCTCGAGGGGGGAACTTTTCTGCTGCAAATGTTTGGGAGGGGAAGCAAGGCAATCAGAAGGGCAGAGTGGCCTTGGGGAACCTCATATAGCCCACTTGCCACATTATATCCATCCCTGGTCTCTTAAGGAGAGAGATGCAACAGCAATCATACTGCTCAAGTGCACTACAGACATTTGATGCCGAAAACATTATTGGATATGGGTCCTCTTTCTTCACATTTTTCTGCCCAGATGTTTCATACCAACATCCAATCCCCATACAATATGCAATAAGGCAGAATTCACAGAGTAGCACACGAAAAGGAGAGGGACAAAATCAAAGCAAACGCAAATGACTTCCTAACATCAGGCTTACATACTAGAGCACTCTTCCAATGAGCATGGAGACATTTCCTGCTGTTTCCCCACACAGGAGGGCTTATTCGTTGCGACTGATGCTAAACACTCTCGGGTGCGTTCACGGACGCCATTCCCACAAGTCACACTACATGGGCTCCAGGCCTGCCAAAGACTCCAGGACACTGTGGGTAGATTTTTTTAAAAGTTACTACTAATAATAATAATAATAATAACTTTATTTTTATACCCCACCTCCATCTCCCCAAAGGGACACAGGGCAGCTTAAAAAGGGACAAACCCAGAGAGCACAGAGTTAAAACATAATGCAACAAAAGAAAACAAAATAAAAACGTATCATAACAAAACATAACATCATAGAAAACAGTATCATTGAGAGCAATAAAAGTGTTGAGTTCAGAGGGCTCTGGGTTTGTGCAAAATTCCTAGATAAAGCTAAGGGGAAAGTGCAAAATTCAGTGGGAGGGATGGGAGAGTAAAGTCCTTGGGCATTAAAATGTCAGGATTTTAGAGCGGAGGGCCATGCTAAAGTGCCAGAACTTAGGTATTATAAGGCCAATTCTTTGGAACCGCCTAGTCAAAGGCACAGCAGAACATGCATGTTTTTAGGTTCTTGCAGAAGGGGGATAGGGTAGGTGAAAAACATATTATAAGGAGAGGAAAGCTATGCTAACCATGGAAAGGGATAAAAAAGTTAAAGATTTCCCCTTGACATTAAGTCTAGTTGAGTCTGACTCTGGGGGGTGGTGCTCATCTTCAGTTCTAAACGGAAGAGCCGGCGTTGTCTGTAGACGCCTCCAAGATCATGTTGCTGGCATGACTGCATGGAGCACTGCTACCTTCCCGCCGAAGTGGTACCTACTGATCTACTCACATGTGCATGTTTCAAACTGCTAGGTTGGCAGAAGCTGAGTCTAACAACAGGAGATTTCCCCTTTAATATATTAGAGATTTGTTTCCCCACTCGGTCAAATGTTGGTTCTTGACTGAGCATGATGATTGCCCAGCTAAGGACAGTGGAAGAGCTCCAGATAATGATGGGCCTCCAGATAATATTGGACTACATTGTCTACCCTTCTATTCTGGCCTGGTTAGGCCACACCTGGAATACTGTGTCCAGTTCTGGGTACTGCAATTGAAGGGAGACATTGACAAGCTGGAATGTGTCCAGAGGAGGGCGACTAAAATGATCAGGGGTCTGGAGAATGGGCCCCATGAGGAGTGGCTTAAAGAGCTGGGCATGTTTAGCCTGCAGAAGAAAAGGCTGAGAGGTGACATGACTTTTTTTTTTGTCATGTCAGGAGTGACCTGAGAAACTCCAAGTCACTTCTGGTGTGAGAGAATTGGCCGTCTGCAAGGACGTTGCCCAGGGCACGCCCGGATGATTTTTGGATGTTTTATCATCCTTGTGGGAGGCTTCTCTCATGTCCCCGCATGAGGAGCTGGAGCTGACAGAGGGAGCTCATCCGTACTCTCCCCGGATTCAAACCTGCGACCTGTTGGTCTTCAGTCCTGCCGGCACAGGGGTTTAACCCACTGCGCCACGGGGGGCTCCTAGGTGACATGAGGAGGGTCATATATAAATATGTGAGGGGAAGTCATAGGGAGGAGGGAACAAGCTTATTTTCTGCTGCCCTGGAGATGAGGATGTGGAGCAATGCCTTCAAACTATAGGAAAGGAGATTCCACCTGAACACTAGGAAGAACTTCCTAACTATGAGAGCTGTTCAACAGTGGAATTCTCTGCCTCAGAGTGTGGTGGAGGCTCCTTCTTTGGAAGCTTTTAAGCAGAGGCTGGATGGCCATCTGTCTGGGGTGCTTTGAATGTGATTTTCCTGCTTCTTGGCAGGAAGTTGGACTGAATGGCCCATGATGTCTCTTCCAACTCTATGATTCTATCTATAATCCTTTATCACCGGCTCCGCTGACTAAGGCTGGCATGATCTGCTGTTCAACATGTTTCCCATCTCCATCTCATAGGGAAACTACCACAGTGAAGACATACGTATGATACAAAATTGAGCAGACATCAAAAATTGTCAAGAGTTCCAAATGAAGCAGTTTTGAAAGGTAATACCAACCAACACTCCTATGGATTAGCCTGCATTCTTTTGCTCTCGGTTGGGAATCGACTTGGTTCAGCTGCCAGAATTCGAAACAGTATTTGTGTGTGCCTTTGTCGAACAGCGTGCAGTTGAAGTCTACCTGGTTGTCCTTTGGGTTCATGATGCTTTCATGCAGCTTTTGTGCCCTTTGCCCAAACGGCCCGAGGTGATATTTGAACACAGTAATGCGCCCGCTGGAAGAAATGCATGGAGGAGGAATCACAGAAACCGTGACTGAAGTCTCACATGTTTCTTCTGCTGATGCCACAACCAACTTGTAGCCAAATCTGTGCAAAAGATCTACGGGTTCTGCTGAAGCAATGACTGAATTGGTCTCCGGCAATTTCAGTAAAACTGCAACATACGCTTCTTGGGCAACCAAAAGACAGTCAAATTTGACCCACTGGGATCTAAACAAAGAAAGTTTTCTGCGAGTTCTCAATCCCACAGTCTCATTCAAGATCAGAGTCCCTAATTTTTGTAAGCTGCTAGTCAGTATGACATCTAGCGACAGAACAGTATTATTCAATGGGCATAAATATTCGTTGGTAAATAGCTGGAGCTGAAGGGAACCCCTATGTCCTTCTGAAGTCCTCCTCAAATCAAAGTGAAATACAGGCCATATCACACTCAGCGAGATAGTTTTGTTGCTCCATTGAGACTCAGTACCATTGATGATTTCAGAAGCCATTTTGAGCCAATACTTCCCAGCGCTCCGGAAATGGAAACACTCAAAGACAACAATATCTTGGTACTGGCTATGAGGAAGCGGTTTCTCTGCAACCGTTTGGTTGGTGCTTGCATCTATGAGCAGGATGGAGGTATTTCTCAGTGTCACATTCCCACTGTCATGACTCTGGAAGCCCACCGACACGGTGCCATTGCTCAAAGCCACATGAGTGGGTTGCTCCAAAAGAAGGTATTCCACAGCTCCGAGGACTGAAAATGAGTTTGAAAAAAACATTAGTGAGGAGACATAGATATAGATACACACACACACACACATATATATTTGCGGGCAGAGGAGGAGAAAAGGATGGAAGAGACAAGAGATTTTTCAGGGCAGAAAACAGATCCAATCTGATGTGTAGCCACAAAGGCAAGAGTAAGAATTATGGTATGTTCCTCCATGAAATTTTCCTTCAGTCCTCAAATTTCTAACACTGCAGACAGTTAGGCGCAGAAAGCCATTCACAACTAGAACTCTTATATTTGCTATACCCTTAATTATTATTTTGTGTGTGTCAGGAGTGTCTTGAGAAACACCAAGTCGCTTCTAGTGTGAAAGAACTGGTTGTCTGCAAGGATGTTGCCCAGATGTTTTACCATCCTATGGGAGGCTTCTCTCACATCCCTGCATGGGAAGCTGGAGCTGACAGATGGGAACTCACCCCATCTCACAAATTCAAACCATCAAGTTTCAGGTCAGCAGTTCAGCCGGCACAAGGATTTAACCCATTGTGCCACCACGGCTCCATCTCACGATCCCCTTGATAACTTTGCCCCTTTTGTGTGGATGCCTACAATATATACTTGTGTAAAGATAGACCTGGATTTTCCTTTGTCCTGTGGCTAAGTCAAGGGTAAACCTTTGAGCCATGTATAAATAAATTCCTTTTCTCTTCATTCCAGCCAGTATTAATCATGAATTTTAAACTCACTATATTATCATATTTGTTCTGTGTGTTTTAATATATGTACTTTATAGAAATATGTTTTAATATGTGTATTTTATATAATGACTGTGTGTTTTTAGCTATGTTGTAACCCGCCTCGAGCCATAAAATGCATAGACGAAACATATTTAGAAATCCTAAGGAGATAAACTGTTTATTTGAGGGTTGCAATGGGAGGGAGGTCTACAAATAGACAAATACAAATATGGGAAAATGAATATAAATGTGCAGCTTCAAAGCCTGGCTGCTTCCTGCCTGGTGGGGAGGTGTTAGCTGGCCCTGATTGTTTCCTGTCTAATCACCCTGGCCAATTGCAACAATCACACCTGCCTCCAACAAACAAGAGTTCTTTCTCCCACCCTGGACCTTTCATAGATATATAAACCTCAGTTGCCTAGTTTCCAACAGACCTCACAACCTCTGAGGATGCCTGCCATAGATGTGGGTGAAACATCAGAAGAGAATGCTTCTTGAACATGGCCATACAGCCCACGAAACTCAGAGCAACCCAGTGATTCCAGCCATGAAAACCTTCGACAAGACTACCTTTCTATTCTCTGGCTTGGCAAGAGATGGGTAACGGAGTGGGAGAGCTTCTTGACTGTGCCTCTTGTCATTCCCTGTGACATGGGTCCCTATAGACACCAGTATATGTTGACCCAGGTCTGCAGAGGTTATTTTTTTGCCATTTTTACTTCAATGTCGTAATGTTTTGGTATATGCTGGACACTGAATATTTGCCTTTGTCTGTGTAAACTGATGGATGGATGGTATGCTTGAAGTGACTGGCTTGACCTTGAAGGAGCTGGGGGTGGTGACGGCTGACAGGGAGCTCTGGCGTGGGCTGGTCCCTGAGGTCATGAAGAGTCGGAAGTGACTGAACGAATGAACAACAACATGTAAACTGCCCAGGGGAGATAGAGTGGTCTAAAAATAGATGATGATGATGATGATGATGATGATGATTTGTATATTTTATTTCTAAATTATCAGCGTAAGTTACTGCAGTGGAGCCCCCGGTAGTGCAGTGGGTTAAACCGCTGAGTTTTGAACTTGCTAAGTGAAAGGTTGCAGGTTTGAATCTGGGGAGCGGAGTGAGCTCCCGCTGTCAGCCCCAGCTTCTGCCAACCTAGCAGTTCGAAAACATGCAAATATGAGTAGATCAATAGTTACCGCTCCGGCGGGAAGGTAACGGCACTCCATGCAGTCATTCCGGCCACATGACCTTGGAGGTGTCTACAGACAACGCCGGCTCTTTGGCTTAGAAATGGAGATGAGCATCAACCCCTAGAGTTGGACACGACTGGACTTAATGTCAGGGGAAAACCTTTACCTTTATCCAAGTTACTGCAATGCTAGAAATCAGGAGATTGGAGGAAATTTTCATTTCAGGGTTAGAATTCATACTTGAACGGCCAGCCACTTTTGCTTTTGAGCAGAAAGGGGCAAATATGGCAAGCCTAGGGGCTAATTCTGCGGCCACACAGACCGCCAACATGCCAAAAACTGAAGAAGCAAAAAAAGAACAAAAACAACTTTGAAAGAAGACAAAGATTGTTTTGAATCACGAACACACACAAGAATGCCCCTTAGCAATTACAAAGACAAGGCCATTGAGAAAGATGAAAAGGCTTGTGGTAGGGAAGCCTGCTCTTGTAATAATGCTCCCAATGTCTGTGGATGATGCATTGCCCCCTTCTGATCCAGCAGCAAAGACAGCACCAACTACAAAGCCCCAGAAACTATTGTGGGGCTGGCTTCGACACTGTATAAATCACTCTTCAGAGTGACCCACTAATGCTCCAGTTTCACTGAATATTCGTTAAGAGAAAATGCAAAGAAAAGTGGGTGCTGTGGGTGGGTAGGAGAGTTTGCTACTGTTTGAAGTAGCTGTCTAAAAAATGCCACCCAAGTTGAACAAACAAGATAAATATACCATGATGCTCTTTGATGGCTCCTTTCATGGCAGGTCTTATGAATATATTCATTGAGCATGTCTATCATAGAAAGGCAGCGGGAAGGGGAAAACAAGGGGGGGATAAAGACGACAACAGCTGGAACATAAAGATTCAGCTCTCAGACCCCCTTACCGCTGGTGGCCCCTCCACACAAGAAGAAAGGACCCTCCAAAGATATCCCCTGCAGTGTCCCACTGAGATTTGTTCTCCCCTCTAGGATTCAGGAAGGAAACTCCAAGCTTTTGTAGCTGACTGGGAGTAGGTATTTGTTTCCCTAAGCCACATATTCTTTTGTTTGTGGGTGAATAGGAACAGAGGACGAGGAATGGATACTGGTTCATATATTGATGCTGTCGAGATCAGTGGTTCTCAACCTGTGGGTGGGTCCCCAGATGTTTTGGCCTTCAACTCCCAGAAACCCAAACAGCTGGGTTTTGTCAAAGGCTTTCATGGCTGTTATCACTGGGTTGTTATAAGTTTTTCGGGCTGTATGGCCATGTTCTAGAAGCATTCTCTCCTGACGTTTTGCCTCCATCTATGGCAGGCATCCTCAGAGGTTGTGAGGTCTGTTGGAAACTATGAAAATGGGGTTTATATATCCAGGGTGGGAGAAAGAACTCTCGTCTGTTGAAGCTAGGTGTGACCGCACTGGGAAGCTGATGAAGAAATACAACCTACAAACTATCTACAGACCCAAAAGAAAATCCAACAAATGCTGCATTCAGCAAAGGACAAAAGGGATCCTCCCACCTTCAAGTTCAAGCCAGTCACTTCAAGGATACCATCCATCCATGTTGCCCTTGGTAGGACCCTCTTCCTTTTTCCTTCTATTTTCCCCAGCATCATTGTCTTCTCTAGGCTTTCCTTTCTTCTCATGATGTGGCCAAAGTACTTCATCTTTACCTCTAATATCCTTCCCTCCAGGGAACAGTCGGGCTTTATTTCCTGAAGTTTGGACTGGTTGGATCTTCTCGCGGTCCAAGGCACTCCCAGAACTTAGAGAATGAGAAGTCCTTTATTTCTTATTACCAGTATACATGTGCAGCTGGGAGATATGGCTTCCCAGTACAGTAGAGTCTCACTTATCCAACATAAACAGGCCAGCAGAATGTTGGATAAAAGAAAATGTTGGATAATAAGGAGAGTTTAAGGAAAAGCCTATTAAACGGGGAGGGGCACAACACAGCCGGTGCAGGCTGGATGCTATTCCCAATGGGAAAAGTCAGTGCTGGCCACATCTCGCCCTTCCCGGCGCACATCTGGAGTGCAAAGAGGCCCACTCTGCATTGCTGCCTAGAGAAACAGCTGTGGATCCGGGCGGGAGACAGACTGCATTGGCTAATACAGAACGTTGGATGAGCAAAGGTTGAATAAGCGAGACTCTACTAGACTAGCAAAGAGTTCACTACCAATTGTCTTAATGAACTACTTTTGTTACACTATATCATTAAACATTAAACAGAGACTCAATTTGGTCACCTTAGTTATCAGGTTTTGGTTCAAGCTCCATTGAGGAACACATCAAGTCATCAGCTAATACCTACACATTTCAAGACAGCCTCATGAGATATCTCCATCTACTTCTACCACATACTCACCGTAATCACAGAGTACAACTAGCAAGAGATTTGAAAAATCTCTCAATGTTTGTTTCATTCTGATCAGAAGGGCTCCCAATTCCTTCTATTCCTCATTTCCCATGCCAAGTCCAAAGGCACTCTATTATTTCAGGAAATCCTAGAAATGAAATAAAACAAAGACATCTCTGAACTCTTTTTAAAAAAAATCTATCTCACAATCAAGAAGCACTAACTTAAAATTTGTTCTAACAAATGTTTTTCTCTCCTTTACTGGATAATATTCATTAGCTATGTGTGTCTTCAAGTACAAAAAGTATTCAAGAGGGGATGTGTCATTACCTTCCTATAATGCTGAGAGAGTGGGTTTCCATGGCTGAACAGGGAGAACTCTGGCCACCCTGGATCCAGTCCAGGACTCAAACCAATACATTGTGTGTGTGTGTGTGTGTGTGTATATGTATGTATGTATGTATGTGTGTGTGTGTGTGTGTGTGTGTGTGTGTGTGTGTGTGTGTGTATATATATATATATATATATATATATATATATATATATATATGAAACACAATGAGTTATATATATATACTAGCTGTCCCCTGCCACGCGTTGCTGTGGCCCAGTCTGTTGATCTGGAAAATAAAGTAATGAGAAAGTGTTGATTTCTAATATATGTAATTTCCTTATGCTTGTGGGTAAACAGTATTTCTTGCTGTTTCTTTGTAAGTGTTGATGTGGAGAGTGTCTGGTTTGCCCACCCTGTAACATGCAACATATCATTGTCCTTCTTTAAGGGTCCCTTTCAAATCTATGATACTATATCTGTGAGTGTGTGAATCATATCTGTCTATCTATATCTATGGCTGGATGGCTCTTTGTTAGGAGACTTTGATTACGTTTTGTTACCCGGATGACGGGAGTTGGATTGGATGGCCTTAAGTATTTTCTGTTGGTCATGGGGGTTCTGTGTGGGAAGTTTGCCCCAATTCTGTCATTCGTGAGGTTCAGAATGCTCTTTGATTGTAGGTGAACTGTGAATCCCAGTGACTACAACTCCCAAATGTCAAGGTCTATTTTCCCCAAACTCTATCTGTGTTCATATTTGGGTGTATTGAGTGCTTGTGCCAAGTTTGGTCCAGATCCATCATTATTTGAGTCCACAGTGCTCTCTGGATGTAGGTGAACTATAACTCCCAAACTCAAGTTCAATGCCCACCAAACCCTTCTAGTGGTTTCTGTTAGTCATGGGAGTCCTGTGTGCCAAGTTTGGTTCAATTCCATCGTTGATGGAGTTCAGAATGCTCTTTGATTGTAGGTGAACTATAAATCCCAGCAACTACAACTCCCAAATGACAAAATCAATTTTTTTGAGTGGAGGACATACATTGGACTGTTAGGTGTCCAAATTTGGTGTCAATTCCCCCATTGGTTTTTGAGTTCTGATGGTATCACAAACGAACATTACATTTTTATTTGTGTGTGTGTGTATATATATAAACACAACAAGATGAGTCCACAGTAGACAAGCTCACTCTGCTGGTTCTCTAGGACTGTGTGATGTATCGGCGAATAATACGTGCAGATCCCAGGAAGGTGGCCTTCTGCAGCTGGCAGAGGATAATCTTGTCAGTGCCGATTGTGTTTAAGTGCAGGCCAAGGTCTTTAGGCACTGCACCCAGTGTGCCGATCACCACTGGGACCACCTTTACTGGTATAATAATAATAATAATAATAATAATAATAATAATCTTCAAATGTTAAAATGATGCAAGGAACTGAGAGGAGGGACTGACAAGAGGGAATAACTGGTTTGAACTGATTATTTAGAATTAGTTTTAGAGTGTGTAGTTCTGTAGGACATGCGTATGACAACAGCACATATGCTTATTACAGTTATTTAGTTTCTGGAAAACAGAATAAAATCCCACCCAGGAGCACATGGAAATGAGTCTATTATGGATTTTCTAGTTTTTCTGGCAGAATGGAAACTACTGGTGGAAAGATTCACCCTCCTGACTGCAGCTCTCCAAATCTATTCCTGGAAGGCGATCTGTCGGGGGTGCTTTGAATGCAATTTTCCTGCTTCTTGGCAGGGGGTTGGACTGGATGGCCCATGAGGTCTCTTCCAACGCTAGGATTATATGATCCTGAAGGTTGGGGACCCTCCAAAGATCTGTAAGGATGGGGAGAGGATGACAATAGGTGTCGCCCACCAATCGGATGCAGTGGGACTTGCTGATAAGCAAGTATGCATCCTACTGCCACATCACTCCCTGCTTTCTAACAATAGACTGCCCACATCGTCCTAAAATAATTTCCGATAATAGGAGTGTAATGTTGCACCATGAATTTAATACCACATTGGGTGATGTGGGGCTGATGTTGAGCTTTTTGGCTCACTGTGTTCTGGAACAGGAAGCTTTTGTTCAAGATATGAGAAATACACACAGAGACAACTCTCTCCTTGCATTGAACCATGTGCGTGAAAATAATTTTGTTACAGAACATTATCTGTGAGAGTTACAGGAAAGTGCTAGAGAAATGTGACAGTTGTATTTTTAGTATACTGTCAGGAATGCAGAGGCAATCGTTTCAGCAGGGAACAAAGAAACAATGCACTGATCTTGGAGTGACTAAATAGGCCACAATCCTAAGAAAAATGATTTTTTTTTCTTGCGCTGCTACTAGTATAAACTTCCAGAAGTCAACAGGGGCTTCCAGAGGAAGTGTGGCCTATTCATTGTCTCAAAAGGGAAGTACGCAACAGAGAAGAAAGGAAAACAAGCCACAAACTGCCTGCCTCTCTAATGGTCAAATCTGTAAAGTGTGCCTGGCCATATATAGGATGGCATTATTCAGAAAATCAGAGCCATCCATAAGAGTACTGCCAAGTTTACAACTGGCATGTACAAAGTATTGCAATGAATGTGCAACGCAGCCCACAACAGTGTGTTCAATGGTATCAGTCTCAGCGACTGGTCCAGTCCTGTTGTGTAGGACCTTGCAGGCTTTGGGCTGATAAAGGAGAGGCTGAATTTGGCTTTGGATCAAAAAACTCATTCCATGTATTGTCAAAGGCTTTCATGGCCGGAATAACTGGGTTGCTGTGAGTTTTTTGGACTATATGGCCATATTCCAGAAGCATTCTCTCCTGACGTTTCGCCTGCATCTATGGCAAGCATCTTCAGAGGTTGTGAGGTCTGTTGGAAACTAGGAAAATTGGCTTTATATATCTGTGGAATGTCCAGGGTGGGAGAAATAACTCTTGTCTGTTTGAGGTAGGTGTGAATTAGCATTTAATGCTAATTTAACCTTGTTTAGCATTTAATAGCCTAGCAATATCAAAGTCTGGCTGCTTACTGGCCAGGTAATCCTTTGTTGGGAGGTGATTCACTAGCCCTGATTGTTTCTTGTCTGGAATTCCCCTGTTTTTCAGTGTTGTTCTTTATTTACTGTTATGATGTTGGAGTTTTTTTAAAAAATACTGGCAGCCAGATTTTGTTCATTTTTATGGTTTCTTCCTTTCTGTTGAAATTGTCCACATGCTTGTGGATTTCAATGGCTCGAAATCATTCCATTCTTAGTGGCTTTGTATATTGTGTCGTTCTGCTTTCATAGATGCTTCTATGTAGTGAACTGCAGTGTTGTCAAACAACTTTTGGACAGAACAATATTTGACCACAACTCAGGGAAGATAATCACAGTGCAGCATGGATTTGGAACAGCCCAAAGCTGATTTTGTGGAGCGAAACCTTTTTCAGACTAAACCTGCACCTTTTGCTCAAATAAGGAACTGGAAATAAGCGAGTGGCAGCTAGGAACCAAGCTGCCTTTCACTTGCCGGGAAGAAAACAAAATACTTAAAATAGCCTGGTTTGGGTTTCTTCCGGGCTCTGTATTTGATTCTGATGCGTCCTTAACAAATGATTCAGAAGGTCAACAGCAGCTACTTGCCTGGATGTCACATGGGGTGGCACAGCCGCAGTGGCACAATGAGTTAAACCCTTGTGCTGGCTGAACTGCGAGACAGGGTGAGCTCCCGTCTGTCAGCTTCAGCCTCCCACAGGATGGTAACACATCTGGGTATCCCCTGGGCAATGTCTCTACAGATAGCCAGTTCTCTCACACCAGAAGCAACTTGCAATTTCTCAGGTCACTTCTGACATTATTAAAAAAAACATGGGGTGGCAGATCTGCTATGGGATTCAGTCTCAAATTCAAAGAATCTCTCTAAGGTGCTGAACCCTACTGACACAGAAGTTCAGCCTCTTAGGTAAGCTCCTTTGAAGTTCAGAGTTAATTTACTGCCCCATAGACATAGGTGCCCCCATCCACCGCTGTAATCTATATAAATAAAAATGTAATGTTCGTTTGTGATATTCACAGAACTCAAAAACCACTAGGGGAATCGATACCAAATTTGGACACGATACACCTAACAACCCAATTTATGTCCTCCACTCAAAAAAAACACAAAAGTAACTGCCAGGGAGGGAGGGAGGGAGGGAGGGAGGGAGGATAGAAAGACTGAAGGAAGGAAAGAAAGACACAGAGAAGGATGGAGAGAAGGGTGGAAGGAGGGAAATAGGGAAGGAAGGAGAGAAGGAAGGAAGTAAAGTAAGAGGTAGAGAAGGAAGAAGAGAAAGAGGAAGGGACAGAAAAATGGGGGAGGGAGGAAAGAGGTAGAGAAGGAAAGAACCAGACTGAGGCCACAGCAAAGCGTGGCCGGGAACAGCTAGTAAATAATAAAACTTTATTTATATACCGCTCTATCTCCCCGAGGGGACTCAGGGCGGTTTCCAAATAACAACACCGAAACATATAAGTGGAAAGAACTGCTGAATTGCCTCTGTCTGTCTGTATGTCTTGTATGTCAAAAACAGTATTGAATGTTTGCCATGCATATGGACATTGTGATCCACCGTGAGTCTCCTTCGGGGTGAGAAGGGCGGAATATAAATACTGTAAATAGAGTAGACAACATAAGCATAAAATTAACAAAACAACATAAGCATAAAAATGTCACAACACACATATATATTAAAAAAATAATCCTTCCTGTTCTTCGTGCCTATTTGTTAGGGCGAGGAAAAAGGGTCAAGTTAATTTTAAAAGGCCAGGCCGAGGCTAGTTCAATGCTCCCATTCCATTCAAGCACAGAAGGAAAGATTGTAAACTGATATGTTTCTAGTAGTCCTCGCAGAAGTCACGATGAGTTTTCAAAATACTTGGGAAAGACCTGTGAATGAAATTCTCAACAGGCAGGAAAAGCTCAAAAGGACTGCAAGTAGTCAGGAAGCAGGGTTTCAGTGGCTAGCAGTGGCGGAACGGAACATGGAAACAAAAGGAAGGAAGAGAAATGGATCTGCAAATTCAGAGAGGTTGCAGAACTCACTTTTTATTTCTGTGCAGAGCTTTTTGTGTGGTTGAGGCTCTGCTTTCCACACAAAACTCTGGAACACCAAAAATCATACTCCCCATATTGTAATATCATACGGGCAGGATATTACAGCTACCTGTCCTCATCGGTTTGTAATATTACCAATGATGCTAGACAGAACCTGTGGGCTTTATTAGACTGACAAACATATTAAAGACACTGCAATGTCAAGAGCCTGAAATAAAAACTAGCCAGGTCCCACTGTCTGGATATTCTTCCATAAAGAATCTCACCCAATGCCGTCATCAATATACTTTTGACACCAGGCATTTTTTTTTTGTTCTCTTACTTAATATCTTGCTACTATTAAATGTCAATTGAAAACTGATATTAACTTAATCCTAATCCTTTTTATATACTGATTTTAAACCACTTTATTGGATGTGTTGCAATAGAAGATTCCCAGATTAGTTAAGTGTTTACACCTTATTTTAATTTTCTGGTTATTTAATATTTAATGTTTATTTTAGTTAAGTGATATTTGTCTTTACTGTTCTACTGTAGCACAAATCCTATGTAAAATCATACTATGTATTTTTGACATTAATATTGAAATCTGAAATATACAGAAAATATTTACTTTTATTTATGACAGTGGTTCTCAACCATCCTAATTCCGCAACTCCTTATATTGTGGTGACCCCCAACCATAAAATTATTTTTGTTGCTACTTCAGAACTATAATTTTGCTTTTTAACTTTTTTAAAAAACAGTTTATTCCCGCAATGTGCACCCAACTGATGGATCTGGACCAAACTTGGCAGAAATACCCAATATGACCAACTTTGAATACTGGTGGGGTTTGTGGGGGGGGAGGTGACCCAATTGTAGTTCTCCCAGCATCCAGAGAACCCTGTGACCCCCACCGATGATGGATCTGAAACAAACTGGACACACAGACCCAACGTGGCCTGGTTTGGGGGTGATTGACCTTGGCGTATGGGAGTTGTAGTTCACCCGCATCCAAAGAGCACTGAATCCAACCCAGCTGACGACGGATCTGGACCAAACTTGGCACACAGACCCAGCATGGCCAAGTTTGAGTACTGACAGGGTTTGGGGGTAATTGATCCACAATTTTGGGATATGGTGGCACAGTGGGTTAAAGCACTGAGCTGCTGAACTTGTTGACCAAAAGGTCACGGGTTTGAATCCGGGGAGTACCGTGAGCGTCCACTGTCAGCCCCAGCTTCTGCCAATCTAGCAGTTCAAAAACATGCAAATGTGGGTAGATCAATAGGTACTGCGGGAAGGTAATGGTGCTCCATGCAGTCACGCCGGCCACATGACCTTGGAGGTGTCTACGGACAACGCTGGCTCTTCGGCTTAGAAATGGAGATGAGCACCAACCCCCAGAGTCGGACATGACTGGACTTAATGTCATGGGAAAACCTTTACCTTTACCTATATTATATGTAATATTACTAATAATATTAAAGTATATTGGAATAGTACAATATAGTAATATATAATACTGATATTGTGCTATGCTAATAATATAATATATTGTGTGTGTGTGTGTGTGTGTGTGTGTGTGTGTGTGTGTGTGTGTGTATATATATATATATATCTTGTAAGCTGCTTTGAATCCCCTTCAGGGTGAGAAGGGCGGCATATAAATGCAGTAAATCTATATAAATACAAATGTAATGTTCGTTTGTGGGATTAACATAACTCAAAAACCACTAGATGAATTGACACCAAATTTGGACACAAAACACCTATCAGGCCAATGATTGATCATCACTCATAAAAACTCTGAAAAACACAGTGGAAGGGACTTAAAAAGCAAAAAAGGTTACAGCACAAGTGCAAAAATGACTCCCCCTTGCAAAGAAAGCACACAATAGCATATCCACACTCTCTTCCGGATGACTGCTCCCAGCATCCCCTAGACCAGGCCCTTCAGGAGAGGAGGATGATCCAAATGTACTGCTTCCAAGCTGCAAGCTTCCTTCACCTAGGATTTCTTTGAGACCATCCCAATCCCTGCATATTTCCCATTTCCTACTCCTGGACTGCAACTCCCAGCAATCCTCCAGATAGGTAGATTAGATAGAGATAGGCAGGTAGGCAGATGGATCAGGAGGACTGCTGGGAATTGCAGTCCAAGAATAGGTAGAGAAGGAAGAACGGGAGAAAAAGGAAGGGAAAGAAAAGGGAAGGAAGGGAAGAGAAAGAGAAGGAAGGAGAAAAGGAAAGAAAAGAAGGGAAGGAAGGATAGAGGGAGGGAAGGAAGTAGAGAAAGAAAGAAGAGACAGAGGGAGAGGTTAGCCACAGCAATGTGTGGCGGGTACAGCTAGTAAATAAATAAATAAACTTAGCACTACCTAAAAATGAGTAACAGACTCTGGCCCCTTGCTTCCATACAGCTGTATACAATCCACATTGAACTGGATTATATGGCAGTGCAGACTCCAGATAGTCCAGTTCAAAGCAGATATTGTGGATGATCTGCCTTGACATTCTGGGTTATATGGCTGTGTGGAAGGGCCCTCTGTAGCCACAGATCTGGAAAACACTTTCCTCAGAGTGGATACCGAGGTCCTACTGGATCTGGAACTCATGTCAGAAGCGACTTGAGAAACCGGCGTGAGAGAATTGGCCATCTGCAAGGATGTTGCCCAGGGGACGCCCGGAGAGTCCATGCATGAGAAGCTGGAGCCGGCAGACGGGAGCTCACCCTTCTCCCCGGATTTGAACTGCCGACCTTTTGGTCAGGAGTCCTGCCAGCACAAACCTGGTGGCAGGACTGAAGACTGACAGGTTGGAGGTTTGAATCCGGGGAGAGCGTAGATGAGCTCCCTCTGTCAGCTCCAGCTCCCCTTCCGAGGACATGAGAGAAGCCTCCCAGCACAGATATTGTACAAAGATATCAAAAGTTGTGGTTAAACATAAAGATATAGAGAGAAAAGTGGGAAGGGGGGTAGGGAAGGGGGTTGGGAGGAGATGGGAGAAAAATTAAAAAAATGTAATATTAATGAATCTGTAAAGAATGAGAATAGATAATATAGAAAGATGTTATTATAATGCATGCTTACAAGACAATTATCTATTCAAATATGCTATTCCCTTTCAATATTTTTTTTTTAAAAAAAGAAGCATCCCACAAGAATGGCAAAACATCCGGGCATCCCCTGGGCAACGTCCTTGCAGACGGCCAATTCTCTCACACCAGAAGCGACTTGCAGTTTATATATATAATATATATATATAAGGGTTTAACCCAGTGTGCCACTCCTCCTCCCTCCCAAGGCAGCCTATACTTACTCAGTTCCAAAGGATCTTCTCCTCCTTTGAGAGAACATAGAGCTCTGAGCGACAACAGGGGAGAGAAATAGGACTCCTGGGAAGTAGCAGCTCTTCTCTCTCAGTCTGTCTCTCAATATACTTTGTGCCGGGAAAGACCTGGAAGTGAGTGGAGGAGGCGCCTCTCTTTCTGGCCGCCAAGCCAAGGACTTGGGCAAGAAGAGGATGCGCTTCTGGGGCGCATGCCACACGGGAGCCCGCTCTCTCCCTCAGTCAGACCCGCCACAAAGGATGCGACGCCTGTTTCCTGAGAGAGGCGGAGGAGGAGGAGGAGGAGGAGAGGACGCTCAAGCTCCGCCTGGGTCTGAGCCTGCCTTCTGCACTGGAGAGTCAAAGCAGTTTGACACCACTTGGAACTGCCCTGGCTCCATGACATGGGGTCCTGGGAGTTGTGGTTTCAGAGGGTCTTCAGCCTTCTCTGGGGCCTCACCAAACTTACACACCCCAGCCTTCCATGGCATTGAATCTGCATGGAATCTATAGTGTAGGCCAGGGGTCCTCAAACATTTTAAACAGAGAGCCAGGTCACAGATTATAATTTGAAAAAAAGCATGAATGAATTCCTATGCACACTACACATATCTTATTTGTAGTGTAAAAAACACTTGAAAACAATACAATAATTAAAATGAACAATTTTAACCAATATAGTATTTCAATGGGAAGTGTGGGCCTGCTTTTGGCTGATGAGATAGGATTGTTGTTGTTGTGTGCTTTCAAGTCATTTCAGACTTAAATTGACCCTGAGCGAGGGCCGGGTAAATGACTTTAGAGGGTCTTAGTTTGAGGACTCCTGGTTTGGCACCTTCAGAGCCCAGCCCCCTAACCAGGATTTTGATTCGGGGGGGGGGGGGGGGGGGGGGCTGAGTCTGAGTGAGAGAGGATCTACCCTAGCAAACCTTTGAGTCCACCCAGGGGTGAGAAAGAATAAACATAACAGTTTAAATAATAAATTTTATTTATTTACTTTCATTAACAAAATGACTTATTTTTTACTTTACAGCAACAGTCTTCTTTTCTTCTCCTCGGCCATTTTGTCAATTCCTTTTTCTGGTTTGATAGTGATGTCGCGATGGACGGAAATCATTGGTAGTCCACTAAGTCCCTGGTCTGCCATTCAACTTCTAGATACACTTTTTACTCTCTTCATGGTTGAAAACGATCTTTCCACACTGCATGTCATTACTGGTAGAGTAGCTAACACAGTCAAAAGGAAATGTATTGACCGATAATAGGTTTTGTCACACAGTTCCAACACTTTAAGTATCTTTCTTAAAGTGTCGGTATCTTTCTTAATGGATGGTGTAATATTACACCACATTGCGTACTCAGCCTTGATGGAAGCAAGTGCTGTGTCATTTTCCAAGTATTCTGACAGTTGTTCCATATGGTGAACTATGTCTAGACCTGAAAACCCAGGGAGGAGGACCTGGAAATTGGTTAAAATGTCTTCATTTGACACGAACCTTTCAGTAATGTTCTGTATGAGTGAATTGACACATGGTATGAATACTGCAACTCTGAAATAATCTTCTACAGAATTAGTCCCTGGATTTGCCCAATACACCTATCTTAAACTTTGCCTTGGAATAGTCAAGTTGCTTTGAAATATTTTTTTAGATGTTGTTCTTGCTAAGTCAAAGAGTTTTACAAAATGATCTTTTGCATCTACTCTCAAAATTTCTAAAGACTTTAAAAAAAGGTAGTCCCCTGACGTTAAGTCCAGTCATGTCTGACTCTGGGGTGTGGTGCTCATCTCCATTTCTAAGCCGAAGAGCCAGCATTGTCCGTAGACACCTCCAAGGTCATGTGGCCGGCATGACTTCATGGAGCGCCGTTACCTTCCCGCCAGAGCGGTACCTATTGATCTACTCACATTTGCCAAGCTACCTATCCGACCGCATCTCTGCCTATGCCTATGAACCCACCAGGACTTTGAGATCTTCCGGGGAGACCCTGCTCTCGATCCCGCCTGCTTCTCAAGAACGGCTGGCGGGGACGAGAGATAGGGCCTTCTTGGTGGTGGCTCCTCGGCTGTGGAACGCCCTTCCTACGGACATTAGACTAGCACCATCTCTAATGGTATTCCGCAAAAAGGTGAAGACCTGGATGTTTGTGCAGGCGTTTGAGTAATGTAGTGCAATCTGGTAATGGAACATAGGAATGGAACAATGGACGACGAACCTGGACTACGCTTGGATGATGAGAAGATTGGGTACGGTTGTTTTTTGTAATAATTGTGCATTGTAATTGCTTATTGGTAATTTATGGATAATGTGTTAAGTCAATTGTTATATGTTGTATGGAACCACTGCTGTTTCTACTGTTTTTACTGTTTGTGAACCGCTGTGAGTCGCCTTCGGGCTTGAAATACAGCGGTATATAAGCAAAGTAAATAATAATAATAAAATAATAATACTCACATTTGCATGTTTTCAAACTGCTAGGTTGGCAGAAGCTAGGGCTGACAGCGGCTCCCCGGAATCGAACCTGTGACCTTTCGATCAACAAGCTCAGCAGCTCAGTGCTTTAACCCACTGCGCCACCGGGGGCTCCTAAAGACTTTAACAGTGACTTAATGTGGTTTACGGCAGACCTTTTTTCCTAAAGAAAAATGGATAAGGGCAAAGTAAGGCTGAAAAGTATTTCTAATACTCTGACTTGTTGTGGATTTTTATGCTCTACCAATAACCCTCTGCTTCCTTTCAAGCCTAATCTTAATCTTCAACTGAACAGAAATCCCCAACCGTCATTCTAATTGTCATTCCCAGAGTTGTAAAGCTAGGGCTCCTTACCTCTTCCCTACTCTTAAAGATACAGGCTCTAGATTACATATTCTGCCTTTGGTGGCAGCATATTAGTAGCATAATTAACTTCATTTTAATGTAGAAGAGCTGTTTAATAATAATAATAATCCATCATCATCGAACTGCAAAGACTCTGGCACAAGCCAGAAAAGGTGATCCCAGTGGTGATCGGCACACTGGGTGCAGTGCCTAAAGACCTTGGCTTGCTCGTAAAAACAATCGGTGCTGACAAGATTACCATCTGCCAGCTGCAGAAGGCCACCTTACTGGGATCTGCACGCATCATTCACCGATACATCACACAGTCCTAGACACTTGGGAAGTGTCCAATGTGTGATCCAATATAACAGCCAGCAGAGTGATCTTGTCTGTTGTGGACTCATCTTGTTGTGTTTCTAATAATAAATAAATAAATAAATAAATAAAACAGGGAATTGAACCAAGCCAAGCCTGGACCAAACTTGGCACAATGCATACAGGCAGGGATTGGGGAATGATTGTCCTTTTCAAATGGTAGTTGTTGTTTACCTGGATCCAGAAAGCACTGAAGGCAGCCAACATCATATCTGGACCAAACATGGCCAACTGTGCATACAGGACAGGCAGGGATTGAGGGTGATTGACCTTGGATCTGGGAGTTGCAGTGCACCGTTATCCAGAGGGCATTGAACCAAGCCAACGCTGGATCTAATAGCTAATAGATCCGTTTCCTCTATACCAAATCCCACCCTTGCATTCCCTCATCAGTATGCCCAGAAAAAAACAAAGTTGTGATCAATTACAAGTCCACATACCTTTATCCAATCTGTAAGGGAAGCTAAAAGTAGCCAACGTTTTGATGTGCCACTTGTGATTCTATTCATACGCCAAGTTTTTTATTCGTAAATTATGTTTGAAATTCTATCTCTAGTCTTAAAATGATTGAAAATATCAGATTCCACCGATATCTGGGGGAGATCAAAATAATTCCTAAATTGCTTTAGGAGCTACTCCAGATGGTAAATTATAAAAGTAGCCAAACCTTTGTTAAAATGCAAACCAACAGATTTTTACAAAGTGGTGACTCAGAAAGCAAGGGCTACAAGTTGTTTACAAACTAACTGTGAACTTACAATACAGATATACAATACATCCTCCACATTAATGTTTAAATATCATTTTTGTGAGGATGCTAGAGCTCTCCCTATAGATTTTTTTTGTATCTTCAAACTCAGAACCGCTATTTTCTTGAAGGAAACAGTGATGCGTACACACCCTTCACAAATATGCAAGACAACTTCCAGGTTTGACAAGGAGCAAGGCTTGTGTTTCGATTATGCCAAAACCTTCTTCCTTTTTGGAAAAGGGAAGTCTGTTTTCCCTTTGCAATTCAGTTCTTGGACTCTGCAAACACCAGGAATGGGAATCTGGGAGGGCTTTCAAAGGATTCTAGCATAAACACGCAAAGGTTAAGGTGTGATATAGTCTGCCTGTCATGAACAAGTAAAAAAAAGACAGAAGCAAGAAGGGACATCCAAGGGCTACAACTGATTGGACGTCTTTGTAAATTTAACCTGTTGGGTTAACAGTCTTAACACAACAAAGTTTCCCAAAAGCTTCTCCAAGCCTGGGAAAGTTTGATCCAACAGACACAAGCTCACCTTATGTTGTCTCTTCTTTCCATCCTGTTAGCCATGTTCCCACTAGCTGGGAGTAGATGGTCCTCAAGCATCAAAGGGATATATAATATGTATTCATATCTTAGAACACACTAGAGATACCAGAGCACATAGTTATGGTACTTTTAATAAACAATTTCTTATGCGAGAGCCTATTCCTACTCCAGAAATTCATTACTGAATCAATTTACCCTTTGTTGAAAAAAAAAGTTTATAATTGCAAAGAGAATGACACAATATTTGAAAAATTATGTTCAAATGTATGATAGATGTAGATATTTAATTAAGTCACTCTAATTGCTTCTAAAAAACAAAATATAACTTTGAAAGTAACTATTAGTAATAGTAAGTAACCATATTGATTTTATATACAATTGTTTCCATTGATTATGCTACTTTTGAACTGTGACTTGAGTTCTGTCCTACTTAACGGGAAAAGGAACAGGTTAGAAATTACTGTGAGTTGCACATAAAATATTACTATGTAACTTGTTGCTTCTAATTTGTAGTTCGATGTCAAATTTATGCAGACGACACCAAATTTTATTACTCCTTTCCATCTAAAGCCAAGGATGCTGTTCTCGTCCTGAACTGTTGTCTGGTGATGGATTGGATGAGAACCAAGAAGCTGAAACCAAACCCCGACAGAACAGAGGTCCTCCTGGTCTGTTGGAAGGCAGTTCAGGGTGTGGAGTTTCGGCCTGTGGACAGGGTTGCACCCCCTCCCCCCTGAATACACAGGTTCACAGTCAGGGGGTGCTCCTGGACTCATCACTGACCGTGGAGCCCCAGGTGCTGCCGGTGGCCAGGAGTGCTTTTGCGCAATTAAAACTTGTGTGCTAGCTCTGCCCTTACCTGGGAAAGCCTGATATAGCCACGGTTGTCCATGCTCTGGTTACATCCCGAATAGACTACTGCAATGCACTCTATGTGGGGTTGCCTTTGAAGACTGTTCGGAAATTTCAACTAGTCCAATGGGCAGCAGCCAGGTTACTAACTGGAGCGACATACAGGGAGCACACCACCCCCCTGTTGTGCCAGCTCCACTGGCTGCCAGTTCACTTCCGAGCACAATTCAAAGTGCTGGTCTTGCCCTATAAAGCCCTATAGGGTTCCAGCCTAGACTTTTTGAGAGTCCGCATCCTGACTTAGAATTCCATTTGACCACTGCAATTATCTGGGGGGGGGGGAGCTCCTCTCAATCCTACCCCTGTCCCAAGCACATCTGATGGGCACAAGAAAGAGAGTCTTCACTGAGGTCACTCCAGCTCTCTGGAACACGGTCCCTATTGAAGTGAGAACAGCCCCTTCTCTCCCCTCTTTTAAAAAATATCTTAAAACTCATCTATGCTCCATAACCCATGGAGGAGTAGATGAATACTGAAAAACCCACCCCCTCCTGATTGCTTTTTTCCTAAGGGATAACACACTGTAGGATCACTTCATACCTGTATGTTATATTTCTAGATTCCATCTGAACAGGACTTGGTTAATGCACTTCCAAGGAGACGCAAACATCACCTCTCCCATAGAGCTTATTTTATATGCGCTTTTAATTATGATCTGTATTTTATCAGTTTATTGTGTTATGTTTTTATGTATATTTGCTTGTTTTATGATTGTATACGCCATCAGATATTTGCCTTTTGTATGTCTAAATGTCCCTGAGTCCCTTTGGGGAGAGAGAGCAGGTTAGTAGTAATAATAATAATAATAATAATAATAATAATAATAATAATAATATGGTTAATTTCCACCCTGAGATGCCCCAGAAGAAAAGATACTGCAAGCTGTGGCCTACTGCTGTGACAGTTGTGTTTATCTTCTTTCACATCTGTCCAGAAAAAAATATCGCAGCAAGAGCATGAAAAGATTTGCTTGTTCAATTGGACAAAGTCTCACAATATGTATTTTTAGCAGATTATTTATATCATTTCAATCAACAGGGATAATTCTTATTTTATTTCCATAAAGTGGACAACCACATTCCATATGAGCAAGAATTTGTTCAGAACAAGCCATACACCAACCTGCCACCTATAATAGAGCCAATTACTTCAAACGTGTTTATACAGGTTCACAGGAATATTCTGAAGTGGATGGAATAATACCCACAGAAGCCTATTCTAAATTCTTTGCTAAGAATATGTCCCAGGGATACAAACACTTAAGAATGAAAAACTATGGAAACTTTAGGAAGAATATGGAGCAGATGAATACAAACTGGAGCTATAATTGCTCAGTGCAGTAGAAAACATACAATGCACATTAATATTATTTCCAAAGGAAGTAACCACTACTAGCTTAACCTTCAAGAATATTTAAATGTATTCAATCCATTGAAAAGCCTATTGTACATTCAAATGTTTCATGCAATGAACAAAGACTATGTTTGCATTTGATTTTGATACAAAAAAACTTTTCTTGGAAGTGCTTTACATTGCTTGATTGTGCCATGTTTCTTATTTTTTAATTTTATTTCAAGAACTTGCTCAGAGGGAGATTTTCTGTGAGGTTACAGATACACACACACACACACATTCTTTTTGCTCAGGACAGGAAAATGTGTAAAGGTTATTCCATTATAACTGAGGTAGTTAACATGCTGAGCTCTTTAGTGTTGAAAATGCTGAGATTTTGAATATTTAAATGTATTTAAAATATTCAACATCTAAAAATAAAATAAAATTAAAAAAACTCTATACAAGAAGAAAAAAACTTCCAAATTCTAAATATTAGCAATTGGACTAAAATGGATTCTGTTGTTACAAAAAAAGGCCCCTGTTATCTTTAACGTCTTGCTAGTCTCAACACTATAGAAGTTAAGTGATTCTGTAGGTTACCATTGAAGCATAGGTGAGAAAAGAGTGTGTGCCAGTTAGTAATAAGCATTAAGCCCTATCAAAGGAAAACACCTAAGCTGGTGTGGACATGCTAATATTTATTAAATTCCTAAAGGGAGGGCCACATCTCCCATTTCCACCCGTACATCTGCTGGGAAATAAACTGCATCTATGTATGGGATCGCAAAGTGGCAAATATAACCTTAAGTCTAAGGTATGGATTTGCAACTGGCATTTTTCCGGCATTTTCTGGCATCTGGGGGTCTAAAAAGAAAAGACAAACCTCCCTTCAAACACTATCCAATGTGAATGTTGTAGTACAGCCCATGGTTGTGGCTGATACTGATGTAAATGGGGAAGTGGATCATGTGAACTCTGGGCCTGAGAGCCAACATGAGATTTTAAGTCTTGAAAATGATCACTGTGTGTTTCCAGCAGTTAGTGAAGGTCACATTCCAGAGAGGTGCTGAGATGGTGCAGAGGAGTCGTTCTCTAGGGAAACAAGTTTAGAAGCTGAAATCCCAGTTGAAGAGAATGAGTTGCAATATAATGAGCTGGTTGATAAGAGACTCCGTTTTAGTAAACTTCATGCTGCTCAATAGAATCTCCGAAGGTCACAGCACTGGTTAGAGAAGAGACCCGTATCAGGAGGTCAGGGGAGGAGGCATGATTTCATGTGTATATTAGACAGGCTGGAGGGGATTTTCCAGCCAGTCTGGTTAACGTTGGTAATTGAGGCAACAGCTCTTACCAAGTCCTAGTCAAGATTTCTGAGGGAATTCTAGTTCCTTGTTTTTGCTCCTGTTTCATGCTTCCAAGTTTGAAGGATAGTTCCTGGATTTTTGTATTGGATTTTATGCTGCCTTGTACTTCCTGGTTTTATAATATAATAATATAATAAACTTTATTTATACCCTGCCACCATCTCCCCAATGGGGACTTGGGCGGTTAACATGAGGCCGAGCCCAAAAATAATACGAGATAAGATAAAAAACAACAGAAAATTAAACACAACAAAATACATAATGTAACAAAATAAAATAGACAATACAGAATGACATAATAAAATAAATCACATAGGGTGGGCCAAATGTGCAAGATAAAATTATAAAAATATATTTTTTATGGACGAGATAGGATGAGATAGGAAATAGAAAAAGTGGATTTGTAAAGGAGGAGCATGAGAAAGAGGAGCAATGGGGTTTTCTTGTATTCCTGTGCTGGATGTCCTGTTGCTTTGGGATTTTGGATTACTCTTGTATCTTGAACCTTGTGGACTATTTTATACATATAGACTGAAGTTTTTACTATGTTTGCTAAAATACTTTTTATATAATTTTCAATAAACTGCTTTGCTGATTTGACTTGGACTGGAGTATGGTGGTTAAGTACAGAGGTGCTTTCTGGCATGGAGTGCAAGAGTGCAGAACCTAAAGGCACTATTGACTGTTTATCCCCCTTATTCTTATTATTCTTACTGCAAGGGAAACATGGGATCACACACAATACCCATCTTAAGAGTGTGCTATTTGCCATATTTGAGCACCCCCTCACCTTTTTTATGGCCAAAATGCTTTTAAGTGTAGAAAACTGGTTGAAAATATGTTTTTGTTCAGTGCCCCTCCTCCATAAATGGCAAGATACAAGTCAAAAACAAAACCAGGGTTGACATCATATTGTTTCCTGTCTGACAGAGTACACACAAGAGGCTCACTCGCAACTGCAGGGCAAAATGCGCTCCGATTCCTCCATGCAGTTAGTTACCTCCTCTTATTTTAGAACATGGGGCCAACACATAATGCCACTCTAGTGCAATTGCTCATATCTGATAGTAGCTAGTTTGTGTTTCATATTTAAGTATAGAAATCAGCACAGTAGTAAGATTTACTTAAAATATGGTCAGGTGAATGACTACTTTAATAGCATGATGAAAACAAGGCCATTGTACTATTTAAGAGAGCAGATGGCAGAATGCCCTCCTTCACAGCTATGCAAAAGGGAAGACAAAAATAGCCACCACATGAGGCTCGGAATGAAAGAATGGAAGGAAGGAAATCTGAGTTCACAATCCTTCTTGTCTTAACATTCAGCACAAAGTCTGTACATTTTTCATTATCCAGATTACTTTTCCCCTTTGAAGATAGTTTACAAGCAAATTGTGTACACTTTAGTTTTGTTCCTAAAATACAGGCTCTTTCTAAAGGAATTATAACACGAGTAATTGGAAACGGTAGGTACAGTCTACATTTATTTTGAATTACATCGATACCAATGATTTGGTAAATCACTTATTTGGAGTTGCAAATACAAAATCCATACTTAGAAAAAAAGGTTGAAAAAATATAATGAGCAAACAGCATTGTACTCTATCTTTTCAAAGGGTTATATCAACACCCTCACCTTTTATGGATCATTTCCCTTCCTACATAAGGAAAATGGGATTCAAGCAGCACGTCATAGAATGTTTCTAGATCCGCTTCCCGCAACATCTGACCATGATTTCCAGGTTAGGATACTTCCCACCACTGGGAATATTTCTGCATCTCTATGGCTGACAAACGCCATTGCATCTACTATGTAAGAGATGCATTACTGACACCCTTTCACCCAGGCTATACGTGGCAGATATATTTGGAATGAAGGAACAGTGTGCCATTAACTTTGTGTAAGAAATAGATTGGGATAGAACCGCAAGCCTTCTACAGAATCATCTCTGCATAGCTGGCCCATTTTTTCAGCTAGAAGAAGCCTAGAGAAAGAGGAAAACAATACTTGTATTATTTTAGTCAGGATCAGGCAATTAAGAATTGGAGATGAATTTATTATTCCTTACCTTTCTTTGGCTAAAAGTACAGACATTCCTACAAGCTTTGCAAACTCTTCTGCTGTAAGGGACCCCTTCTCAGACACCTGAAAGACAAAGCAGTTTAGAAAATATTCTGAATGCTGCCTAGTTAGTCGTTCCCCCACCACACTGACAAATGTTCAGTTTCATTAGATCATTCTAATCATCACCCATGAAGAGGGTCTTTTTAATATAAGATATTTAGTAATAAAAGAAATACAATTCATAATCTGTGAGTTTACGACAGTATTATTACTGCACTGAGCATTTATCTTATCTAAAGTAAAAGCCACAGTGGCACAGCAGATGGCGTATGTTTTGTATCAGAAACTAGAGCTGATGTGGTCTATTCAATGTGGTTTTCTGAATTAGCACCTCAAATAACCAAACCAAATCTAAAGTTGACCAAAAACTGATTCATAACCCTCTTGGTACTAATGTTGGAGATGGTCCCTGGTCAAAGTGGTCCCTGGTCAAAAGAAGGTTGGGAACCACTGATCTAACAGAGCCTAAGTTAAAATTCCAAGCATGTGATGCAGACATATATAGGTTAGTTAGATTAAATGTTTTACAAGAGGAACTGCACAAGGACATACATTGATACCACTAATGAGCCGAAGATATTTCTTTGATATTGAATCTAAGGATTATATAACTGGAATATCACTGTTTTAGGGGGAAAGTTGTTTCTATAGCTGATGTGCATGCTTGTATAATTCAACTAGAAATAAGTCCTGTTTTATTCAATAGGGTTTAAGCTCAAGCAACTATGTACAGAATTTCAGCCTAGATATGGTCAGTGTGATATTCCCATTTAGTTTTAAAACTACTTTTACTTTAGTAAAGGTAAAGGTTTCCCCTTGACATTAAGTCTAGTTGAATCCGACTCTGGGGAGTGTGGTGCTCATCTCCATTTTTAAGCTGAATAGCTGGCATTGCCCGGAGACGCCTCCAAGGTCATATGGTAAGCATGACTGCCGGGAGCGCCGTTACCTTCCCACCTAAGTAGTACCTATTGATCTATTCACATCTGCATGTTTTTGAACTGTTAGGTTGGCAGAAGCTGGGGCTACCAACGGGAGCTCACCCCGCTCCCTGGATTCAAACCACTGACCTTCCAATCAACAAGTTCTACAGCTTAGTGGTTTAACCATTGTACTGTCGACCTCACTACCTCTGAGGGTGCTTGCCATAGATGCAGGCGAAACGTTAGGAGAGAATGCCTCTAGAACATGGCCACATAGGCCGGAAAAAACCTACAATTTGTTGGGAACCACTGTGCTAGATAAATGAACAGTGCATTCATATACAGAAGTAATTTCCACTCAGCCCACAAGTTCTACTCCAAGGTAGGTGTATGATTCCAGGGACAGTTTTGCTTCCTACATGTTTTTATGTGTAGATGGGCCTTCGTGTCATCTGTCAACTTATTGTGGCCCCATGAATTTTGTGAGGTTTTCTTTTACTCAGACTCAGATATGGTTTTGCCAGTGCTTTCCTCTGAAACATAACCAACAGCACCTGGTATTCATTGGGAGTTTCTTATCCAGGTACTAAGTCAAGTTGGTAAGTATGGTTCTCAAATACCTATAAAGGGAAGTACGGTTCTTATGTATTGTAAGAAACAATATAGATGATTTTAAAATGCAGGCTGCAGATCTGATAAAATGGCTGAAAGATTGAATAAAAGAAGCCGAGATTCAAATCCATGCTAGATCCTTCGTGGTTCTCTGAATGTCACTTTGGGTCTCTATCAGCTTAACTTATTTTCCAGGTTTGTAGCAAGGTATAAAAAAATGGGATAACGTCACAAACAACTTGAGCTCATGGGAAAAAGACACTAATAGGATAATAAAGTAATCAGCCTTCATTACATGAGAAGAAGCTGCCACTTTTTTCAAATATACTTCCCATGAGTTTAGATCCCCGCCTCCAAACCCAGTAACAGGAAACTCTTTGAAGCAAGGCCCATGGCCCTAACCTTTGGGTCACATACCAGGCTTTTCCTGCTTTGCAAGCATTTAATGAGAATTTGAGAAACAAGAACCATTCAAAAACATTATGCCTTTCAAAACAATGAACAAAAAACGAATGTATAAGAACTGCTTAAGAATTTTTGACGTCAGGTTAAGAGGTTTTGGAAAGATGTCAAAAGCTTTCAAAAGCATATTCCCCTTGAAATCAACTGTCTAGATAGGGGCAAGTAGCAAAAGTACTGGAGAAATTACCACCCTTAGTTGTACAAAAGTTTCACAAAAAAGTCATAAATGAAAATATTATGCAGGAAATCTATATTGCTTGTAGCAGGATACGCTGAGCACATAACTGGGAGATATTTATCTTTCCAGCACAGGGGTTCTGGGCCTCTAGCTGTATAGGATGACTTCAATTTCTGGAGTCTCTGACCACAGGCCATTCAGGCCGAGGTTTCTAATGTAATGACCCAATTTCAAAACATATCTAGAAAAGCAAAATTTAAGAACCCGTGCTCTAGCCAGTTCAAATATCTGAGTCGCAAGAATCACACTGTACTCCCAAAGTCCAGCAACAACCAAAAGCACAACTTATTTCAGCTGCTGCAGAAGAAAAGAAAGGCTTACTGTCTCTAAAGCAGAAGCAACCATTTCTTCTTCATTGTGGGACTGGAGCTCCATCACCATAACTCCGCTGTCAAATATACGCAGCCTTAACCAAGAAAGGAAAGAAAAAAAATACAATTTAGGACTAGCATGTTGCATTCAAAGAACTGTTTCATTAGCTCAAACATAGAATTTCACTCTGTTTTTTCCTAAAGGGCTCAGCCTAGGCCTACTTTTCCTTTGCTTCTTCTTTTCTTCCTATTCCCACGATACAGTTTATTCTTTTTCAGGGACTATCTACTGTCATACTTATTTTATTTACCGTATATACTCAAGTATAAACCAACCTGAATATAAGCCAAGGCACCCAATTTTACCACAAAAAACTGAGAAAATGTATTAATTTGAGTATAAGCTGAGGGTGGGAAATGCAGCAGTAAATTTCAAGAATAAAAATAAAAACCAATATAATATTATATTAATTGAGGCATCAGTACGTTAAATGTTTTTTGAATATTTACATAAAACTGTCATTTAAGATAAGACTGTCCATCTCTGATCAAACCATTATTTGAACCTTCTTCAATGTAAATGTGTTTATGTATCCTTCCAATAATAATAAACTAATAAATGTAATAAAATAATAATAGAATAAATAATGGAAATATTAGAGTAAAATAATAAATGTAATATTAGAGTAAAATTATAAATATAATAGCAACAATAGAGTAAAATAATAAATGTAATAATAGATTAAAACAAGAATTGTAATAAAAATAATAGAGTGAAATAATGTAAATGTAATAACAATAATACAGAAAATAATAAATAATAGAGGAAAATGTAGTAATAATAATAATAAAGTAAAATAATGCAATGTAATAATACATAGAGTAAAAATAACTGTAATAATAATAATAATAACAACAACAACAACAACAACACGGTAAAAAAATAACTTTGACCCGAGTATAAGCCGAGGGGGGCTTTTTCAGGCTAAAGGGCTGAAAAACTCGGCTTATACTTGAGTATTTACCGTATGTTTATTAGTCCAGCTGCTAAAGCCATAGCAACAGGACTAATAAACAGTTTGTAACTTTAGCCTGATTTGGTTTTTACTGCCTACAAGCCAATAAGGGGCAGTGTGGCTGCTTCTTCTTGCAATGTCCTTCACAATCTCCATTCAAGAGGAATCAAATCTCTACTGTCTGGTGCTTGAGTAAGTGGTGGCCATATGATGCAAGAAGAAGAATGGGAACTCATAACTTTCAGAAATGCAGGAATATTTGAAAGGAATTAAATCTTCAGGAATGTTTTGAGAAAGCGGTTTTGCTGACAGGGAACAGAAGAAATCCTTAATTAGAAATTTACTATGAGCAGCAAAAACATGCGTGTGTCTGGTTGCTCTCTGTCACTTCCCAGCTCTAAATTCTTTTTCATAGATTGATCCCCCAGGTTGCTGAGCATATGAATTAAACCCACTGCTCGTTTTGAGTTGTGTTTGAAGGAGTCTCACCTTAGAGGTAACTTGAGCGCTTCAAACATCTTACAGGCATTTACGAGATCTTCAGGTGAGAGCAACTAATAGAGAAAAAACAAACAAACATTGACTTTGTCACATTGCAAATATTGTTCTCAAAGCTAGTGGACCTTTTTGTATCTGAATATGACAGTGTATGATATATGAATTCAAATATGCATGATGTTTATATGTGCTACAATTTCCAGTCCTCTTTAATTCACTTCAATGCGAATGTATCTTAAGAAAGAATGGGAATAATAATAAAAACCCAGGAATCATGCATATGTGCCACCTGTGCATTTTGCACATGGACATTGAATACAAATAAATTCTGAAATAACTGACACGCAGTCAACTAGGAAGGGGGTATAGTGCACACGAAGGAAAGAAGCACATCACTTCAAGTAGCAAGGGACAACTTGACCCTCTGCTCATTTGTGGAGGCACTGTTCTCTTCAAGATTTATTTGCCAAAGAAAGGAGGGAGAGAATGACCACTCCTGGAAACTTCCAAATTAACAACTGTGCTTTGTTTTAAATGTCAGGGGCCACTCCTGGAAGCTTCCAAGAGTAGCCCCTGACATTTAAAACAAAGCACAGTTGTTAATTTTGGAGACAGAGCTTTTTTGGTGCATTGTTTTGTTGTAGGTATCGGAGAACACTGTTTTTGGCTGTGAAGGGCACATCTGCACCGACTGCAGAGGTCAATTTCAAATTGGCATTGAAGTAAGTGTTTTTGCTATGCATGGAAATTGAATAATAACAGTAATGACAGAGTAAAATAATAAATGTAATAATAATAATAGTGTAAAAAAACTGGAACTGAATAATAACAGTAATAACAGAGCAATATAATAAATGTAATAATAATAGTAATAATAATAGAGTAAAATGATAAATGTAATAATAATAATAATAATAATAATAATAATAATAATAATAACAGAGTAAAATGATAAATAACTTTGATTTGAGTATACGCCGAAGGGGGTTTTTCAGCCATAAACAGGGCTGAAAAATTCGGCTTATACTCAAATATATACGGTACACAAACCACAGAACACTGATGCACATTAAGGGATTTATTTCAGGCATTTTTGTGGGCGTTTGTTGACTAACTACAGCAGTGTAGATGGGGCCCAAAACAAACTAGCAATTCTGTTTGTGGCTCATGGTCAATATCTTACCCAACCTGGCCTAAATATCAACTATTCTGTTTAGGGTATATAATATCAAGGAAAACCAGATGAATAATTTGCTATGAAAAGCAAAGTATCACTGAACAGATAAAAAAGCAGTACATGTTTTCTGTGTCAAGTATGTGGTGGTTTTAAAGGCTTCAGTTTAAACTGCACAATAATTGGAAGCACCTGCTCTCTCTGGAGCATCTGACTGTTCCATAGCAAGATTCTGGCAAGGTAATGTCCACATCTGTGCAATTCAAAATATATCCCTTATGACACTTGTTGGCTCAGTTGCTGCGGAGTGACTAACAATTGTTTTTACTCTATTCATGAGAGAGTCAACAGGCCTATTCATGAGGGGAGCACAACTTTTAAATCTGCTCCCAATATTTTTTAGTACTTGTAATATGTGTACTCCTGTGTTCTCGGTGCAGAATTCTGTCCTAAACTTCAAGAGCGTATATTTGTTAAGCTAATCATCTGCAAATACTTTTACCCAACTCATCCTGAGATCTTTCAATGCAGTCCTACTTTTATACCACTGATTTTAAAGGGAGAAAAAAAACTTATGCAAAAACAGGGGAAGAGATTTTTCATCTGTTTGCATTTTATCAAACAGAACACAATTTAATGAAATGCAAATTTATAACGTGAGTCTTGTCAGAGGTCCACCAAGACAATTAGTCCTCACCTCCAGGCCTCGGGCTCGATTCACCAAGCAATACACTTCCGTCAGTGACATTATTCCCCCACGTTCCTGTTGACAGTATCAGTTAGACACAGAACCAGATTAGAACATATAGCACACCACTTTGGCAACATTTCAAGACAGAAATCCTAAGTAAAAATAACATTGAACCTGAAACAATCAAGTTCTATACATTTATTAGTGTCTTCTGAACTACCATATTTGTCTATTCAGTGTGACACATCACTTAAAGCATTATCAAACCAATAATGCAGTCTGGATCTTTGCAGTAAAGACAGAAGCAAGGAGTAAATCTAACTTTTCATTATTTTCCTGGTTTTTTTTCTTCCTGTGCCTTTTATACAAATACTTTGTCATCTATCAATGTTATTTGGAGTCTTCTGACCATGAAGAAATTTAAAATTGTTTAAATAATTCTATACATTTTCCTCTCAAATTCTCATTCAACTTGTCTCATTGTCAATTTGCAATATTTTGGGAAGGGTTGTATTTTTTATTGCCTTGTTTGGGGTGTCACTTTGATCTATTCAAAGGAACTTTCATTGGCCTTTCACCTTCATGATATTTGTGAAACTTAAAGTGATGTCAAACTGCATTAATATTTCAGTGTAGATAAAATCTCTACCTCTCAACCCTCCCCACCACCCTGCACTTTTTTCTGTCTCCTTCTCCCTCTGTTGTCCTTTTTTTCTTTCTTGCTTTTCTCCTTTGGAGCTGTGGTGAGGGTCAGCTCATACTGCCAGAGCAGGGCAATGTCACACTTCCTGCATAGCCAGAGGTTTGATTTCTCTTGGCTCAGAGGCTTCTTTTTTTCAGCGGACATACCAGGTATCCAAGACAGTAGGTAGTGTAAGGAAAGAGCAATCCCTTCTTGCACTGGCAGCTTCCTACATTTCTTATTTGTGAACTGAAATAATGTATACGCTTACATTGCACATTTTCTAAAAAGGGATTGTTAATACTTTACCTCAAGAGGTGCTTGTAAAATTCCAGCTAATTGCTTTGCCAGTTGCATATGATAATGTGTACCAGATCCATGGGTTTCCCTGGTAACTGGGTTAGCTATACCCATGCTCAACAGATAGGATTTAAATCTGATTGTCTGGAAAAAATAAAGAGCATAAAAAGACACAGGTAGTATATGGTCTTTAACTAATGGTGCAGAATAGATTATAATGTGTACTAGGAAGAAACTAAAGTATGATATTATTATTTACTTTTATCCCTCCTTTCTCCCACAAATGGGACTCAAAGCGGCAAACAAAACAGAAAAAACAAAACTACATAATACAGATAATCATCATCCCCATAACCTGACAAATAAAACAAAAATCAACACACAGCATAAAACACAAACTACATAAATATAAATAAGCATAAAAATACCCACATACATCATCCCTATGCCTCAGGCCACTGAGGTTGTCCTAAAACATTAAAACATTAAACTAAACATCTTAGAGCTCCAAGTCTTTGAACATGTGAGACTTGTCTGACTGAGATAAGCTGATATTGTGTGTTGTTGGGGAAGTCCTGCTTCCATAAAAAGGTTTTCACTTGGGAGCAAAAGGTCAATAATGAGGGGGCGGAATGCACCTCTTTGGGGAGGGAGTTCCAGAGCCGTGGGGCAACCAGTGAAAAGGTCCTTTCTCGTTCCCACCAACCATACTTGTGACGGTGGTGGGCCTGAGAGGGGGACCTCTCCTGATGATCTCAGGGCTCGTGTGGGCTGATAGGAGGAAATGTGGTCCCTCGAGTAGGCTGGGCCTGAACTGCTTACACAGTAAATTCAATCCGGAGCCCCCAGTGGCGCAATGGGTTAAACCCTTGTGCCAGGAGGACTGCTGACCAAAAAGTCAGCGGTTCAAATCCAAGGAGAGCAGGTTGAGTTCTCTCTGTCAACTCCAGCTCCCCATGTGGGGACATGAGAGAAGCCTCCCACAAGGATGGTAAAATATCAAACATCTGGGTGTCCCCTGGGCAACATCCTTGTAGATGGCCAATTCTCTCACAGCAGAAGTGACTTGCAGTTTCTCAAGTCACTCCTGACACACACACATACACACACAAATGAATAAATCCTAGATCCTCATCTTGGTTTTTAAGTTTGCAGATGAATAAAAATAAAAATATTATAAAAACAAAGATTAAAAGAGAGATTAATGAAATTTCAATAAAAAAGGCCCCCACAGTTTTGCCAGACTGATGACCAGTGCAAAAGTACACACTACCTTCATCAAGCTTGCCGTTAAAACTCTCTCCCAAAGGATAAAACCTGAACCAATAAAGAGCCAGTTCTATTTTCAGGATATGGAGTGAAGAAAGAATGCATGTGAAAAAAGGCCAGATTCAACACATAAAAGACACCAGGATCCCCCATCAACGCAAGAAAGTATAGCAGGCTTTCCGATCAATTCTCCTTCTCTGCCAAGAGCTGGATTGCTATCCTGTAAGAATCCACTCCATTCATTCATCCACACTGGACAGATTTTAAAGAAGAAAGTCCCTTTTTGGGGAAGCTGCCTATTACAGTAGAGTGCACAGCAATGTATGCACAAGAAAAAGCTGGCAAAGGCTTCCTAGAGCATGCTGCACATACAGATATGGACAAAACGTTGAAATGTAATACTTTTTATGCCATATCACTAACCCAACATTTGGCAGTATTATGGGGATTTATCCACCCTATTAAGTTCAAGCAACACGTTTTTTACAGGGTATCTAAATCAAGCATGTTGAAACATTAACCCACCTCATCTTCAGTGATGTCGCCTTGTTTATCTTTGATCTTGTTGGCAATCGATCTGGACAGTTCCACCATTTCCTTAGCCTGTTGAGACGTAATACAGCTCTTAAAGACATCATACAAACCCATCATAAGACAAGTCTTTAAGGAGGGTGATGGCAGTTATGGATAAAACAGATCAAAGTCCAGGGCCACTATACTGCCACTTTCTACCCACTTGAAAGTGGACCCTCAGGCCCCACAAACATGCAGTTTTAAGTCATCTCAATGATTCTCTGGGATGGAGAGGGAAGCTGATGTTAACTCAGAAAACAGGCATCATGGAAGAATTACATTACCTTGTCCATGAGTTTGCTGAGATCTTCAAAAGCCTGGAATAATAAAATAAAAGTTGGTAACATGGTAACACACATCTATTTATAGATGGCTAGAATAACTGCATCAGTGCACTAATTCTTTTACCAATTACTTTCCTCCTAATACCAAAGATCTGAAATTTAAATTTCCAGTGTTCTAAAAGCAGTGTTTCAACTCTGTAGTATGTGGTTCCTCTGTTTGATAAGTTGAACATACTCTTTAGCTTCATGGGGTACATTTTTGCATGCTAAGAGGATATATTTTCATCTCCTAGGAAGGGGACAAATCATACTCATTCATGGGTTGGCAGGCAACTGAGTTGCTTCCCTAACTTATCTGAATAGTTTGATTTTGAAACTTTATACTTAAGGATTCCTTGTTTCCCAAATTATAACCCTCCCCAACCCCCGACACAATCAGATGTTAATTTGTTTCTTGCCTAAGCACGAAGTCTTGGCTGATGTCTTTCAAAACTCTACATCAGAGATGCAAAAGATGAGGGACTGGAGCCTGGGAAGTGGGGTCCCACAAATCCTCCCAGAAATCCCAGTCAGTTTACCAGCTGTTAGAATTTCTGGGAATTGAAGGTTAAAACCTCTGGGGACCCACAGGTTGAGAACCACTGTTCTACATGGTTTGGGTTGTGGTTATCTCTGGGATCCTCCCCCTGCCCCCGTATAATTTGCTCCATACTCTCAGGTCCTTTGGAAAACACATACTTTTGCCAGCCAGAACTAGGCTCACAACTGTTACTCTGAGGACATTTTCTTCACCCGCCACCAAATTGTGGAATGACCTACCAGAGGAGCTTTGTCAACTGGCCACACTGACTGCATTTAAACCAGCAATAAATACCAGTTTCTTCCAGCAGGCCTACCCAGATTTTTTAAAAGTTGTGAATTTTAAGCATTTACTTACTGGTTATATTTATTTAGTTTTTATGCTCTTTTATCAGATATTATTTGTTTAATTTGTTGTTGTTTACCACATCTATCCATAAGGGAAAGTCAGATCTATATATGTGTCAATCAATAACCTGGGAGACTCAGGGCGGATTCCAACGAACAAAAAGGCAAACATTAAATGCCTCCATAACATTAAGTACAAATATAAAAACCCAAGATACCTCCACTGGAAGAGCAACTTAAGTATAACAACTATAATTTAAATAAAACATAATAAATTGAAAATCATATCATAAACTTAACCATCCAAATTAATATGTCAACATGAAGGTCGACAAATGTGTGCACAGATTGCACGACCAAAGTTATTAAATGGTATAATGCAATCTAACAAGGCCCAAGTGCATTTATACTATCCAATCAAAAGTCTGGTAGCAGTTTCTCTTCATCTAATCCTCCTCAAAATCTGGGATTATTTATGGCATTCATTTCTGTTTATTTTTCAGATTCATTATGTTATCAATGATTAGACATTTCGCATCTTACACAGTGTTATCAATAACGTGCATGTAAGCTCTCCATCCAAATGAGAAAAACAAACGGAGACCCTGTGGTAAACAATGCTTTCTCTCTAATTGATTCAGGCTTGAGTACAAAGGAGAATGCAACACACCTAACAGGAACTTCCTCAGAAAAATAAAGACCAAAAGGAATCAGTTTTTATCAGCAGCAACCAGCAGGTGCAGGAAGCCCATTCTGGAATTCAGGGCAACAGCTCAGAATTCAATTGATTTATAATGAGTGGGGCTTCAATATTTCCTCTGTCCAACATTCACAATGCGGTGTCTTTTATCCTCTGATAAAGGGAGTGGGAACAACACAGGGCGGAATTGCACAAACTGATGGAAAGAGCAGCCCACATATTTCCTTCTCTCCTCCTCCTCCACGATGCTGTGTCCTTGTGCTCTGAGATTCCACTGTATACATTATTTGGGGGATGACGACGACAAGAAAATCAAGAAACATTGACCTTCTGTCATGGAGACCTAACTGTTCAGCGAAAATGTTTTTTGCAATCTAATGCAACATTTTGAAATATTTGACTAATTAAGTAATATGATAGCTTGCACAAAATTCTAGGCCACAATTTAGCATAGGAGAAGAAATCAAGGAATCCACGGCCTGCTTGTGTCCCAAAAGTGACTTCTGCAAGTCCCAGGGGCCTCCCTCAGCCTTTCAAAAATCAAACAAAAGAAGAGAACTGTTGCTTCTGGAAACTTCCTGTCTCTCTCCATAAATTACTGTGGAGAGAGAAGATGGGAAAGCCTAGTTAAAGCCCAGAATCACAGCTTAGGGTATGCTGTGAAGGGAACAATAAGAATTGTTAGTCAATGTAATCTAAAAGGGGCACATGTTCTGCAAACCTGCTATAAAGAAGAAAACCTGTTTAAATATCACAAAATAAAGGGAAAGGAGAATATACACATTACTTATTTCTTGTTGTAGGAGGGATCTTATTCTCCAAATAACCTGTTCTATTTCAGGATTTTTAAAAAGGAGTTAAAGGGGCTTTTTCACTGCTGGGAACTCCCAGAAATGACATTTTTTTGAATATAAACAAGTGGAAGCAGCGAGATGCAACCTTCCTCCCAAGCAAAATCAGAAGTGACTGCATGTCTTGTGCTAAAATGAAAAAAATAGAGAGGACTTAAGTAGCTTGCCTCACTGTTCAGTCTAGGATTCACTAGAGATAACTCTTCTGACTGAGCCCCTGGTGGCGCAGTGGGTTAAAGCGCTGAGCTGCTGAACTTGCTGATCGAAAGGTTGCAGGTTCGAATCTGCAGTTTAAAAACATGTAAACAGGAACCACTCTGGCAGAAAGCTAATGGCGCTCCATGCAGTCATGCTGGCCACATGACCTTGGAGGCGTCTACGGACAACGTTGGCTCTTCGACTTAGAAATGGAGGTGTGCACCACCTCCCAGAGTCGGACACAACTGGACTTAATGCCAGGGAAAACCTTTACCTTTACCTTACTCTTCTGACACCTGAAACTTGGTTTTATTAAGGAAATTTTCCAAAAGCCATCTCAGCATTCAACACAGAGAAATGGGGCATGGACATTCAAATTAGAGCAGGCACATATCATACGATACTTCTGCTGCTAGAAGACACCACTTTTTCTGAAAACGTGTATATAAGATGTATTATTATATTATGTTTAGAGTTCAGTAAAATAATTAAGGAACTGGATCTATAGCTAGAGGAAAACATGAACGACTGCAAAATGAAGAGGGGCCTCTGAAATGTCAATATAACTTACTTCGGAAATGTTTTTATCCATCTCTTTTCTTCTTTCTTCTAATTTTCGCTCAATACCTACAATCCCTGCAGCTCGTATTCTTCCTGTCTAAAAGAAAGAAAGAGAGTGCTTAAGCATTACTGCTATACAAACAAGTTGAGGCTGACTCACATAACTTCTGTGAGATCTTTTACACCGCGTTTATTAAAATGCAAGGTTGAACTATGGTTTTGCTGCATCATTTTGCTGATTTTTCTTTAGGAATCCCTGAAGGATGAGGGAGACTCAACAGATGAAGGCGGATTGTAATTAATTTTACTTACTGGTAGAAAGAAGGCAAATACACACTATATTTGAAATAACCTTTAAAACTCTAAAAAGCACAATGTGTAGTTTAAAATACCCTCTGTTTGTTTAGTGTGGCGAACTCCTAAGTAAATGCACACAGGACAGATTGTAAGCAGCCTTTATTATTATGCCTTAATTTTTCTTAGTGATAGATCGTGTAGTGCACTTTTGAGCAATCACTGATGAGGAGGTTCAACTCCTCAGGAGGTTTAAGAACAATGAAAAAGAATAATGAAAAATGTCACAAGTACCTGTGAACTTCTGTTAACTTCTATGGTTTGAGAAACAGGCATGCTCTCCCATCTTCGTTGTGTCATTTCTTCTGATAGTCTCCTGTAGAACTTTATGATGATTTCAAAAAGAGGGCAATAATAATAAACATCAAATGTAATTTGAATTTAGTCATTTTATAAATACAAACAACTATTTCTATCCATATAGTTATGGATAGAAATAGTTGTTTGTATAGGTATGTGTGTGTGTATCTATATCTATATTATTTGAATTTAGCACATTGATCACTAAAAATAAAATACACTACATATCAATATTTAATACAGAAATAATTGTTAACATATATGGTGGAATAAATAAAAATAAAATAAAACTGGTGATAAGTTCAACTTTCATCTATTCAAACTGCTCATGCCAATTATGGCAAAATCTCCCCAAGCTGTACTTTTCAGGAAATTTAGAGAACCTACTTCAGCACCATTTCACTGATCAGAATATCATACATACATACCTCAATCTGGCCATGTTCTTTGAAGGAAAGTTTGATATAGGAGTATTTACTACTCTGGAAGGGGCCAGGTTCCTTGCTGGAAGGTGCTGGGTGAAGATGAACCACTATTTTGGCACTGAAGATATTGGGAAAGGAAAAGATAGACAATTAAACAATCTGTATCTAAAATAAAAAACTCATGTATTTCATTTTCTGTATATGCCAATAATTAACCAAGGAAATGGTAGAATATGTCCAATAACTTTCAAATAAATTTTGTTAAGTATTTTTAAACAATAATAACTATTACTCATAATATTTTGTGTCAAAATAACTAGTGGGAAATACATAAAAGACATCACAAAATACTCCAACAGTTCATAAACTTTTTAATCTGCTGTTATAAGATCTGATGATGGCTCCCATCTTTAAAAGAGGATGAGACAAATTCAAAAAGCTGTTAACGGCTACAAGGATCAGAGGAAAAACTGGAGGCAGTGTGCCTCTCTAATACCACTTGCTGAGAAACAGCAACAGGGTGTACATGTTGAGCATAAAGGCTTGCTTCAGAAGCTTCATAACAAAATGTAAGAAAACTCAACAAAATAACAAGAAAAGAGGTCCTTCTAATTCCTCTCCATGGGTTATGCTGGCTAAAGCTGATGGAAATTTCAATCAATTGATATCCGGAAGATCTTATGCATCCCACTTTTGCTCTGCTTCACTTTGAAAACTGTATACACAAGTGCTGAATGCACCCTGAACAGTTGTCTCTGAGTCCCCTTCGGGGTGAAGTAGAGTGGGAAGGAAATAAATTGTCTGGAGCTGGTGGGTAACTGTTGATGGATAATAGTAAATAGTTAAACCACTTTCTAAACCTCAAGAAGACTTCTAAATCCACTCGTTCATTTGTGCCAGCTAGCTAGAGAGAAACAAAGTCAAAGATGGGTAGCAGTTTGGGGTGTGGTCCCTGGGCTGAGCAGCTAGATGTGCAAGATGATACAGAAGGGAACAACAAGAATTGATACAGAAATATAACGGTAACTTTCATCATTTTGTAACTTAAGAGGTCGAAACACAGTTAAATAGGATTGTAATGTAATTAAATGCTTGTGAAGTATTTGATATCCCCAACATAAAGGATTTTGTCATAGAATGGCTACCTTTTTCCTATTCCAGCTGCCTGTTCTTCAATGAAAATGATTTGAGAAAGAGGAATAGCCATACAACATTCCTAGAGGGGGAAAAAAGAGAAAGCAAAATCAAGATGTCTTTTAATAATTCTTTATTTTAATAGACTGTAAAATACTTATATTGCCTTGGCAACAAATTCTTCCATGAAGCACTTCATATATAAGAGCCTTGCATTTTAGGTACAGTTATGCTTATAGAAAAAAGCATCAAATGGAGCAGAAATTCCTTGCATCTACAGTTTGTACAAAGGCAATTCTCCTAGCATAAAAATGTGATAGTTAAATATTTTAGCTTGACAGATAAAATATACTCATTGGCATTTTTAGTGTTAACAGTAAATAAAGAGCAACACTCAAAATTAAATGCCCTTAAATGCTAATCAAGGTGGCCACCCTGGACGTTCCAGATATATAAACCTCACTTGCCTAGTTTCCAACAGACCTCACAACCTATGAGGATGCCTGCCATAGATGTGGGTGAAACATCAGGAGAGAATGCTTCTGGAACATGGCCATACAGCCTGGAAAAGTCACAGCAACTCAGTGATTCCAGCCATGAAAGCCTTCGGCAATCCATGTCTATTGTTCTACTCACAATTTCACGAACTCGTCTACTCAGAAATATTGTATGTTCTAGGGCTGGGCGGTTTCGTTTCGTTAATTCGTAATTCGTTAATAATTCGTTAATTTTTTCAATTACAAAACGATAACGAACCATTCTGGAGCAATTATTAAAAAAAATGAATTTTCAAAAACGTTTTGTAAATGCTTCGTATTTCGATATTGTATTCGTTTCGTTATTGTTTTGAGGTCGTTTCGTTATTATTTCCGCATGTCTGGGCCAGTTTTATGGTTTAATTAGTGAAAAAAATTATAATATCACACCAACAGTCAACAACAGAGGGAGAGGGAAGCTTCAGAAGGTTTTGGAGGTTTTTTAGCGTATTTCGCGGTCGCGTCCGCCATTAACGAATCGATTCGTTATTGTTTCGGAAATCGATTCGTTAATTTTTTACCATCTACGAAATTTCGTAAATATCGAACTTTTTAAAAGGAAAATTTTGTAATTATTTTAAATATCGAAACAAAAAAAAACCCCCAAATACAAATCGATTTTAGAAACAACATTTTCCGTTGTTACCCAGGCCTAGTATGTTCACATTAAACAACGAAGACAACAAAGGAGCAATAAATAATCCAAGATCAAACAGCATTTCAACATGTATTTCCTACTGTCAGTTATGAGTGATTGCTTTTGTACTCAGTGTATGCCCAATTAGGAAATGTATCAGATTACTAATGCTTTGGAGGACAAGGAGAAGTATTATATTGTAACAATATGGAAAGTAGCATGTTTAACTGCTGTTTATCAGTCAGTTTTTTTAAAAAAATATAAAAGATAAAATGGCAGAAAGTTTAACATTTTTTTCTGTATGTTGACACACTGAAACACAAACTTTGCAAAGTAGACATACTGAAAAAGCTTAAAGTAAATGAAAGGAGTCTATTACAATTTGGGACCTGTATTCTTCTCCAGTCCATGGCTCAGTTCAAGGTTGTGTAATCACAGATCAATTTAGGGCCTGTTCTCAATAGGCCCTTCTACACTACAATAAAAAATTCAGATTATCTGCTTTCAACTGGATTATATGACAGTGTAGACTCATATAATCCAGTTAATCTGCATTATATGGCAGTGTAGAAGGGGCCTCCGTGTTCAATAGTCAACAATCAATGCTTTTTCTCACAGCCACAGAACTGAGCTGAGAAGTGGAATATAGGACATCAGATCACCAAAAGTACTTAAGAAATCTATCTTTTGGAGGCTATAACATGACTGGTCATGGTGGCTGGGGCATTCTGACATTTGTTGTCCCCAAAATACCTTTCCTAAACTTAGGTTGGGGAGAACTGAGTAATCTAGACCTCAGCAAACAGACAAGATCAGCACCTTGGCAACATCCAAAACTACAAGGAACAGCCAGAATAGGAGAAAGTTAAAACATTAATTCTGCTCCTTGTCAAATTGCGCATTTGACAAAGCAACTAGAGCTGCACTTCAGTGCCCCCTTCAGCACACATTTAGTATCACCTTTTAGAGTGGTAGGAAGATTCATTTCAGGGTTCTATTTATATTTATGGCTTAAGGATTTCAATTCATTTCTTTTTATATTTACACTGCTACTGTATTTGTTATATTTCATAGCAGTTGCACAGCAGTTTGATTCCATTCTATAAGGGGGGGGGGGATATGCATTTAGATCTTTACATTCTAATCCAGATTTCTTTTAACATATCTCCTATTTTTAAATGAATTATATATACAAGCAGTCCCCAAGTAACAAACAAGATAGGTTCTGTAGGTTTGTTCTTAAGTTGAATTTGTATGTAAGTTGGAACAGGTACATTTTTAAGTATAACTCCAGCCAAATATCTACATCTATTAGCTTTGGATAGCATAGGGCAGGGTGAGCACCCATGTGGTGTTTGTTTTGCTAACTGTACCCTTGTTCAGAAGATTTCACCTCACTTTCTGTGATAATTGCATTTTGAAAAAAAATTGGCTTGTTATGAAAACAAGGATTGGTGCAAACGCTTCAGTGGAGACCCATTTTCCCCATAATAATAACTCTTCCAGGAGTGAATTTCCCTTCCGAGGGGTAGGTTTCTCTCACTTCCTGTTTTCTCACCCCTCTTCTTAATTATGAGTTGTTTGTAAGTCGGATGTTTGTAACTTGGGGATTGCATGTACAGTTGTCTCTCCACTTTTAATGGTTTCACACTCACAGCTTTGATTATTTGTAAGCTTGTACCAGCACCCTTGCCTCCCAAAGTTGGGGGCTGTGATACAGTCACAACACAATTCTGGAGGTAGGGGACATTAGGGATTTTAAAAAATACCCAAACATTTAATGGGATTTGATTGGCTAGTTTTAAAATATTGGCCTTCTACAAAATTGTCATCCTATAAACTTGTTTATGTGTTTAGCTATTACTTATTTTCAGTGTTATACTGGAAAAGAAATGAGTTGCAATTTCTTTGGAGTCCTTAGATACTGGAAGCTAGAAACTGAAGTTAGAATTAGTTTCCAGGGTAGCTGTTGGCAACTAACCACTACCCTGGGAACTATAGAGGGCATGCAAAGAACACCTAAAATAAATAAAAAATAATAAATTAATTATCCCTAATTATCTTGCAAATGGACTTGGGAATTTAGTAAACTGAAAAGTGCTATAAAAGTGTGTCTAGTGGCTGATTTTGCTCACACTGCAACCAAAGGTAAACTAACTCTATTATTCTGTCACATAATTATATGGAAATTGATATATGGACAAAACAGAAATCACACTTACATGATTCTTCTGATCTCTCCAGATTAATCTGTGTGTACTCAGAAGCAATATCCCTGTATCAAACTTCAGCTAGAGAGATAAAGAAATATTTTTAAGAGAATAAGTTCCCATGTATACAATATAGCATGTCTCTGAATTTCCATACATCATGCTGTATTTATAAATTATGCATTTTTGGACACTTATTTGGACACTTTTTTTATCCAGGTAGCAGAATTCACAGAAAAGCAAAAAGTTATAAAAGGATGACGACTGGTTCCTCAACCCATCCACAAAAGTTCTGTGAATGCGGCATGATGAAAGTTCATTTGGAAAAATTCTCATCCAGTTATTGGGAATGCATCTCCATTGCAGAATTAAACCAGTTTGACACTACTTTAACTGCTTTGGCCCAGTGCTATGAAATAATGGAATGAATAGTTTTACAAGGTCTTCATTCTTCTCATCCAAATAGTGCTGGTGACTCACCAAACTACAGACCCCATTATTTCATAGGATGGAGCCATGGTAGTGAAAGTGGCATCAAATTGCATTAATTTGACAGAGTAGGTGAACTCTTAAGATTTCTTTAATAAGGTAACACCAATTGTGGAAAGGAGTGGAATGTGGCCTCCACACTGGAAAAAAATTCAATTTAATGGATAAGCACTAAAAAGGGCCACCCAATTTAAATACCTAGGGTCACTGGTCTCCACAGATGGCGACATAATGCTAGAACAATGGTCATGAATAAATGCAGCCTGGTCAAAACGGTGGCAAACTACTGGCATTCTGTGTGATTTAGAAATACCTGAACAACTCAAGGCTAAGCTCTACACCACAGACAGTTGTTCGCCCAGAAACCCTCTACAGGGCGGAGTGATGGCCAGCAACAAAGAAATATGAAGAAGCCCTTAAAACAATGGAAATGAAAATGCTGAGATGGACACTTGGCTTGACACTTCTTGACCATGTGCCAAATGATGACATCCGTCAAAGACTAGGAATAAAAGCAATCAGCAAGAAAAAGTAGGAAGCAAGACTACAGGGTGTGGCCATGTCATGAGAAGAGAACCAATGCTGCCAACCGGAGACCTGAGGATGCCCAAAACAAAGCCCCATGGAAACGAAAGTCACAATCTTAACTCCATTGGGAAAATAGCTTAGAAAGAAGAAGAATTGTGAAAAGGAGCAGGAGAGCAAGCCATGGGGCTGTCTGCTACTAACAGGAGTCGCGGTGACACAATGGGTTAAACCAGGGGTCCTCAAACTTTTTAAACAGAGGGCCAGGTCACAGTCCCTCAAACTGTTGGAGGGCCGGATTATAATTTGAAAAAAATATGAATGAATTCCTATGTGCACTGCATATATCTAATTTGTAGTGCAAAAAACATTTTAAAACAATACAATAATTAAAATGAAGAACAATTTTTAACAAATATAAACTTATTAGTATTTCAATGGGAAGTGTGGGCCTGCTTTTGGCTGATGAGATAGGATTGTTGTTGTGTGCTTTCAGTTCGTTTCAGACTTCAGTTGACCCTAAACAAGGGCCAGGTAAATGACCTTGGAGGGTTCTATCCGGCCCCCAGGCCTTAGTTTGGGGACTCCTGATCTAGAACAATGCTTTACTGTTCTGTGGGAATGTGGCTACTGTTTTTGAGGGTTCTGAAATCATAGAGACACAAGCTTCTTTTGATGGAAAAAAGAACATGAAAAATGAGAAATAAGTTCCAGAGAGAGAGACTGAGGATCCGTGAAATCTGTGAGGATCCCTGGGTTAAACCCTTGTGCCAGTTGAACTGCTGACTTGAAGGTTGGTGGTTCGAATCCAGGGAGCAGGGTGAGCTACTGCTTGTCAGCTCAAGCTTCCTATGCTTAAGCTGGGAACAGATGCCTCCCACCGAATGATAAAACATCTGGGCGTCCCCTGCGCAACGTCCTTGCAGACGGTCAATTCTCTCACAGCAGAAGCAACTCCAATTTGCCTCTGACACGATAAAAAAGTCTGCTCCTAACAGCTCTATTTCATTGTTGTTGTGACAGTGGTTGTTCTTTAACACACAGTATTTTAATAGTTTTATCCATGTAGCAAGTTGCTTCTTGCAGTTTCTCAAGTCGCTCCTGACACGACAAAAAAAAAATCCATGTAGCAAACTTTGTGTTCACTGACCTATTAGAGAGCAAAGGGATGGGGATCCCTGCCACCGAAGTAGACAATATTTTGAACTACTTCAGCTTCTGAAATTTCACATAAGTCACGTTCAATCCATCACAAGGACAGAACATTAAAACAACTTCGATGAAAAGCACCCAAAAACAAAACTTCCAAAGCAGAAGCAAAAAACAGGAAGAGTTCGGCATCACTTTAAAGCAGGCATGGGCCAACTTCGACCCTCCAGGTGTTTTGGACTTCAATTCCCACAATTCCTAGCAGCCGGTGGGATGTTAGGAATGGTGGGAGTTGAAGTCCAAAACACCTGGAGGGCCGAAGTTGACCCATGCCTACTGTAAAGGCTACATCTACACTGGGTAGTAGAATGAAAGCACTTTGACACTGCTTCAACTGCTATGGAAACACGGGAGTGGAAGTTTGGTGAGGCCCCCGCCCTCTTGGGCAGAGGCGGCTCAAGGCCTTGCCGAACTACAACTCCCAGGACTCCCTAGCATTGAGCCACGGCAGTCAAAGCGGTGTCAAACCGCAGTCATTCCACACAGAGCGCATCCACTGAGGAGAACTCCCTTCTTCCGCCTCCGCTGACCTTCTCCTCGCCGTCGTAGAGGCGGACCCCGCGCTGCTGCGTGACCAGGTTCTCGTGGATATCCAGGAGGCCCGAGGCCCACGCGAAGCGGTCCATGGCCACAGCAGCAGCCCCAGGACCGTGCTCTCCCTCCCTTCCTTCCCCTTCCTGGTCAGGGAAGCCGAGAGAGAGGGGCCCGCCTCCGACGCCAGCGCCGCCCTCCTTTCAGCCGAACTCATCAGGGCGCCGCCATTTTGGAATCCTTGGTCTCGCGACTGGCTTGAAGCCATGCGTATCCATCGCCCTCAGTGCAACGACACCCGCCAATTGCGGCCCTCCAGTTCTTTGGGCCTCCAACTCCCAGAATTCCTGCCCGTTGAACAAGCTGGCAAAGGCTTCTGGGAGTTGGAGGCGTAAACTGTGGAAAGCCGCAGTTAGAGGCTACCTAACCGCAGTTAGAGGCTACCTAACTACTGACCCAGGGTGACGTCAGGCGCTGCACTTTGAGAGGAATGAGATAAGAATAAAATCCATTGAGTAAATCAAAATAAAGAGCAAAACAAGTTACAACAATTATAAAATGGAATAAAGAATACATAAACAGAAAATTGCTCTAAAATAAATAATGTAATAATACTAATATATTATATTAGTATATATTAGTATATATATCATATACTATTATATTAGTATATAGTATAATACTATTATATTAGTATATATATTAGTATTATTAGGGCTGGACAATCAAAACTCATTGTGCCAGATTCTTGTATTTGGGCAACTTCAATCCCTTGCCACATCCATTGTTTTAGAAATTCAATTCAAGGCACCCCAAAGAATGCAACCATCAAGGATCCTTTCCACCCCCAGAGATTGGCCACCTCGGGCAACCAACTGGGAGGAAATCCCAATCAGTGTGCCTGCAGAGCCAGCCCCTGAGCCAACAGACAAGACTGGTTTCAGGCTCTGGACCAATCCGGAGGAGGGAGGGAATTTTGAATGGGGCAATGCTAGTGAATGGGAAACTGTTGTATACAAAGGCCTGTTTCTGACCCCGTGTTTATGCTTGTACCTTTTAGCATCTTATTGCTGTACATAGCATCCATTCTGCAGAGTGAATAAAATCTCTGCTTGCCTTCAACCTGCTGTGGATCTTCTTCATTTGGCAGAAAATAACTTTATTTAGCGTTTCCTGAACTCAGGAAAGTCCTGGCCCTTTGGGAGACTATACACAAAATGCATACAGCCTTAACACCTAATAATTCTGGGTTGACCTGATTTAGGGCCCTCCCACAGGGCCATATAACCCAGAATATCAAGGCAGATCATGTACAATATCTGCTTTGAACTGGGTCATCTGAGCCCACTTCTATATAATCCATGTAATTGCAATAAAGATTAAAATGGTTGAGACGCATGCAAGAACCATTACAAGGGAAATGTTAAGGATGTGTGAGCAATGAATGCATTGCTGAGCAGGGACCATTTGAACCCCAACATAAAATGGTTATCCAACATTGGAATGTGCAACTGTAAGGCCCCTTCCACACAGCTGTATAAAATCCACACTGAACTTGATTATATGGCAGTATGGACTCAGATAACCCAGTTCAAAGGATGTCCTGCCTTTATTTTCTGGGTTATATAGCTGTGTGGAAGGGCCCTAATTGAAACATCATCATTATATATATTATTTGCTCTAATGATAATATTATAATGTGATACAATATAATACTACTACTACTACTAATATGATATTATAATGATATATTTTATATTATATGTAATATTACTAATAATATTACAGTATAATGTTATAGTACAATATTGTAATATATAATATTAATATTGTGCTATGATAATAATATAATATATTGGGTTGTTGTAGGTTTTTTCGGGTTATATGGCCATGTTCTAGAGGCATTCTCGCCTGATGTTTTGCCTGCATCTATGGCAAGCATCCTCAGAGGTAGTGAGGTCTTATACAATAATATACTGTATTTACATTTTACTTGTAAGCCACTCTGAGTCCCCTTCGGGGTGAAAAGGGCGGCATATAAATGTCGTAAATAAATAAATAAGTAAATAAATAATGGTGTTCTTCCAGACAGGCTCTATATCCCAGAATCCGACCCCAGGTTTTCTGTTTATTCCGGATTATCTGTCAGTGTGGGCTCATACAATCCAGTTTAAAGTAGAAAACCTGGGATCACATCCTGGGTTATAGGGCCTGTCTAGGGGCCCTTCCACACAGCCACATAACCCAGAATATCAAGGCAGAAAATCCCACAGTAGCTGCTTTGATCTGGGTTATCTGAGTTCACACTGCCATATATTCCTGTTCAAGGCAGAAAATGTGGGGTTTTATTCAGCTGTGTGGAAGGGGCCCGGAAGGACCCTCAGTTTTCAAATAATCACTGGGGGAGGGGGCAACCTGTTGCTTTACGGCTTCGAGGAGCAGATGAAAAAAAATCCCACAACCCCGCATGAGAACCGGAAATCAATAGACTGTGATTGTCCTCTATGGTGCTTTTTCTCTGCCTTTGCCTTTGGTTAGTAATGCCTCTATGGACTTCGCTCTGATTGGTTGATTTCAAGCCTCGAGGCCTCGCCCCTTCCAGCCAATGGGAGGCGTGCGGGCGGCAAGATTAAATTCAAACGGAGCGAGCGACGAAAGGACTTGGTGGCGGTTGAGCAGTGTCCTGAGGGAAAGAGCTGAGACGTCGAGAAAGCAGGTGAGAGTGGAGAAAGAAGGAGATCTTTCTCTTGTAAATATATATTTACATGTGTGTATGTATTAATATAAGGAGAGCAGCGAGGGGGGCTACAGAAGGGCCCTTCCACATAGCCACATAACCAGATTACACAAGATCTGCTTTGAACTGGGTTATCTGAATCCTCACTGCCAGATCATCCAGTTCAAAGTGGATTTTACACAGCTGTGTGGAAGGGCACACAGATAATCCAGTCCCTTTCCACACATATGAATTAAATCCCACATCTGCTTTGAACTGGGTTATATGACAGTGTGGGCTCAGATAACTCGGTTCAAAGCAATTCTGGATTATAAAGCTGTGTGGAAGGGCCCTCAGTATCTAAAATTAATTCCAAGGCTCAGTGCAAATAGGATCATGAGAATTGCAGCTCAACAAGGCATTTATAAATATAAAGCTCTATACCAGTGGTTCTCAACCTGTGGGTCCCCAGATGTTTTGGCCTTCAACTCCCAGAAATCCTAACAACTGGTAAACTGGCAGGGATTTCAGGGAGTTGTGGGCCAAAACACCTGGGGACCCACAGGTTGAGAACCACTGCTATATACGGTTCTGGCCAAGCTTACTTGTCTGAACGCATCTCCCACTATGTCCTGCCTCGCAGTTTAAGATCATCTGGGGAGACCTTGCTCTCGCTCCTGCCAGCATTGCAAATATGTCTGGCGGGGACGAGAGACGGGGCCTTCTCGGCTGTGGCCCCCTGCCTGTGGAACTTGTTTCCCAACGAAAAAAGTTCGCTGTTCTAATTATTATTTTTAATTGTTGTTATATTGCTTTGTTATATTTAATGGAATCAAATTGTGCCAAATGTATGCTGTCCTGAGTCCCCCTTCAGGGGTTGAGAAGGATGGGGTAGAAATGCTGGAAATAAATAAATAAATTTAGCCTTCATTGCCAAAGGGTGCTGGTGCCTCACCAAACTACTAAAGGAAAATTCCCAGGATTCCATAGCCTTGAGCAATGGCAGCTAAATGGTGCCGAATTGCATTAATTCCACAATGTCTCGTGTTTCTCAACCTGTGGGTCCCCAGGTGTTTTGACCTACAACTCCCAGAAATCCCAGCCAGTTTACGAGCTGTTAGGATTTCTGGGAGTTGAAGGCCAAAACATCTGGGGACCCACAGGTTGAGAACCACTTCTCTATAGCCCTGCAACAGATGTATGGTCCCTTCGGATTTATTTTAATAATGATTTTATTTCTTACCCGCCTCTCCCCATGGCTGGAGGTGGGTCACAGCACAGTTAAAAACACACACATACTATATAAAAATTCTACAAACACATTAAAATTCAATTCCATAAATGATAGAGATCAAAGCATTTCTGTAAAATACACATTCACATAGAACAGAGACCAAAACACATGGCATGGGTTTAAAATTCATGCTTAAAAGACTGGGTAGACCTGCCGCAAGGTCATAACTTTTGTCTTAAATTCCAACAGCTGATTTAGCTACTAGCAGGTCCTTCCACAGCCTTGGGGTAGCCGATAGAAAGGTCCTCTGGGACCCCTTCCACACAGCTGAATAAAATCCCACATTATCTGCTTTGAACTTGAATATATGGCAGTGTGGACTCAGATAACTCAATTCAAAGCAGATACTGTGGGATTTTCTGCCTGGATATTCTGGATTATATAGCTGTATAGAAGGCCCCTCAGATAACCTGGTTCAAAGCAGATATTGTGGGATTTTCTGCCTTGATTTTCTGGATTATATGATTGTGAGGAAGGGCCCTGGGTGGTGACTGCCCGTCAAGTTCTGACTGGTTGGAGCAGATGCCCTCCCACCCCAGAAGACAGAAGTGTCCAAAGGGATGGATAGTGTAGGAGAAGGCGACCTGGACACAAACCATGTGAGGTCCAGGTCCAACACTTTGTACTTTGCCCAGACACTAATTGGCAGCCAATGGAGTGTCTTTAGGATAGGTGTTCACTCCTGGATGTTCCCATAACTAATCTGGTTGCTGTATTTTGAGCTAGCTGGAGTTGTTTGTTTGTTTGTTTGTATTAAGGGTTCCAAGTGATGATTATTTTAAATATTTACTTCCAGACCTTTGTCCCTAACCAGAGGTCTCCTGAGTGGCTTAATGTTACCTAAAAGCGGCACCCAGGGTCCCAAAAGCTGTTAATACCGATTAAAGTAGATCCATAGAGACCATGGCATTTGCTTATATGTTAGTGCCCGTTATAGAAGTGCTTGAATGAGCAAATTTCAGTTAAATTTAATTGCAATTCTGTTGCTTCCCGCCTAGATTTTTTAAATAATAAAATTATACAAATCACACACAACTAACATTAACACAAAAACATACAATAAATCCGTTAAACAAATAAACACATATTTTAATACATGTAATCTATGTGCACCCACCACCCTAAAGGACATATATTCATTAATATTAATTAGTCTTATATTGACCTTTTCTCCAAAATTCTACTGTAGGTTGATTTAGTTTTATTCCCTTTTCTTTGACAAATATATATTATCAGAATTCTTCCCATATCACCTCACTGTCTTCTGTATTGCTCATTGTGTTCTCTTTCATTTTTTTCATTCGGAATTGTTTCGAAAGTATTTTGCCAAAAATGAGGTGCATTATTACATATAAATACAGTGATGTGCGAATATACCCAACACTTAGCTTTTCTGTGTTTTTCATTTTCTCAACAGCTGCCCAGATTAAACTCTGCATCAAATAAATTTATTTCTAAAGTGAAAATGGTAAGTACTAACATGTGTATTGTTACTATTCATCCACTTGCATTTTGAGATCAAAATGGATTACATATATTACATCCTGATTATTCCCTAAAGGCAAAGAACCTTGTTGCTTCCAGATAAAAAGCCAAGAAAAAAAGAGGTTTTAAAATATTTTGAAGAAAACCACTATGATTTCTGTTGCCCATATCCAATCGTTCCAAGGTCTTAGTTTTCTCATTCTGTACATTGAGACTATTATGAAATTTTTGAAATGAGGGAATCTTTATGGCCAGAAAAATACTAAATGTTTAATGGAAAACTAGCCATATATTTATTTATTATATTGAGGTGTTTCCAACTATGGATCATTTTTTTTCACATTGACATATCTAATGACATTTTTGTTCTGTGGCATTTGAAAGTTTCTCTGAAAGATCAGGTGCTAGTGCACGAAAGAGATCATTTAGGTTGTGATGCATCTAGTGTTAGTGTTTTGATTCTTTATTTGGAAATGAAAATAAAATGTTGCATAAGATATTTATCAAAGAAAACAACACCAGACCTTGGAAAAACTGGATTTTCCAGGCCCTTACATATCCTAAACATGAAAGAAGTATGGAGGGAAATGCAGGAGAATAGATAAAAAGTGAATCAATTATCACACTTATCTAGTTTTTCTAGTTTCCTTCCATTTATATCCTGCATTTATAATATAGTAATCTTCAATAAATGTTTTACAAATGTTTTACAAGGGAAATGATGAATAATGCATTCTATAATATAATAATGCCCTGCCCTGGGTCCCACCCCCATCTCAAGTACAGCTGGTGGGAACAAAAGAAAAAGGGCCTTCTCAGTGATTGCCCTCACCTCTGGAACTCCTCTAAGGAAATAAAGCTGGTCCCTTTCCTCCTCTCCTTGAGGAGGATTAGATAGCGAGAGATTACTACTGGGCCCTGATTGAGAACTATTTTGTATTTGGGCACTTCTAGTAAATGCCAGCCCAACGACCGTTGTTTGAATACACAACCAACCCACGAGGTTTTGTGAACTCTAGTTGGCTGTTGTAAATTAGTGTGGATGTTTGTTTAGAATTTATGTTATTATATAATTTTGTTTGACTACGTGTAGTTTAATTTACTGATGTTAGGTTTAATTTGATGTTAGGTTTTAATGTTATTTTCATATGCGGGATTTCAGTGGGGTTTTATGTCAGTATTTGTTGTACAAAGGCATTGAATGTTTGCTGTTATGTTGGAATCTGCCCTGAGTCTCCTTGGGGAGATAGGGCGGAATACAAATACAATTTTATACTATTATTATTATCATCATTATCATTATTATTATTATTCTCTTTGTATTTATGATATTTGAGAAATGCTTATAGCAATATTATATTTAGTACAGTAAGCTATATATGACATTGTGTTGGAAAACCTATGGGTAAAATATTATCTTGTGTTTTACTTAATTTTCAGGAAGATAAAGAAAATGCTCCTGGATCAACAATCATTCTGGGAGAAAATATGGCTTCTCCAAAGGGATTAAAATCTCCCAATGTACTGAAGCAAATTAATATGGCTTCAAATTCTAAATCTGCATTCGACACTACAGCAGCTTCTGACTTTGCCGAAAATAAAATCAAGGGTGCCTCACTCAGTCAGGCATTCTTGCTTAAAAGAAATGCAAAGGAAACACAGCTAAAAACAACTACACCCAACCCTGGTGCATGCCTCTCTGAGAAGCGTGTGCTTGGCTCGTATCGGGGTAAGATAATATCATCTAAGATCAACTCCTTCAGAAATGTCCCAAGGAATGTGGAGAGCAGGAATTCCTTGGCTGCTCCCCCTAAGTCAGTTTTGAAGACGGGAGCCACAGACAATAGTAAATGTGCTAAGGACACTCAAATCACCAGCACAGTTAGCACTTCTAAGGCTGGGGCTATAACCTCAGTTCAAACTAGGCCTCCTGTGAAAGTATCTCTTAGCCAGCCCAAGCCCATCCTGAATCCTGAGAATAAGCCTGCCAGAAGTTCATCAGCGCATAAAGGAGGAGCCCAAATAAACTTTGCCAGGAACTGGAAGCCAGTGTTAAAGTCTGTTCCAGCCAGTGCTAATAATTATGTGCATGCAACAAAAAAACCTCCTGTACCTAAAACTGTAACAGGAAATTTAGCAGGACCTGCTTCTCAGGCTCGTAGGTCTGTGGCAATCTCAGAATCATTTGACAAAAGGAAAACACTTCCGGCAACATCTTCACACGTGAGAAGGTAATGAAAATATTAAAAATGTGGGTAACCTATTTTGTCGTTTGTCTGGTATGCATGTGAACTCATAAACGTTAAATAATGAAATTGACTATTTGATTGTAGGCAGAGTACATTTCAGCTCTTTAGAGGTGAAAAGGCTAAATAGCAAGAAGGTTGAAAGCTGGTAAATAAAAGTGCTCTATAGCTAGTTGGGTTAAGAGCAGTTTGGTGGGCTTTTAATACTATGACTGTATGACAAAGCAAAATAACTTTGCTTCAAAAAGATGCCCATTGGTCCAGTGGTGATCAGACATATATTAGGGCCTAATTGCCACATGCAGCACCCCCCCCCCCTTGCCTGTACTGCCTTGAGCTAAATAAGCAACGTATGAATTGCTTAACCTAAAATATCAGCATTTGCTCCAGGGTGTTTGTGTCCTGAGACTAATGAGAGTTGAGTATTTATTATTTATTTATTTACTGTATTTCTATCCCGCCTTTTCAACCTGGAGGGACTCAAGGCAGCCTTACAACAGACAGCAATTCAATGCCAGACATGTATCAATACAGTTACAATTAAAATGTAACTTATTAAAAACATCAATTAAAATCATACAACCCAAAACGTAATCCAGGTCTGTTCCATTTATCTATTCACATAAAACCAATATTTATCTATATGCCTTTATTGAGACAGCTTTCCAAGCTGTTTCTTTTGCGCCTGCTCTCCAATTCCAGAGTCATTTTTAATGAATCCACTATTTTCCCCATGATAACTTTTTCAGGAGTGAATTTCCCTTACTAGGAGTTAATTTCCTCTCGCTTCCTATTCCCTCACCCCCATTTGTAACTAGCAGTCTCATGGAAGTTGAATGTCTGTAACTCAGAGACTGCCTGTATTGTGAAATGAATTCCCTAGCTTTATTTCTATTTCCAATTCTTAATGAAGGAGGCAAACACCATAATTAATTTTTGCAGTTGAAACGAGCTGAAAAGGGAGACAAAGTGTGTTGGTTTTTGAGAGTATCTGCTTACTCTTAACCCATGATTGTGCTTTTATGCACTGTTGATGTGGTCTCTGTCACATGCTATCTTGCTGTTGAGGAGCAATGGAAAGTGTTGCTAACTATATTAATATAATCCTTTTCAGATCTCAGCTGGCTGAGTGGCAGGTGCAGAAAGGGATCAAAAAGCCATCTGCTCCAATATCTGCAGATACTCAGCCTAAAACAGAAACAGCTGAGCAAATTGTACAAGAGCCAACTAAGTCCTTTTGGGCCACCATAGCTGAGGAAGATGAGCAAGGACTTATCACTGACAAAGCCAATAAGACACTTGCAGAATGTTTGCTCTTAATTGAGATGGTGAGTTGTGGGTTATGATTAATGTTATATCTGTCTAAGATGATTGGCAGCCCACATGTCTCAGAGGGTAAAGAGGACTTAAGGAAAAGGTTCCTATCCTCTAGAGCAGCGGTCGGGAACCTTTGGCTCTCCAGGTGTGGTGGACTTCAACTCCCACAATGCCTTGAGGCTCGGCACTAGCGGGCGGAGCCGAAGCGGCGAGGAGGCGCGTTGCCCGCAGGGGTTTCYGCCCGCTCTGTCCCTCCGAGGCCAGCCTTTGCTGCCCGTCCTCCATGAAAAAGASCCMRKSCARCMYRKGYTGSMYKGGSTCTTTTTCATGGAGGACGGGCAGCAAAGGCTGGCCTCGGAGGGACAGAGCGGGCVGAAACCCCTGCGGGCAACRCGCCTCCTCRCCGCTTCGGCTCCGCCCGCTAGTGCCGAGCCTCAAGGCATTGTGGGAGTTGAAGTCCACCACACCTGGAGAGCCATAGGTTCCCGACCGCTGCTCTAGAGAGAGGGATTTAAAAAATTTAAATGGGCACAAATAATAAAGAATGCATGTTTCTCTTTGGTGGATTAACGAGAGGACTTCAACGTAAGTTGGACAACTATAGATCAAAACATTAGCTTGGAAGGATTGTGCAATCTATAGTATCAAAGTGATACTTCCCACCCAGAAGGAGGGTTTGGGTAAGTCCCAATCGTGGATTGCTTCTTAATGCCATCCTGAGAGTGAGAAATTGGGCTTAATCATGATAGCAGGAGGAGCAATTCATGTTCTCCTTGGGAAGAACAACTAAAACAATATAATACTAAGTAAAAATGGCTCTGAGAATGTATCTGAGTTTAGTTTAATTGGTTAATGCTTGATAATAAAGCTATTGTAGGAAAGGAGCTTAACACCTCAACTGAAAAACAATGTTAATTCTTGCTAGTTTGGATGACACATAGAGGCTAAAATCAATTGTGGATTGCTTCTCCTGCCATCCCAGGAGTAAGTCCAATTTCTCATCCAACACAAACTTTGTGTTCACTGTGGTAGACTAGCATGTATGTCAATAATTCGTGTCAAATATCAACTTTTGCACAGTTGGGCGTCTTATGTTGTATTTCTTTTATATCTCTTCTCAGGGTTCTCCTGAAACAGTGCATCAGACTTTGGAAACGCTCATACTGACTATTCCAAATGCAAAAAGGCTTGCAAAGTATTGGGTGTGTCAGATGCGTCTTGAACAATTTCGCTCTATTGAAAAGGTCCTTTGCATTTATGAAAATGCAATTCTGGCAGGAGCACAGGTAGGGACTACTAGATGTGGCATGGCTTCTAATGTATTTTGCTTTGACAAGGGAATACGAAGAGTATTTTTATTATCACCTTTTACCCAAGCAGCTCATAGTGATGTATACATAGTTCATATCCCCAACCCTAATCCTTGTAATAACCTTGTGGGATGGTGACTGTTTTAGAGTCACCCAGTGAGTTTCATAATTAAATGGAGATACGAATTTGAGTTTTCCAGGTCCTAGTCCAGTGCTCTGATCAATACACTGGCTAATTATGGTTAACCTTCCATATTCATTGGAGTTCGGAGCACAAGACCCTTGCAAAAACAAAAACCTATGGAGAATATTTTCTCTAGGAATCTCTAAGTCCTGTATTGCACTGTTTCTTAAACTATGGATCCTGACCACAAATGAGATTCTCTAAGCTCAATGTGAGGTCACAAAAACTTTGGCAACAATAAAAGGTTTGGGAATACCACACATGTACACAAATTTGTTAACAACATGCAATGGATTCTGCAGAAAATACTTTAGCTGTACTTTACAAAGAAGAAAATCAGCCTTTTTAGGAAGCTTTGCAAACACTGATTTATTATCAGTAAATGTTTGATTTTATACCTGTTTTATATACTTCTCTGTCTGGGATCATATACAGATTTCTCAGGCAGAAAGTGTTCACGAGTGGAAATGTTTATGAAGCTCTCTAGTGCAACTCTATGGTGGAAACTGATGATGGAATCATGTTGTAGAATCCAGAGATTAGTATAGAGAATATATTAACATATTAATCAAATCCTCAAAAGTGAAACTCGCATTTGCCAAGGGCAAGTTTACAGCTAATCTAATTGGATACTAACCAAAATATATTTCTTCCAGCCAACTGAAGAGCTACGCCGTGTGTTAGCTGAAGTTATGAAGGTTAAAACTGATATAAAGAAATGTGATGGTAAGAATTAAAAATCCACCTTAAGTTAGACACCTCAAATAAATTGGCAAGTGCTTCTTGCAGAGCTTTTACTGTTGTCCTTTGTCATCAAGGCTTAGAATATTTTAATTATTTATCCCAGTTTTGGTGTATGTCTAAATGTGTGTGTTTGTGCAAGCCGGCACAAGTGGTATTATAAAAGCATGTGTATATCTGTGGCTAAAGGTGTATCTGTCATGGGCCCGATCCACACTGACTGTTTAATGTGTTATTGAAAAAAGTGGTTTCAGTGTGCAAATAATTGCAGATGAAATCCTGGAACCGGTTTGAGGCCTGGGTGGTGATGACACAAACTGATGCACTGATACACATTAAGGACCTTCTTTCATGCATTTTTCTGGTAGTTTGTTGTCTGGCTGCCACAGTTTGAAACTACCTTTGATCTGCATTAAACGTTCATTGTAGATGGGGCCCTAGTGACACTTTAGTAATGGAAGAAAAAAAAATCAAAATCTTAGTGTATTATAAGCATTGTGTTATAAGTTCTATTTCTATTCAACCTGGGTTAATGTAAGTATCCTCTTCTCATAACTTTCCACTCTATTTGATATCCTTCTGAGGCACAAACAGGTAAGGAGGGCTTGCAAAGGAGGAACAACTCGAAAGTCATTGGCCTCAATGTGACAACCTTTTAAATATTTAGACATGACGATTATGTTCCCTCTCAGCTTTCCTTTTCTCCAAGCCAAACATACCCAACTCCCTCGGCTATTCCTCATAGGGCTTCCAATCCAAGCATTTCATCATTTCTGTTGGATTGGAAGATGCTGGTGTCACTGAACCATAATTAGGCAGGTATTCATTTTACTGTGAGATTCTGCATACCTTGAGGGCAAAACGCTTCTCTTAGCAGTGAAAGGAGGGCCACATGTGCGCCCTTTTCAAAGTGATACTTGCATACTCCCTCAAGGCACATAAAAAGAAATCTCATTCACTGTGGATAAACAACTCCAAAAGCTGAAGATCCTGTCTTCTATATGCAGATCAGAAAATGCAAGGAAAAGACATCAAAAAGGAGCTATAGCTTGTGACTATAATCAGTGTCTAGCATCCTGTGGCAGCTACCAACTAGAAGTGTATTTCTTTGTTTGTGGTTCCCATAAAGGAGAACAAGGAATGTTTCTCCTCACTATCTCTGGAAATTGTACAGTATTTATTTATTTACCTTACTTATATACCGCTTTTCTCAGCCCGAAGGCGACTCACAGTGGTTCACAACAAATACGAACAGCAAAAATTCAGTGCTACAGTATAAAAACAGTTAACAACCTAACACATTACACAATTAATAAACAGTTACTACAATACCCATTCACTGTCGTCTCGTCATCAAAAACATGTTCCAGATTCGTCATCCATTGTTCCATTCCAGTGTTCATTAACCAATCATTGCACTAATTATTCGAACGCCTATGCTGTAGTGGCTGGTGGCAGGGGGAGCTGAGAGATCACCCATCAGTAGCTACTATAGTTGTAGACAGCTCTTGCCATCCTGTTCAGTTTGCATATTGGCTGCTGTAGAAGTGAAACCAGCAGAGAAATACACCACGTTGGTGAAGCTCCTTCATTGGACTACTCCATTTTGAGTCAACATTTTGTGCATTTTTGTCTTGTTTTTTCTACTTCTAATAGTCAAAAATAATGTTGCAAACCGGTAATTTTGGAAAGCTTGGCATATAACAAATAGCCACCCTAATTGTTAGAAAAGTGGAAAATACCTTTACAATTTATTGTGAAGGTATTGTCAGTTCATTCTTAAAGTCTTTCCTGGGAAGTCTAGAGTCCTCCCCATTAAACAAGGTACAGTAGACTCTCGCTTAGCCAACATAAACGGGCCAGCAGAATGTTGGATAATAAGGAGGGATTAAGGAAAAGCCTATTAAACATCAAACAACGTTATGATTTTACAAATTAAGCACCAAAACATATTTTACAACAAATTGGCAGAAAAAAGCAGTTCAATACATTGTAATGTTGTGTAGTAATTACTGTATTTACGAATTTAACACCAAAACATTACAATGTATTGAAACAGTTGTGGATCCAGGCGGGATGATACAGAATGTTGGATGAGCAAAGGTTGGATAAGCGAGATTCTTCTGTAATTTTGATGACATCTCAGTCTCTATAGCTTGGAAATATAGATCATGCCCATTTATGGCAGGGTTGGAAAAGTGTAGCCCTCAGGACTTCCCAGATGTGTTGGCTGTCTTTCAGGAATTTGTTTTGTCTGGAAATGTTGTGGTTTCATTTCCCTCCCCTAGCCCCATCCTGAAAGAAAAAAGCCAAAAATGACAAACATGCATGACTTCCACGTCATTTCTAATTTGCTCAGGATGGCACAAACACAGTTGCCCATCCCAGTTTATTGTGTATATGGTTGTTGTTGTTTTTTTGAAGTAAATAGCAACATTAGTTACTGAGATTTTTTTTAACAGTCAACACCAAATATTCTGCTGTTCTTTGATTATAATATAGCTATAAGGAAAGATGGTCTACAAAGTGTAATGTTACCCTTGAATTTCATTTTTATTGAGAAAATGTCTTCACCTCTTATAATTTTGATATTTCTTTTCCCCCCAGAAGAACAGGTGAGGGAACAAATCACTCAAAATGATGAGGCCAAAGAAGAAAATTTAGATAAACACAAATCAGAAAATATTTCCAAAGATGAACCCGCAAGTGAAAATTTGGAGTCTCATAGTGAAGACGATTCCCAAAAAACAACAGATGCTTGTTTGAAGGCTGAACAAGAGACAAATGAAGAGAGCAGTAAGCCTCTATTAAGGAACAATGATCAGGATGAAAGCCCCACAGATGAAATTGTGGAGTCAAAATCTGATGACAAAATAGGCTCCTACTTAATTAAATATAATTTGACAACTACTCCTCTTTTGGAAAGGTGAGCATTGATTTCTTTAAATATACACTTTCACGGAGCAGGGGTGACTATATAGAACACCCATATACCGAGTATAAGCTGAGGCACCTAATTTTACCACAAAAAACTGGGAAAACATTGACTCGAGTATAAGCCGAGGGTAGGAAATGCAGCAGCTACTGGTAAATTTCAAAATAAAAATAGATACCAATACAAACACATTAATTGAGGCATCGGTAGGTTAAATATTTTTGAATATTTACATAAAACTGTAATTTAAGATAAGACTGTCCAACTCTGATTCAACCATTCTAACCTTCTTCAATGTAAATGTGCTTACGCATTCTTCAATTAATAATAGAGTAAAATAATACATGCAGTAACAATAATAGAGCAAAATAATAAACATAATAGTAATAGAGTAAAATGTAATAAAATAGTAATGTTAGTAAAATAGAGTAAAATAATAAATGTAACAATAATTTACATTTCATAAATAAATTTGAAATCATAAATATAAATAATTTAAATAATTTTGACTCGAGCATAGGCTTTCTCAGCCTAAAAGAAGAGCTGAAAAACTCTGCTTACACTCGAGTATATATGGCAAGCCCTATACCAGGGGTCCTCAAACTTTTTAAACAGGGCCAGGTCACAGTCCCTCAAACTGTCAGGGGGCTGGATTATAGTTTGAACAAAACATGAATGAATTCCTATGCACACTGCACATATCTTATTCGTAGTGCAAAAAACACTTTAAAACAATACAATGATTAAAATGAAGAACAATTTCAACAAATATAACATTATTAGTATTTCAATGGGAAGTGTGGACCTACTTTTGGCTGATGAGATAGGATTGTTGTTATTGTTGTGTGCTTTCAAATCGTTTCAGACTTAGGTTGACCCTGAGTGAGGGTCGGGTAAATGACCTTGGAGGGCCGCATCCGGCCCCCAGGCCTTAGTTTGAGGACCCCTGCCCTATATTCAACTCAGCAGGAATTAACTTGCGTAGTCAGATCTAGGATCACATTATTAGGATTTGTGTTTGCTATTTACCCCTACAAAAATCTACCATATTAGCTGTGCTAATATTTTCTTGATAAATTGGATTTTATGTTTCCTGAGGTTATCTCACATATTTCATATAGTTATCTGTTGGGAGGATGTTTTTTCAGCAGTTATTTGAAGTTGTTATTAATGCAAAATTAATTCCGCATCTACTTTATATAAATGGTCTCTTCATTTTCTGTCCCCAAGTACAAAGAAAAAACTACAGTTTGAAGCCAAGGATTCTGCTGTCAAGGACCTGAAATTTCTAACTCCTGTAAGACGCTCTCGCCGCATAAATGAAAAGTCATCCAAGTTTCCAGACGTGTTGAAAGAACACGGCGCTTGTGTGTCTTCACTTGAACAGCTTGGAGAATGCGGAGATGCTGGCACTGGTTTCATCTATAGGCCAAACCGTGCCCTGAAAAGTGTTTCCATCAACCTAGAAGAGCATGACAAAGAATGAGAGTTTTCAATGTTCAATGATTTTATTTGTATACAGCTCCTGTAAATGAAAAGCTTCTCTCTTTAACCTGTCGCAATGAAGATGAATGTAGATACTCACAGATGTGGAAGCCTTTTGCCTTTGTTAGCCAGGTGGTTTGGCTCTCACTCCCTGCTGCCTTGATCCTTGCATCACTTACTACTTGTTGCTTATGAACTCTTAACACAACCTTGGTACTAAAATATCCATACTCCCAGCTCTTGTGGCCTTGGCAATGGCACACTGAGATGGGCCTTCACCATGGATAAATACTAACCTATTTTTATTTTAATATATTTTTTGTAAAATAAAGCAATTTATATTACAGTAAACATACAATATCCAAGACACTTAATCCTCCCCCCGCTCATTAATCTCATATCTAGTGTAAATTTTGCTCTTATGTAAGTATTTCTATCCTTCACCTCTGTGCTCCCTTCTCCCTGAGCCACTTTAAAAAATATTTTCTGTCCAAAATTTCATTTCCTCTTGTGTAGATAACTTTCCATCCTTCTTTATTGATCCTCTTTCAATAAATTTCTCCCAGATATCAAAATAATTTTCCTCCATATTCCTAACTTTTAACTTGCATGTCAATTTATCGTTTATTGCCAGTTTCAATAATTCCTTACACCATTCTTCAATTTGTATATTGATTCCCCTTTTCTAATTCCTCGCTATAAGCAGCCTTGCTACTGTTAAGTAAATTAGATATTGCATCTTTTCCCTCATTTTTTTCAACTGTTTGTTACATAATGATAAAGCAATACTAGGTTCTTTTTTCTAATTTTATAATATCCTCTCTCGAAAAACTTCAAAATTCATTTACATATTTACATTGCCACTACATATGTATATATGTTCCCAATTCCTGGCATCCCCTCTGACAGTTCTTTGGGTAATTTTTATTTATATTTGCTATTTTACCAGTGTTAGATACCATTTCCATATCAATTTATAATAGTTTTCTTTAACCTATTTTATTTTAACCATAAAACAGCTTTAACAGGTGTTAGCTTTTAACTGTCTGTCTGTTTGTCACCTACCTTCAAGCATGTAAAATATATGGCTAGTATCCAACTGAGTCCTTGAACTGATAAAGGGGGTCTTCCTGCCAACTTTGGTGCAGGGATTTTTCTCCCTCTGCCTTATAGTGATTCTCAACCTGTGGGTCCCCAGGTGTTTGAGCATACAACTACCAGAAACCCCAGCCAGTTTACCAGCTGTTAGGATTTCTGGGAGTTGAAGGCCAAAACATCTGGGCACCCACACATTGAGAACCACTCCTTTAAAGCTTCCCATTCAATTAAAGCAGATATAGGTTGAACGGGAAAGATAATCCTCTTCCTAACAATATTTCTTCATAAGAATTTTTCCTTAGCTGGGACCCACTTGGGCTTTGCCTAAAATTTCTTGTCTGCCTTAACTATATGTTTGGAATGTTTGTGTTTTAAGAAGAATAATTGAAATAAATCTCTCTTATCATTAACAAATTAGCATATTACTTCTTTATTTGAACAGATTAATACCATTAAAAGATAAGTAAACTTGTCAGTGGAGCTACAATGGGCTGGAGTGTCAGGAATTGCTCAACTTTGCAGCCTAATGCACTACTGCCACCAGGTAGTAGTGCATTAGGCTGAGCTGTGCGTAGAATCATAGAGTTGGAAGAGACCTCATGGGCCATCCAGTCCAACCCCCTGCCAAGAAGCAGGAATATTGCATTCAAAGCACCCCTGACAGATGGCCATCCAGCCTCTGTTTAAAAGCTTCCAAAGAAGGAGCCTCCACCACACTCCGGGGCAGAGAGTTCCACTGCTGAACGGCTCTCACCGTCAGGAAGTTCTTCCTCATGTTCAGATGGAATCTCCTTTCTTGTAGTTTGAAGCCATTGTTCTGTGTCCCAATCTCCAGGGAAGCAAAAAACAAGCTTGCTCCCTCCTCCCTGTGGCTTCCTCTCACATATTTATACATGGTTATCATATCTCCTCTCAGCCTTCTCTTCTTCAGGCTAAACATGTCCGGCTCCTTAAGCCGCTCCTCATAGGGCTTGTTCTCCAGACCCTTGATCATTTTAGTCACCCTCCTCTGGACACATTCCAGCTTGTCAATATCTCTCTTCAATTGTGGTGCCCAGAGTTGGACACAATATTCCAGGCAGAATAGAGGGGTAGCATTACTTCCCTAGATCTAGACACTATGCTCCTATTGATGCAGGCCAAAATCCCATTGGCTTTTTTTGCCGCTACTGCTGACTTATGCAGTGGCATCAATGTTGCCATGTGTTGTGGAGCTGTAAGGTTTTCATGGCCAAAATCACTGGGTTGCTCTAAGTTTTCCGGGTTGCATGCCATGTTCCAGAAGCATTCTCTCCTGATGTTTTGCCCACTTCTATGGCAAGCATCCTCAAACTCCATGTTGACTATAATTCTAAATGGAATTGAAGATTGGGAAGTACCTATGTCATCCCACCCATAGTGTAACCATGCCTATAGTACTGTAGATTTCTGCTCACTGCACCTGTAGAGCTAAGGAAAATATCAAAAATCAAGGCACTAGAACCCTGTGAGAAATGGTTTCCACATTTAGTGCTGTGAAACGGGATGAACATTTATAAAACTGCACAATCAGAAAAATGGAATGATGGAAGCCTCAAGACACAGGGAAGTATGTCATAGTATATTACTATAGCATTTGGGGCATGCAATGTAGTGATTAAACAGCATTAAAGAGGAATTTGACAATTTGTGGGGTTTAAGTAGAATCCGTGGCTATTAGTCCAAATAGCTAGGTATCTCAAATAACAAGTAGTATGTCAGTTGCAGAATGCGAGATGGAAGGTGTAGTTATTGCTGGGTGTCCTGTGGAAAACTGGCCACTGAACAGAATAGTACACTTTTATTTCAACAGAAAGGAGAAAATCATGAAAATGAACAAAATCTGGCTACCAGTATTAAAAAAAAGTCTAAAATTACAACAGTGAGGAAGCAATCAGGGCTAGCTAATCACTTCTCAACAAAAGATTCCCCCAGGCACTAGCAAGCCACACCAAACAACTGCCAGGCCATCAAATGCTAATCAAGGTGGTCAGTTGAAACATTCACACCTAGCTCCAACAGACAAGAGTCCTTTGTCCCACTCTGGTCATTCCACAGATATGTAAACCCAATTTTTCTAGTTCCAACAGACCTCACTACCTCTGAGGATGCTTGCCATAGATGCAGGCGAAACGTCAGGAGAGAATGCATCTAGAACATGGCCATATAGCCCGAAAAAACCTACAACAACCCATTGATTCCGGCCATGAGAGCAATATATCTCCATAGCTTCTGCTGTGGACTTTACTAGCTTTGAACTGAGTGATCTGAGTCCACACTGCCATATATCCCAGTTCGAAGCCCTTAATGTAGGGCTGTATTCAGCTGTGTGGAAGGGGCTTGCCAAGGTTCAATGCTATGGAGTCCTGGGAGTTTGCAGCTGGGAGGCGAGGCCCTTCCTCTCTTTGGCAAGGAAGGCGGAAGCCTTTGCAAGACGACAACTCCCAGGATCCCATCGCATTGATCCAGCCATGCGGGCGGGCCCTCCTCCGACCTCTTCCCTGCTGCCAAGGAAGGCGGGGGAAAGGTTTGTGGAAGAGCCCCGGGGGGTGAGTATCCTTCCTTACTACAGTTTACACGCGAGCGAGAAGCAGAAAAGGACTAAAAGAGCGCCCGCTTGGTGTGCTGCTTCTGCCAGCGCCTTTGTTCTCTTTGCTCCCACCACACGGTGGGAGATCCAATCCAAAGCGTTTCCTGGTTCAAATGCATTGAGCGATATTTCTTGTTTAAGAGCCTTCAGGCACCAAATCTCAACTGATCTTGGGAGCTAAGCAAGGTTGGCTCTGCTTACGGTTTGGATGAGAGACCGCCCACACATGCCAAGTGCTGTAGGCTCATGTTTCAGAGGAAGGGGTTGGTGAAACCACCTCTGGAGCCTTCCTTGTCTCAGACCTCTTCTACACTGCTATATAATCCAGATGATCAAAACAGATTGTCTTGAGAAACTGCAAGTCGCTTCTGGTGTGAGATAATTGGCTGTCTGCAAGGACGTTGCCCAGGGGACGCCTGGGTGTTGTGATGTTTTACCATCCATGTTCGGAGCCCCCAGTGGCACAGTGGGTTAGACCCGTGTGCCGGCAGGACTGAAGACTGACAGGTCATAAGTTTGAATCCAGGGATGGGGGGGCTCAACACATTACGCAAAGTAAGCATTTGCAGTATAGTTGATTTTGCCCAGGGGCGCTCTTGAGGCGCTCTTGAGGGAAAATAGACCTTGACATATGCGAGTTGTAGTTACTGGGATGCATAGGTCACCTACAATCAAAGAGCATTCTGAACTCCACCAATGATGGAATTGAACCAAATATGGCACGCAGAACTCCCACGACGAACAGAAAATATATATCAATGATTGTTTGGGAGGCGCCAAAATACTGTTTGCTTACCGTTGAAAATTACCTAGGGCCGCCTCTGATCCAGGGAGAGCGTGAATGAGTTCCCTCTGTCAGCTCCAGCTCCTCATGCGTGGACATGAGGGAAACCTCCCACAGGGATGGTAAAACATCACAACATCCAGGCGTCCCCTGGGCAACGGCCTATACTCGCACACGCGACAAAAAGAAAACAACATCCTTGTGGGAGGCTTCTCTTATGTCCCTGCATGGGGAGCTGGAGCTGACAGAGGGAGCTCATCCACACCCTCCCTGGATTCGAAACCTGCGACCTATCAAAGCAGATAATCTCACTACCTCTGAGGATGCTTGCCATAGATGCAGGCGAAACGTCAGGAGAAAATGCTTCTAGAACATGGCCATAATGTCCGGAAAAACCGACAACAACCCAGATAATCTGAGTTATAACATTAACATTAGGCGATCCCTCGTAGTCCAAGTAGGATTGTCTTCCAAGATCGGTGTACTGGGGGTAGGTCCGTAGGTGACTGTGGAGCCCTAGAGAAGATCTGCATCTTCTCCCACAGTGAGGGCATTAGTTTCCAGGTGAAAGGCCGTCCTGGTCGAGGTTGGCTTGACGCACCTTCCTCTTGGCACATGAGAGAAATGGCACCTGCAAACAAGTCTATTGACGAATAAGAGCACTTGAACAAATCTGTTGATCAATAAAATCCACGCCGCCATATAAAATCCAGATTATCTGCCTTGAACCACATCATATGGCAGTGTACACTCATAGAACCCAGTTCAAAGCAGATAACGTGGGATATCAAGGCAGATAATCCACAATATCTGCTTTGAACTGGGTTATCTGAATTCACACACGGCCATATAATTCAGTTCAGAGCAGATAATGTGGGATTTTTTTCAGCTGTGTGGAAGGGGCCTACGTTGACAGACTTCAAAAATGAGGGACGAGTAACTTGGTGATTGTGGCATGTGCAGTAGGGAACATGAAGTGGAGATGTTGCTACCCAGCTGCTAAGTTTTGGAACATTCCACACGGGTACAAAATTCATTTGTGCGAGAGCGCAGATGGCCACTTGAAGAATCATAGTTACCGATAAACAACTTATATTTCCTTATTGCACAGAGTACAAAGGGAACCAAACCAATCTCAAGTCATATAAATATTTAAATCATCCACAAAAGTATAACATGTATTTTGGAGCGAGAAAGGTGAAAAAAGGGAGTTTGGGGGTTGCTTCAGGAGGAGCTGGCCAGAATCAAGGCTAATGTTGTTGCTCTTTTGCTACTTCATTAGGAAATTCTGAGAAGGGAGAAAGCCCAGCTTATCAAGTTTTGGAGAGTCCACTGCAAGCATTAAAGCAGTTTGATAACCATGGAGCAATACAGTGTGCTGAAGATACTTGGGGAAGGATCCTACGGGAGAGTTCTTCTGGTCCAACATAGAAACAAGAACCAGAAATATGCAATGAAAGAAATAAGACTTCCAAAGGTAAGTGTGAGTCATGCACGTATTTTGACAACATGGGCTCCAGTGCCATGTGCACAATCGCCAGCAGCTTCCTCAGAAATCTATCTATCTATCTATCTATCTATCTATCTATCTATCTATCTATCTATCTATCTATCTATATAATAAAAAGTCAGTGTTTGTATGCGGAGGATGGGAGGTGTATGTGGCAGCGTTCTGATTGGCTGCCACTGTGGAACTATTTGCATATAGTCTCTGATTGGCCACCAGAACATTCTGAGCTACCAGAGAGAAAAGGAAAGGGGGCTGAGGCTGTCGGGAATGGTTGGAGTGGAATTCCAAAACACCTTGTGGCCCCCAACAATGACAGAACAAGACCAAACCTGGCACACAGACACCCCCCCCCCCCGATGCAGTTCTAAGGGGGATGGACCATGGATGATGGGACTTGCAGTACCTTTACTCACTTACTGAAACCACTGCGACCCTCATCTAACGACTGATCAAGACCAAATTGGCACAAAGAGCCCCCATGATCCACTCTACATCCTGCTGCAGTTTGGAGGAGGGTGGACCATGGATGATGGGACTTGCAGTACCTTCACTCAATTACTGAAGCTACAGCGACCCTCATCCAATGACTGATCAAGACCAAACTTGGCAAACAGAATCCCAATGACTCACTCTACATCCTGCTGCAGTTTGGAGGAGGATGGACCATGGATGATGGGACTTCAAGTACCTTCACTCACTTCCTGAAAACAATGCAATCGTCATCCAATGACCAATAAAGACCAAACTTGCCATACAGAACTGCCACTACCCACTTTCTCTATTAACCCGGGCAGCGCCGGGTCCCCAAGCTAGTAAACAATAAAATCCCAGTGCTGAGTATGGCACGGCACAGCCTTATAACCGCATAATGAGCTATGCTGCAGGTGTCCACTAGATACTCCCCAGACTCACTATTGAGCTATTGCAGCCTAAATTTCTCATTGTGTAATGTCAGTATTTGGGTGATTAAAAAGCAATTGAGCAGTTCTCGCAGGTTTTCTTGGATCCAAGAGGGATGCAGTTCATTAATAAAATATATATTGCTCTGGATATATATTTTTCTTACTGGGTTGCTGTGGGTTTTCTGGGCTGTATGGCCATGTTCCAGAAGCATTCTCTTCTGACGTTTCACCCACATCTATGACAGGCATCCTCAGAGGTTGTGGGGTGAGTTGGAAACTAGGCAAGTGAGGTTTATATATCTGTGGAATAATGCAATTGGCCACCTTGATTAGCATTGAATGGCCTTGCAGCTTCAAAGTCTGGGTGCTTCCTCCTTGGGATAATCCTTTTTTGGGAGGTGTTAGCTGGCCCTGATTGTTTCCTGTCTGGAATTCCCCTGTTTTCTGAGTGTTGTTCTTTATTTACTGTCCTGATTTTAGAGTTTTTTAAATATTGGTAGCCAGATTCTCTTCATTTTCTTGGTTTCCTCCTTTCTGTTGAAATTGTCCACATGCTTGTGGATTTCAGTGGCTTCTCTGTGTAATCTGATGTGGTGGTTGTGAGAGTGGCCCAGCATTTCTGTGTTCTCAAATAATATGCTGTGTCTAGGTTGATTCATCAGGTGCTCTGCTATGGCTGACTTCTCAGGTTAAATTAGTCTGCAGTGCCTTTCATTTGCCTTTTTTTAACTTGCTGCCATAGCTCAATGCTATCGAATGGTTTTGTTTTGGTTTTTTTGTCGTGTCAGGAGCGACCTGAGAAACTGCAAGTCACTTCTGGTGTGAGAGAATTGGCCGTCTGCAAGGACGTTGCCCAGGGGTGGGATTTCGTGATCACATAAAATACTTTATTCCTCACACATTTTTGATGTCATTTATTTAATTATTTTCCCAATTGTGCCATTGTTTCATGGTTAAAGAACTCTCCTTCTACCAGGATGCACCATGGCATGAAACAGTCTTTCTGGGGTCTCTTCTACACTGCCCAATAAAATCCAGATTATCTTCTTTGAACTGGATTATATGGCAGTGTGGACTCAGGGCCAGAATATCAAGGCAGAAAATCCCACAATATCTGCTTTGGACTGGGATATCTGAATTCACAATTCCATAGGTTAAAACAAATAATGAGGGATTTTATTCAGCTATGTGGAGGGACCCCTCATATAATCCAGTTCAAAGCAGATAATGTGGATTGTTTGCTTAGATAATCTGGATTATATGGCAGTGTCTTTGTTTACAGTATGTGATATTGCTAAAGTAGACTTTATTGGCTGTAGTGATTTATTTCACAACATTTGTTCAGGTGTCCATTTAACAGTCTAATATCTAGGCTCATTTATTTGGAAGCGAATCCTACTAATTTCAGTGGTCGTTATATATCAGTTTGAATGCCTTAGATTTGTCAGGTTTATGCTTTCTTTTAGAGCTTGATATGAGTAATTTTGTCTAATAAACCCGTATTATACTTCTGTTGCCGTAACTATAATTTTAAGAATTATTAATAATATATTTCCAGTCTGCCCTTGATAAAGAGAAGTCCTGGAATGAGTCTATTCTTTTGGCTAAGATGAAACACCCAAACATTGTCACATTTGCAGAATCGTTTGAAGGTAAATACAAACTTTTTTAAAAAAGCCCCCTCGGTTTGCAATATTGTTTGTAGAATTCATTCTTCATGTCTTAAAAAAACTCTATGTAATTGTGCTGATGCCTAAATAATAATATAGTAGTAATACTGTACAGTTTGTGTAATACAGTAGTAATAATACTGCTAAGGAAATGTTCTTAAATTCTCTGAATATAGTTGATGGACATCTGTATATTGTGATGGAATACTGTGATGATGGAGATCTGATGCAAAAGATTAAACTTCAGAAGGAGAAGTTGTTTCCAGAAAATACAGTAAGGATGTAATGCCTAATAATTGTGTAAGGTTATTTTTGGAGGAGGTGTGTGTGTGTGTGTGTGTGTGTGTGTGTGTGTGTGTTATTTATTTGTAAACTCTTCCTCAGCACATGGTCTGTGTGGTATTGCCTGGATTCACCAGGGCTGATGCCTTCTGTGAATCCCCTTCCAACCCACCTACATCTTGAGTTTCCCTGGTGTTGCTGCTACAGCTGTTGCTCCAGTTGTTTACAGTCATATTTCATGCTTTGTAGATCAGGGTTCAAATCTCCACTATGTCATGAAACCAATACTAATCATAAACTTTATTTATACCTCACCACCATCTCCCCTACGGGGACTCGGGGCGGCTTACATGAGGCCAAGCCCAACATATTACAACATATTACAATAAAATAAAAACCAAAACACAAACAACACAATAAAATGCATAAAACATTTGAATACAGTAAGCAATATAAAAATACAATACAATATCATTTAAAATCACAATGACAATAAGCAGGCCGCATGTACAAGATAAAATATTAAAAACTCAGGATGAGATAGGAGTGGAGAAGATTATTTGTTTGGGAGAAGCTCATTAAGAAATGGGGTCATACAAAAACAGGTCTTCATAAAGGCAGGGGAAAGTGTACTTTAGAAGCAAAAAACGTTGAGTGGGAGCAACAGTATAAGGTTGTATGGCTACTCTCCAAAAGCGCAACGGAAAAGCCAGGTTTTGAGATTCTTTTTTATGGTTTCTAAAGTGGGGCCTTGCCTAATCTCACCAAATCACCAGACCAAACCAACTGAGTACCCTTGGGCAAGTCACACTCTCTCAGCCTCAGAGGAAAACAGAGACAAACCCCCATTGAACTGATCTTCCCAAGAAAACACCATCTTTATCAGACAGTAGCATCAGGAGTGGCCCTCTCCTCCATTTTTAGAAGCTTTAGCAGGCAGCTGGGCTTATTCCAAAGCAACATCTTTTAGTTTGCAACTGCCTTTACTTTCAAAATGTAATTCCACATGCCACAACTTTTCTTCTTCTCCACCCCAGATTCTAGAGTGGTTTACACAGATCTGCCTCGGTGTGAAATACATTCACGACAAACGTGTGCTGCATAGAGATATAAAATCCAAGGTTAGTGAAATAGATATCTGCAGATAGTCAGACCTCCACGTTTGCTGGGGTTAGGGGTATATGACCCCCATGAAAATGAAAAAAAAAATTTTTTTAACCTAGGAGAAAATCTTTCTAGGAATCCCTAGATCAGTGGTTCCCAACCTGTGGGTACCCAGATGTTTTGGCTTTCAGCTCCCAGAAATCCTAACAGCTGGTAAACTGGCTGGGATTTCTGGGAGTTGTAGCCTGAAACATCTGGGGACCCACAGGTTGAGAACCACTGCTCTAGATTGTTCAGCAAAAATCTGTGGTCGGTTTCCTCCTGAGGTTGGACACAGAGACACATTGGAGGACCCAGAGATTCCTAGGCAAAAAAAGTTAATTAAATAATACGGTGTAACCATCTCAGCTTTTAATCTCATCTCAGCTTTTAATGCCTTTTTAGTCTAATTTTTAAAAGTTAATCATGTGATGTGTTATGTTTATTTAAATTTAATTTTGGTTAGTTTCATAGTTCTGTATTGAGATTGTTTTATCCATTGTTTTGGTTTGTTATTTGTTTGTTTTTGGCATTGAATGTTTGCCACTTTGTTACTGCTGGAAACCACCCTGAGTTCCCTCGGGGAGATAGGACGGGTTATAAATAAAGTGTTGTTGTTGTTGTTATTGTTATTAACAAAATCTGAAAACAAAACTTGTCCCTGCTTTGAAAGTGTTACTTCTTGTTTTATTGTGCAGTGCTTATTTTGAAAGTAGTTGTTATATTCTAGAACCTGGTATTGAATATTTATTTACTTATTTATTTACTTTGCTTATATACCGCTGTATCTCAAGCCCGAAGGCGACTCACAGCGGTTCACAAACAGTAAAAACAGTAGAAACAGCAGTGGTTCCATACAACATATATGATAACAATCTTTCAAGATTTCTATAAAGAAAGATGGGGCAAATAACTTCCTCCTCCCAACAGTCTGGGATTGGGATATGGGTGGGGAACAAAGAATGTGTTTGTATGCCTATGTTGCCCTTGCTATCCAACCAAATATAATCTCTAGTTTATACTCAACTGGAAAATTTCCACTGATGAGCATTGGGACATAATCTTGTTTGTGTGATTTTTTAAAAAAAGTAATAACTTTATTAGAATGCCTGCTAGTTAGCAGCTATCGAATTCTGAGAACTAAAGTAGACATAACATTAAAGACAATATAGTAGCCATCACCTTTAGTGAGATATATAATGGGAAAGCTACCTATACTGATTAAATGCAAAGGCTAACATAAGGATTTAACTTCCCCTTCGCTTGTTTTTATAAACTGTTTCTCTTGCGGCGTAATCCAGAACATATTTCTCACACAACATGGCAAAGTAAAGCTGGGAGACTTTGGATCAGCGCTTCTTCTCACTAGGCAAGTAATTACCATTAGAGGTACTACATGCTCTTTTTTGTTATTTTAATGAACCTCATATCTATTTAGATGTTTTAAGTCTGTTGTTTCTAATGATACCTTTATTTGTTTTTGGGCAAGTCCAATGGCGTATGCTTGTTCCTATGTGGGAACTCCATATTATGTGCCTCCAGAAATATGGGAGAACATGCCCTACAATAATAAAAGGTAAGGATTGTGCTGGACTTGAAAGAAGATTTGCTTTAGCCTTATGTAGTATTTGATTCTTCTTCTTTCTAAGCTATTTTCCCAGTGGAGGGGTTAGCATTGTGACTCTCATTTCTACAGGGCTTTGTTTATGGACATCCTCAGGTCTCAGGTTGGAAGCAAACATGTCTCTGTTGATAATGTCCATTCATCTTTTATTTGGCCTTTGTCCACCTAGTTTATTTATTTATTAATTTACAACATATATATCTCGCCCTTCTCACCCCGAAGGGCACTCAGAGCGGCTTACAAGTCATATGTACATACAACATACTATATTATTAGCATAGTACTAATACATCATTCATAATATTACTATTATATAATATTACATTGTTCTTGGGGAAGGATCTCTGATGCCACAGGATACAAGATGGAACTGTCATCTCGGCTCCCTTCTTTACTGTCCTGCAATCTCTAAATGTAGTGCTGTTTGTTCTACTGATGTCGGTTCTCTTCTCATGACATGACCGTACCCCTGTAGTCTTGCATCCTGCATTTTCTTGCTGATCGCTTTTATTCCTAGTCTTTGATGGATGTCATCATTTGGCACATGGTCGAGAATGGGCAAGCCAAGTGTCCATCTCAGCATTTCCATTCCCATTGTGTTAAGGGCTTGTTCATGTTTCTTTATTGCTGGCCAGCACTCTGCTCCATGGGCGAACAACTGTAATGTGGATCTTCGCCTTGAGTTGTTCAGGCATTTTTGAGTCACACAGAATGCCATTAATTTTCCGCCATTTCAACCAGGCTGCAGTTATTAATGATCCTACATTTGGTGCTTTGTCATAATCTATGGAAATCAGTGATCCTAGGTATTTAAATTGGGTGGCATTCTTTAGTGTTTGTCCATTAATTTGAATTGTTTTTCCAGCTTGAAGGCCACATTCCAGATATTCTGTTTTGGGTATGTGCAGTTGAAGTCCACTTGCACTGAGTCTATTACTCCATGTCTGCAGCTCTTGTTGGAGGACTGCATGTTTTTGGTGGCCGAGTGCTATGTCATCTGCATATAGGAATGTCCAGGGATGCTAGTTTGCAAATCCGCCATAGTAGTGTCCATAGTCCATGAATAGTAGTGGTGAAAATGTTGACCCCTGATGCATGCCGACAGTGATGCTGAAGGGTGGTGAAATCCCTGCAGGGCAACGGACTATACTTGTTGTATTATTGTATAGTTTTATCCATGTTACATAGTCTTCTGATATTCCATGTGACTAGTGCTTACCAGATCAGGTCATGGGGAACCGGATCAAATGCTTTTTTTGAGATCACGGAATGCAAAGTGCAGTGGTTTCTTCTTTTACTGATGCTCTTCCATGAGTAACCAGATAGCATATATTGCATCTATTGTGCCACACCCCCTAACAAAGCCACATTGATTTGGTGTAATGGCTGTGTGCCTTTCATCCAGTATGTTTGTCATATATGTATTCTGTAATCCTCTCCCTTGGGGAGATAGAGCGGAATATAAATAAAGTATATTATCATATCATCATCATCATCATCATCATCACCATCATTCTTTCAAATATTTTCATTGCATGACACAATGTATCATTATATATCACTAGATTAAAGAATGCAAAAATCGGATGATGCCCATCTGGATCAAATAATTCAGGCTCCTTCCACACTGCCATATAAAACCCAGATTATCTGCTTTGAACTCGATTATATGGTAGTGTAGACTCATATAATCCAGTTCAAAGCGGATAACGTGGATTATCTGCTTTGATAATCTAGATTATATGGCAGTGTAGAAGGGGCCATACAGCCTGGAAAACTCACAGCAACCCTGTGATTCCGGCTATGAAAGGCTTTGACAACACTATCTGTACAACTTCATAGTTCCCACCTGGTGTAGTGGATGGAAGGAGTGTGTGTGTGTGTGTGTGTGTGTGTGTATGTGTATATATAGGAGTAACTTGACTTCCATTTTCCTAATGCATTTTCATATAATCCAGTCCTTGTTTGTGATTCTTTATCTCAAACTCTGTAACCACACAATTCAGATCAGTAATAATGCTTGGCCTTTAATATTGTCTGTATTTTTCCAATCAAAAAATATTTTATTTGTGACAAAGAGAACAGTGTGTTTTCTTCTTAATCTAACTCACCTTTCAAACCTGTCTTTCCAGTGATATATGGTCTCTGGGTTGCATTTTATATGAGCTGTGCACTCTTAAACATCCAGTAAGTACTATTTAGTCCTTTATTTACTTCCAGAATTTATTTAGAGGCAGTTTCTATATTATGTTAATACCCAGAAGCTAATGCTTGGTATCCTGATATACTTGCCTGTATGTAGTAGGGTGGAAAACATTGTGCACAGCTGATGGAGCATATGCATCTATGTATGTCTGTGTTAAAATGCTTCTTTATTGCATGTCTTCCTCTTCAAAACAATGTATTTCTACCCCAAAAGGACAACATATGCACTCTTTCTACTAGCTGTACAGGATTCTGAAATACAGAATTCTGAAATCCAAAGTACTCCATAGGGACACATTCGCTTTCTGATAGTTCAGTGTACATTAACTTTGTTACATGTACAAAATTATTAAAAATAATGTGTATAAAATTAACTTCTGGCTGTATATATGCAGCAGTGGTTCCCAACCTGTGGTCTGTGGGCACCAGTGGTCTGCAAGTACGAAAATATGATCTGTGGCCTCACCATTACTACACCATTGCCTCGAAACTGTGTGGCAGTGAGAGCAAGGGGTCTTGGAAAAGCCTCTTATAGTGCCGAGGCAAGTTAGTGTGTGTATATATGTGTGTGTGTGTATAAAACAGGCATTACTGATGAGAGGTGTCCTACCTGCATTGGCATAAAGACAAAAATAATTATTCTTTGCACATCATTGGGGTCTTTTTTGGCATTTTAAAAGTAATAAATATCTCTGCTAGTAGATCACCTGCTTTCTTTTTGTATTTGTTCAACAGTTTCAGGCAAATAGCTGGAAGCACCTTATACTTAAGATATGTAAAGGATACTACAACCCACTTCCATCACATTATACTTATGAACTTCACTATTTGATAAAGCAAATGTTCAAGAAAAATCCCAAGAACCGCCCATCAGCCAGCACAATTCTTACAAGAACCTGTCTGTCAAAGCATATAAAAAATACTTTTCCAGATAAGGTATTTGTCTCCTTCACATTCTTGTCACAAAATTAAGTGGCTTAAAAATGGGTGGAAACCAGCTTGTTTTACAGTAATTTGCACAATGAGAGCACTAATTGTTCAAATGTTGAATTGCTGTTAAATGTTTGGAATATTTTTGCACTAAACCACAACAAAAATCAAATGCACAAGATTCTGAAATGTAAAGATATATCATTGAATGCTAAATGTACAATTGTTTATTCAATTGTATTTTCCATTTCTGTATTTGGTTGTGAAAGCTGGGCAGTGAAAAAAAGTGGATAAGAAGGGAATCAATTCATTTGAGATGTGATGTTGGAAAACAGTCCTGCAGATTCCCTAGACTGCCAAAAGACAAACAAGTGGATTCTAGGACAAATCAAGGCCAAACTCTATGGAAAGGCCATGAACAAACTTTGGCCTTCCAGTTGTTTTGGATTTCAATTCCCACAAGTCCCAGCAGACAGTTTTTTTCTGTGTCAGGAGTGACTTGAGAAACTTCAAGTCGCTTCTGGTATGACAGAATTGGCTGTCTTCAAGGACGTTGCCCAGGGATGCCTGGGTGATACCATCCTGTGGGAGGCTTATCTCATGTCCCCACATGGGAAGTTGGGCTGACAGACGGGAGCTCACCCCACTCCTTGGATTTGAACTGCCGACCTTTAAGTCAGCAGTCCTGCTGGCACAAGGGTTTAATCCAGGGGTCCTCAAACTAAGGCCCAGGGGCCGGATATGGCCCTCCAACATCGTTTACCCAGCTCTCACTCAGGGTCAACTTAACTCTGAAACCACTTGAAAGCACACAACAACAACATAGCAATTCATTCATTTTTTTTTCAAATTATAATGCGGCCCTACAACAGTTTGAGGGACCTGTGACCTGGCCCTCTGTTTAAAAAGTTTGAGGACCCCTGGTTTAACCCATTGCGCCACCGGTAGGCTGTTAGGAATTGTGTGAGTTGAAATCCCAAACACCTGGAGGGCCGAAGTTTGCCCATGCAAGCTCTAGAAGCCAATATGACTAAACTGAGGCTGGATCGACACTGCCATATAATCCAGTTTCAGAATGCAGTTGTCTGCAATGACCTGGATTATATGACTCTACACTGTCATATAATCCAGTTCAATGCAGTAAATTTGCATTCTGAAACTGGATTATATGGCAGTGTAGATCCAGCCTGTGGCTGTCATACTTTGGCTATAACATGAGAAGACATGACTCTTCAAAAAAGCTTACAGGGTAGTGGTAACGTGGACATTTTTCAAAACGATTTGCTCACTGATTAAAACACAGCAAAACAAAAGCAGATAGATTTTATATGTTTTGTTCCGGTTTCTAAACATTTTAAAGGAGGAAGGAAAATACACCAGGAACAAGACTTCAGAAGCTAGTTTCTGTGAAACGGAACGAGAGAAAAAAAGTGTGGATAAAAAAGGTAAAATATATTTACAATTCTGAAGTAATTTATTAATTGAGGCTACTTCGAATGAAGTCATTTTAGGGCTTCCTTGAGTGCAGGTGATCTCTGAGTTGCTTCTCTAAAATTGCAATCCTGTGTATACTGGAGAGAAGCTCTGTTAAACTCAGGCTTCATCTACACTGCCATTTGAAATCTAGATTATTTGCTTTGAACTGGATTACATGGCAGTGTAGACTCATATAATCCAGTTCAAAGCAGTTCAAAGCAGATAATGTGGATGTTGATTTTACTTGGCGAATGGTTTTATATATGTACTAGCTGTCGTCCCTTGCCACACATTGCTGTGGCCCACATGGAGGTTCTGTGTGGGAGGTTTGGCCCAATTCTATCGTTGGTGGGGTTCAGAATGCTCTGTGATTGTAGGTGAACTATAAATCTCAGCAACTACAACTCCCAAATGTCAAGATTCTATTTTTTCCAAACTCCACCAGTGTTCACATTTGGGCATATTGAGTATTTGTGTAGAGTTTGGTCCAGATCCATCATTGTTTGAGTCCACAGTGATCTCTGGATGTAGGTGAACTACAACTCCAAAACCAAAGGACACTGCCCACCAAACCCTTCCAGTATTTTCTGTTGGTCATGGGAGAACCGTGTGCCAAGTTTGGTTCAATTACATTGTTGGTGGGGTTCAGAATGCTCTTTGATTGTAGGTGAACTATAAATCCCAGCAACTACAACTCCCAAATGACAAAATCAATTTTTTGAGTGAAGGACATACATTGGGTTGTTAGGTGTCTTGTGTCCAAATTTGGTGCCAATTCGTCCAGTGGTTTTTGAGTTCTGTTAATCCCACAAACGAACATTACATTTTTGTTTTAAAATGTTATTTATTGCTTACATTGAATTCTTGCTGTTAGCCATTCTGAGTCCCTCCATGGAGATACAGAAGAACGGGATAAATAAATAAATAAAATTGATAATCTGGATTATATGGCAGTGTAGATCCAGCCTCAGGGATTTTTTATTTTTTACTTCTGAGTATATATGCATGAGACTGGGCTGTCTGATGAAGTACAGAAAGGCACAAGTCAATTTTTATGAAATATTTCTTTATAAAGTCTCCCCAGAAGCGGATTTACGAAACCCACCGAGACGACAGTGGGAAAAAGGAAGGTCCAGTACAGTGATGAACGTCCTGGAAAATGCATCTTTACTTTCTTCTAGTATTCCAACCCAGGAAGAAACAAGTAAGTTCATTTACATGTGTATATGTATCTATATTTAACACATATGTGTGTACACATAAACACAGATTAGTTGTCATTAGAGTTACATTCCTATTTAAAGTTGGTGAGTGATCTCTGCCTAGATTAGATGTAGAGGTATGAAAACTTTATTGGTTCTTCCTGCCATGAGAGGTGAAGCAGGTGGCTAAAAAAGAGGATTTTTAAATTTTGGAGAGCCTTATCGGAGAGGCATACCTGGCCCCAATATTATCTTTTACCATCAGGTGAAGCCAAGCGTTTAAAAATCAGCTTTTACTGTTTTGCAGTTTTGTCCCACAGCAGGTGCTTTTAACTTGATTGTTTAGGCTAAATCAGGAGTCCTCAAACTTTTTAAACAGAGGGCCAGGTCACAGTCCCTCAAACTGTTGGAGGGCCGGATTACAATTTGAAAAAAAAACATGAATTCCTATGCACAGTGCACATATCTTATTTGTAGTGCAAAAACACTTTAAAACAATACAATAACTAAAATGAAGAACAATTTTAACAAATATAAACTTATTAGTATTTGAATGGGAAGTATGGGCCTGCTTTTGGCTGATGAGATAGGATTGTTGTTGTGTGCTTTCAAGTCGTTTCAGGTTGACCCTGAACGAGGGCCGCGTACATTACCTTGGAGGGCCGTATCCGGCCCTTGGGCCTTAGTTTGAGGACCCCTGGGCTAAATGTTTGATTGCTTATTTTGCCTTTGTTTTGGATTTTGCTTTTATAAATGTTTGACTTCATTAAATGCGAGAGCTCTCCTCCGGACCCTTAATTCTAAGTGTTCTTGCTTGCTCATTATTTCACTATCTTCAAGGCTTTCTTTATCTTGGTCCAGCTGGACTAGATGACCGTGGGAAGGCTGGGGAGGCGAAGACAACTCCACCTGGCCGTTATCTATCCCACTGACATTCTTTTCCTCTGAGAACTGACTTGATATTTCTCCTGCTGCACTGTCTGCGGCAGGCACAACAGAAATCTGAATCCCATCATCCTTTTCGTCAGGGATCTCTGGCTCACCAGACCCACAGGGTTCAGTTTCAGACTCTCATTAAACTTAGTACATAGCTGCTTTGTTCAGGAATAGAATGAATGGAGAGTGAAGCTGGGGCCCCATCTACGTTGTCATGTAAAATTCAGATAATCTGCTTTGAACTGGATTATATGGCAGTGTTGGCTCATATAATCCAGTTCAAAGCGGATAATATGGTTTTGTGTGGCAGTGTAGATGGCGTCTGAATCTATCCTGCCAAATAATCCAGATTGTCAAATCAAATAATCCATTTTGTCTGCTTTGAACTGGATTCATCTACCGGACCCAATTCAAGGTGCAGGTTCTTACCTACAAAGCCCTGAACGGTTTGGGACCCGCCTACCTGCGTGACCGCATCTCTGTATACGAACCCACACAATCTCTTCGATCATCCGGGGAGGCCCTGCTCTCGATCCCACCAGCATTGCAGGCGCGATTGGTGGGGACGAGAGAAAGGGCCTTTTTGGTGGTGGCCCCTCGACTCTGGAACTCACTCCCTAAAGACATCAGACAGGCTCCAACTTTGGCAGTCTTCAGGAGGAGCTTGAAGACTTGGCTGTTCCAGTGTGCCTTCCTGGAATAATGATCCCATAGCACTTTGTCCTCCAAAGCACTTTACATTTCTTTAGGTCCGCTTGTATGCCCTTCCACAAACACCATTATCACCTTTTTGTCCATGTCCCAGCATATTTCCAATTTTAACTTTACATTTGGCCTCCCCTCTGTTTTTAATTGTGTGTTGTTTTATTGATAATGTTGTTTATCTTATTACTGTCTATGTTTTTTAATTGCTTGTATTGTTGTTTTATTGCTTGTATTGTTGTGTTTGGGCTCCCTTGGGGAGATGGTAGCGGGATACAAATAATGATGATGATAATAATAATAATAATAATAATAATAATAATAATAATAATAATAATAATATGAGTCCGCACTGCCATATAATCCAGTTCATAGCAGATAATCCCTACCCTTGTTATTCTCACAATATCTCCATGAATATAGGTGGAGTTTTTGCCACCAAGAGGTAGTAATTGACCCACAACTTATCATTAAGCTTTATGTATGAGCATTCAGCATCTAAACACTTTATGTATGAGTGTTCAGTACATTGAGAGTTCATTACCTTCAAAACTTATTATGACCCAAACACTCTTGGGAAGAAGTCTTATTTGCACATAATGAGCTGGGAAAGTATTAACCTTTTGCCTCGAACTCAATGTGTTTTGTCTGGTCCCAGACACAATCTAGATATTTGTCTAAATCAGTTTTTTTTTTTAAATGATGCATTTGTATTGGTGCCTGCACCAGCAATTTAATGCTTATTATTTGTGTGCCTAGGTGGCTTCGTGAGAAAATATGATGAAAACATTGTGCGTAAGCAGTGGTCTAAGGAACCTCCTGAAACCTTGATGAATATTCTCCACAATGCTGATATTAGCTTAGCTTTTAAAACATACACAATCTACAAAGCAGGTAAATAGCAATATATCATTAATCTAACACTAAATATGCCTCCACACACAGTTCTTGAAAGCTTGGTGCAAGAATCTGCCAGCATTCACTAACTGGTGTGGTTTGTACTGGGATAAAACCAGGATTGTGGCACAGCTGGCTGAGTGTCAGCTGCATTAAGATCACTTTTGACCAAAAGGTCATGAGTTCGAAGCCAGCCTGGGTCGGAGTGAGCTTCCGACCAGTTGTGTAGCTTGTTGTCAACCTTTGCAACCCAAAAGACAGTTGCATCTGTCAAGTAGGAAAATTAGGTACCACTTAAGTGTGGGGAGGCTAATTTAACTAATTTACGAGGCCATAAACAAGACTCCAGCAAAGCATGCGGGGAATGCGGAAGTACTTCATCAGTGTCGCAGATGGACGATGAAAGCGACAACTCCCCTGGCGGCCAGAAAAAGTTAAATAGCCTCTGACTGTCTGTCTGTATCTCTTGTGTGTCTTTGGCATTGAATGTTTGCCATATATGTGTACATTGTAATCCGCCTTGAGTCCCCTGCAGGGTGAGAAGGGCGGAATATAAATATTGTAAATAAAATAATAGTAATAAAATAAATAGCAGAAGTCATCACTATTTGGCAAAAATAGATAAATAGGTAGTTTCCTAATTACATATTTGCTATTGTCTTTTGGACTACACTATCAAAATGAATTAAATGCAGGTGGTGTTAGCTATTCTGTAAAATAATGTATACACATAATGAAACCTGCTGTCATATGATGTGATATGACTCTAAGAACATTTTTCAGTTAGATTAAAAAAAGAGTGGTGTGATGCAACAGTTCCAGGAAAGGAAAAGAAAATCTAATATTCTTCGCCGCACATTTTTCCTCCATCTTTTAGTGATAGGAAAAATCCTTCCCTCATTTTTTGTAGATTGTAGGGAGAGTATTAGTATGAGAGAGCAATTGGTCATGCTAAAATCTTGGCAATGATAATAGTACCTTTGGGATATTTAAGGTCTGCTAGGATTATACCAATACAGTTCCATGATTTAGAGCCCTTCCAGACAGGCCCTATATCCCAGAATCTGATCCCAAGTTTTCTGATTATCCCAGATTATCTGGCAGTGTGGACTCATATAATCCATTTAAAGCAGAAAACCGGGGATCAGATCCTGGAATATTATAGGGCCTTTCTGGAAGGGCCCTTAGATGTCGTTTCTAAGTTGTAAGCAAATGTAAAGAGTTGAGCTCCTTTTGAAATTGAATGGATTTTATTAATAAGTTCTCTAACTAGGGATGCTGGGACAGAGCAACACACACAGTCTGTTTCTAATTGAAAGACTTGGGGCCCTTCCACACAGTCCTATATCCCAGAATATTAAGGCAGAAAATCCCACATTATCTGAGTGTGGACTCAGATAATTCAATTTAAAGCAGATATTGTAGGATTTTCTGCCTTGATATTCTGGGATATAGGACTGTGCAAAAGGGGCCCCGGATAGTTGAACTACTTTGTCTAAATGCAGGCATTGAACAGGAAAGTGTAAAATGTTTTTACAAAGTGGAAGCTATTAAATTAGATTCAGGCCCCTTCTCCTCTGTCATGTAATCCAGATTATCAAAGCAGAAAATCCTCATCTGATTTGAACTGGAGTCTGCACTACCATATAATCCAATGAGTTTACACTACCATATAATCCAGTTCAAAGTAGAAAATCTGGATTTTATATGGCAGTGTAGAAGGGGCTGTATTCAGTGCAGTTTAATTTGGTTTCATTTCAGATTATTCGTGAACATGTTCTGTGTTCAGGCCTTTTCCACACATATTCACTTTGCTGTTGCACTTGTGGATATTTGCTTTTACTGATTTCTATGAACACTGAATTTGCGTTGTGTGCGGACACATTCTGATTCAAGGAGCTCAAATCAGAGATTGCTGTCCCCCAACCCCCACCCCAAACTGATTTTTCCTATAAACTACATTTTCTTTAGTTTTCTATTTAACCCATCCTGCTGTTTTGAGGCATGCCAAGATGCCAATGGTAGTTTGCTACAGTTTGGAATAATGGCAGACTATAATTATAGCAAAAATATAGAAAGGAAATAATAAATTTATGAAAAAACAGAGTTGAAAAGGGAGTCCATAAGCATGTGTCCCAATCTCTAGTGCCTAGAACCCCTGGCAGTTCTGGTTCAATGAGGTTTGAAAATTCAGAAAATTATAAGAAACCGTGTGCACATTTAAATGAATCAGCTGGTGATAATTTTTATGGATGTTATGGAAGAAATTCAGAAGAGAAGATGAAAGTTATGTATATTCTAAGATTAGGATGAAGGTTCAGAGCTAGAGATTTCTAGATCACTGACTTAATACTCAACTGCTCCATGGAACGAAGACTTTTATGAGAGAAAATTGAAAGTAAGGAATGTGTAGTACTTTTTCATTATACTGAATTTTTACACCAAATCTTAGTTTACTTATCTTGGGAATAAGGAACCTGTTTTACTGTGTTTTCTTAATATTAAAGGTTCAGATGACCTACTGAAAGGACCACTTACTGAAGACACAGAAGCATCTGACGAACCAGATGGGGATATAATTATGGAGGATACTGGGAGACTTGAACCTCGATCAGATGAGGAAGATACGTATGTTGGCGTCTAGTCTATTATTGGAAATTTCTCTTGCTTATGTCTTTATATCAAATTTGACTAATAATGGCATCATATTTCTAACATTATTTATTTATAAAGCTACTGCAGTATTTAAGGAAGGCCCTGTAGAAGAGTTAGTGCACATGGGTTTTCAGATAGATCTTCTTCATAATTGTTTCCCTTACAATCTGATATGTTTCCTGAAACTTGGGAATAATAGATTATTTAATAGTTGCTTTTTTCATGTCAGGAGCGACTTTAGAAACTGCAAGTCGCTTCTGTTGTGAGAGAATTGACAGTCTGTAAGGATGTTGACCGGGGATGGCCGGATGTTTGATGTTTTACCATCCTTGTGGGAGGCTTCTTTCATGTCCCCACAAGGGGAGCTGGAACTGACAGAGGGAGCTCAACCCGCTCTCCTCGGATTCAAATCGTCAGCAATCCTGCCAACACAAGGGCTTAACCCATTGTGCCACTGGGGTTGCTGAAATTGATACACAATATTAGAAGAGCACTATGACCTGAATTTGAAAGTATATGGGCCGTGAAACACTGTGGGCAAATGCCTATGGCTCAGTCAGTTGTGGAACTAGTGGAGAAAAGTATCAGGGATTTGTAGATTGTGCCCTGTGACCATAAACATCTATTAAAGGCAGATTAATAGATGACTAGGCAGTTTCACCAGAGAATTGGCCTGATCTTGCCAAAGTTCCTGCACTTTAGTTTGGTCCTCTGTCCTGTAATCATGACATTTTAATGTCTGAAGACATTAACCCCCTAGCCCGGCTTTATTGAATTTTGCACTTTCCCTTTACTCTATTTGGGGACCATTGCACATACTCTGAGCCCTCCAAACTCAGCATTTATTATTGTTCAGCCATGATATTGTTTTTATGATGTTTGCTCTGATACTGTTTTTACCTGATGTTTTGTTTTTGATTTAATTTTATTGTGCAACATTTTAATCAGTATTTTTTGGGCTTGTCCCTTTGTAAGCCGAGTCCCTTCGGAGAAAGGGAGGTGGGGTATAAAAATCAAGTTATTATTATATTATTATTCAATATGCTTAAGAAGAGTATAATAAACATAATGTATGATATAAGAGAATTTATAGGAAAAGTAACTCACTTTTCTCAATAGCACAAAGATATTCCTTTCAGCTATCTAAAACACTTCCCCACAAAGGAAAAAAAATCCTTTACTTTCTCCAAATGCTTACTTTGGGGCCTTTTACACAGCCATATAACCCAGAATATCAAGGAAGATAATCCACAATATCTGCTTTGAATTGGATTATCTTGACTCCATACTGCCATATAATCCAGTTCAACGTGGATTTTATGCAGCTGTGTGGAAGGGGTCTAACATAATTAAGACATGAAGTAATGAATTGAAACAGCTGTAGGCTCGCTATCTAGAAAAATCACTTCGATTTTCCAGGAAGGCTATAGAATATAGAGGGCTGCTGGATGCTATAGGCACTGCAAGTTTTTTTGTCAGAAAATAGAAGCCCTTTGTGTCCTGTGGTTCTAGATTTCTTACTTTCCTCTCTCTCTCTCTCTCTCTCTCTTTCTCTCTCTCTCTCTCTGTGAAGTTATTATAATGAAATCTGACACTTTCGCTCTCTTTTGTAGGGATTTTGAGGCTGAAGATGATCCAGACTGGGTTTCCGAACTGAAGAGTATGACCAAAATGAAATGATTTAATAACTTAACAATGGAACTTCAAAAGAAATGTACTGTTGGTTGATCTACAGTTGATTAAAAAAAAAAATAGACTGCAGGGAATGATTGAAAAAAAAATCAATTCATAACAGAGATTCCAGCTGAATTAGTCAAACAGCAAATATGTACTAATTAAGCTGATTTCAAGTGCTTCTATGGTAAGAAAAAACAGCATTTCAGGAATAATTGCGAATTTTTCCCTTAAATGTTTTTTTTTCCCTAAAAATACATAAAAACACTTTTCTTACAGGAAAGAATTAGAAATCAGTTGTGACACACACAATAACAGTATCATTAGTATACTGGCGGCAGAATAACCAACTTGCATTCCTTCAAGTTGGCACTGAAATAAATTAAAACCTCTTCTTCCACATGGTACTATTGGAAATACAGACTTGCATTCCTTCAAGTGTAGGAATGTAAGTCTGATATAGGGCAGTGTAGATCCAGCCACCATTGTTCTCTGCTTCTGCTGTCTCTGAAATACTTCAGTTTGGCCCAAAATCAATTATTTTATTTATTTACTGTATTTTTGTGGCTTCCAGATTAGTAATGATTCAATATCACAACAAACATAAACTTACAAATACAATATACACCATACATTAAAATTAGTTAAAAAATTATAAAAATCAAGACAATCGTTTTTCTATATCAAGGTCGGGAAAAGTACAACCTGTAGGGTATGTAGAGGACATTTCTGTCAAATGTGAGGTCCCATGGGCCAGCTCTGGCTGTCTATGATGATTCCTTCATGTTTATTCTACATTATTGTAATTTTCCTGCATTGTTAATCTGCACTGAGCACATCAGTGCAAAAAATTGAATATAAATCTGGTATGAGAGTCTTTTCAGCTTTTCTCTTTCATAATAAAAAAAAAAACAAATACATCCCCTGCAGTCACCATGCTTGCCTAATTTTGCAATTGTTTTTTTATGATACAGTTTTTTTTCTAATAGTCTTAGCAGTTTTTTTGTGTATAACATAAATATTGTCAGTTTTATACACTGTTTTATATGGTATGTTCTGTCTTTAATAAAACAGTTCTTGTGAATTCTTAAATAAATATTCACAGTCAGTCTTGTTTATTGGTGTTGAAAGGAAGAGCAGTCAGATTTGGAAGAGATCCCTAGCCAGATTTTCCACTTTGGCGGGTGTCAAAAAGTGTGAAATGTCTTGCACGCTCTGCTTACTAGTTCAAAATCACTTCTTCCCAGCTGGAGAGCCGCAGTTTGAGGATGCCTCATCTAGGGCATCTACACTGTAAGGTTAATGCAGTTTAACATCACTTTAACTGCTATGGCTCAATGCTATGGAGTCCTGGAGGTTGTAGACCATGGATGCATCTATACTGTAGAGTTAATGCAGTTTGACACTACTCTGAACTGCCAAGGTGCAATGCTATGCCATTGCTGTTCTAGATTTACAAGGTCTTCATCCTTCTCTGCCAAAGAGTGTTGGTACCTCACCAAACTACACATTCCAGAAAGTCCATTTGACAATTGATGTATTCTTAGCAGCATAACAAAGAGTCTGGTATTTCCTTTGAATTGCTGCATGTTTTCCTTGACACTTAAATTTGGCAAAAAGTGGGCCAAAGTGTTAGTTTTCAAACATCCTGGCCCATTTTATTATCAAATATAATAAAAGCAAATATTTATGTGTATGTATGTGGGTGGTGATGTGGCCCATTTGCTATGAGCTCCCACATCCAGAGACAACTGCGACCCCAACAGATGATGATTTGGACCAAACTTGACACACAGAACCCCTATGACTAACAGAATATACTGGAGGTGTTTGCACGCAATTGCCCTTGATTATGGGGAGTTGTAGAAGAAGACCTACAAACCACTCTAAACACCTTCGCAGAAGCATACAAGAAGCTCGGCCTGTCATTGAACATCGAGAAAACCAAAGTGGTCTTCCAGCAGGCACCAGCCAATCCCTCTCCGATGACAAAAATACAGCTTAATGGTGTAACATTAGAAAATGTTGACCATTTCCACTACCTTGGCAGCCACCTCTCCACAAAAGTCAACATTGCCATCGAAATACAACATTGCCTGAGCTCTGTGAGTACAGCATTTTTCTGAATGAAGCAGAGAGTGTTTGAGTACCGGAATATCCATAAGGATACCAAGGTGCTTGTTTATAAAGCTATTGTCCCCCCAATCCTGCTATACGCCTGCGAGACGTGGACAGTCTACAGACATCACATGCAACTCCTGGAACAGTTCCATCAGCATTGCCTCCGGAAAATCCTGCAATTCTCTCGGGAAGACAAGCGGACAAACGTCAGCGTGCTGGAAGAAGCAAAGACCACCAGCACTGAAGTGATGGTCCTCCGCCATCAACTCCGCTGGACCGGCCACGTTGTCCAGATGCCCGACCACAGTCTCCCAAAGCTCTACTCCGAACTCCGGAACGGAAAACAGAGTATTGTTGAAGGCTTTCATGGCCGGAATCACTGGGTTGTTGTAGGTTTTTTTGGGCTATATGGCCATGTTCTAAAGGCATTTTCTTCTGACGTTTTGCCTGCATCTATGGCAAGCATCCTCAAAGGTAGTGAGGTCTGTTGGAACAAGGAAAAAGGGTTTATATATCTGTGGAATGATTAGCAATCAAATGCTAATCAAGGTGGTTAGTTGAAACATTCACACCTAGCTCCAACAGACAAGAGTCCTTTGTCCCACCCTGGTCATTCCACAGATATATAAACGCTTTTTCCTAGTTCCAACAGACCTCACTACCTCTGAGGATGATTGCCATAGATGCAGGCGAAAAGTCAGGAGAAAATGGCCATATAGCCCGAAAAAACCTACAACAAACCAGGAAAACAGAGTGTTGGTGGGCAGGAAAAAAAATAAATATGGGCTCAAAGCCAACCTTAAAAACTGGCATAGACACTGAGAACTGGGAAGACCTGGCCCTTGAGCGGTCCAGCTGGAGGTCAGCTGTGACCAGCAGTGCTGCAGAATTTGAAGAGGCATGAAGGGAGGGCGAAAGAGAGAAACGTGCCATGAGGAAGGCGCGTCAAGCCAACCCTGACCGGGACCGCTTTTTACCTGGAAACCGATGCCCTCACTGCGGGAAAAGATGCAGGTCAAGAATAGGGCTCAGCTGTCACCTACGGACCCACCACCAGGACACCAATCTTGGAAGACTATCCTACTTGGAGCAAGTAAAGTAAGATGGCGGTGTGAACTCAGATAACTCAGTTCAAAGCAGGTCTTGTGGGGTTTTCTGCCTGGATCTTCTGGGTTATATGGCTGTGTGGAAGAGCCCTGAGTGATATGACCTGAGATCCAAAAACAAACAAGGCCTTTTTCAAGCTAGTACCAAAGAATACTTCAAACCAATGTCAAGTGCCTTTATTTTCAATGGATGGGGATGCTTGGTGTGGGACATGGGCTCTAATGAGACCCAGGGCCCTTCCACACAGCCTTATATCCCAGGATATCAAGGCAGAAAATCCCACAATATCTGCTTTGAACTGGGTTGTCTGAGTGGACTCAGATAATCCTGTTCAAAGCAGATATTGTGGGATTTTCTGCCTTGATATTCTGGGATAGAGGGCTGTGTGGAAGGGCCTCTGGGCTCTATGGGGCGGAGCCAGAAGAAGGGCCACGCCTGCTCGTGTAGATGGGAGAGGTTGCTGGCCTTGTGGCCCTCTCTGTGGGTGGGCCAGGCCTTTTCCCTAGGCTTTAATGCCCCTTGGGCCGCCTCCTGCAGAGGCTCAGCGACCATCTACTGCACTGTGAGTGAACGACGGGAGAGGGGAGGGGGAGGGAAGAGAGAGTGAGTTTGTGTGTGTGTGCGCGCGCGCGTCTCCCGTCGCCATGGCAACGCCTCATTGCAGGGAAAGGGAAGTTCAGAGGGTTTAGGTTTCTCATTGTTTCTCAAAGTCAGCCCAGGCAAGGCGATTAGAAAGCCCCCTCCCCACATACAATAAGGACAGAGGCTCCTTCTTTGGAAGCTTTTAAAGAGAGGCTGGGATGGCCATCTGTCGGGGGTGCTTTGAATGCAATATTCCTGCTTCTTGGCAGGAGGTTGCACTGGATGGCCCATGAGGTCTCTTCCAACTCTAGGATTCTGTGAGAAGTCTAGGCCTTCAGTGAGGGAGCCAAACATATCAAACACATCTCTGTCTATAAGGCCAGAAGCCCCAATCAGCTCAGTGTGCATCTACACCAGTGGCTCTCAACCTGGGGGTCAGGTGTCAGAGGGGTCTCTAAGGACCATCAGAAAACAGTATTTTCTGTTGGTCATGGGGGTTCTGTGTGCCAAGTTTGGCCCAATTCTATCATTGGTGGGGTTCGGAATGCTCTTTGATTGTAGGTGAACTATAAATCCCAGCAACTACAACCCCCAAAATGTCAAGGACCATTTTCCCCAGACTCCACCAGTGTTCACGTTTGGTCATATTGCGTATTCGTGCCAAGTTTAGTCCAGATCCATCATTGTTCGAGTCCACAATGATCTCTGGATGTAGGCGAACTACAACTCCAAAACTCAAGGTCAATGCCCACCAAACCCCTCCAGTATTTTCTGTTGGTCATGGGGGTTCTGTGTGCCAAGTTTGGCCCAATTCTATCATTGGTGGGGTTCAGAATGCTCTTTGAGTGTAGGTGAACTATAAATCCCAGCAACTACAATTCCCAAAATGTCAAGGACTATTTTCCCCGGACTCCACCAGTGTTCACATTTGGTCATATTGAGTATTCGTGCCAAGTTTAGTCCAGATCCATCATTGTATGAGTCCACAATGGTCTTTGGATGTAGGCCAACTACAACTCCAAAACTCAAGGTCAATGCCCACCAAACCCCTCCAGTATTTTCTGTTGGTCATGGGAGTTCTGTGTGCCAAGTTTGGCCCAATTCAGAATGCTCTTTGATTGTAGGTGAACTATAAATCCCAGCAATTACAACTCCCAAATGTCAAAATCAACCCTGCCCCCCAACCCCACCAGTATTCAAATTTGGGCATATCAGTCCAGTGAATAAAAATACATCCTGCATATCAGATATTTACATTATGAATCATAATAGTAGCAAAATGACAGTTATGAAGTAGCAACAAAAATAATTTTATGGTTGGGGGTCACCACAACATGCAGAATTGTATTAAGGGGTCACAGCATGAGGAAGGTTGAGAACCACTGATCTACACTGTGAAGTGAATGAGGTTTTGTCTGCTGTAGGAATCATGGAAGTTGCAGTTTTAGATGTTCTTCATCCTCCTCTTCTGCCAAAGAGTGCTGGCGCCTCACCAAACTACAGATCCCACCATTCCATAGCATTGAACCCAGTGGTGTTGAACCATTTATTCTGCAGCAGATACAGCTTTAACTAACTCACAGGAATTATGGGAACTGTATTCCAAAAACATGAATATGGAGGATCAAGGGTTGGGAACCACTGGTCTGGATCCACGCTTGCCAATCAATTTACGGCCCTTCTACACTGCCCTATAATCCATATTATCAAAGCAAATAGTCCACATGATCTGATTTGAACTGGATTATATGAGGCCCCTTCCACACAGCTGAATAAAATCCCACATTATCTGTTTTGAACTGGGATATATGGCAGTGTGAACTCAGATAACCCAGTTCAAAGCAGAGATTGTGGGATTTTTTGCCTTGATATTCTGGGATATAGAGCTGTCTGGAAAAGCTCTGAGTTTACACCAGACATGAGCAAACTTGGGCCCTCCAGGTGTTTTGGGCTTCAGCTCCCACAATTCATAAGTCTACCTGACAGCCAAAACACCTGGAGGACCCAAGTTTGTCCGTGCCTGGTCTACACTGCCATAGAATCCAGTTCAAACCAAAAATGTGGATTTTATATGGCAATATAGAAAACGCCTGAGTTTTTTCAGCAAAACAAAGAACATTGATAATCAATACTGCATAACCTTCTTAACTTTCAGACATTTTTCTCAACTAAAGTACCATGGATCAGTATGAAATAATTAAAATGATTGGGGAGGGATCCTTTGGCAAAGTTTTCTTAGCCCGTGGAAAGGAGGATAATCGACAATGTGTTATCAAGGAAATCAATTTAACAAAGGTAAATTGACAATTTTTCCCTGATCCTAAATTTGCTTTTGTATTGAGCATTGGTTTGTATAGCATCTATACTTGTAGTCTGTGGCTGGATCTACACTGCAAAATAATCCAGATTATCAAAGCAGATAAATTGGATTATATGAGTCTACACTGCCAGATAATCCAGTTCAAAGCAGTTGATCTGGATTTCATAATGCTAGTGTAGAAGGAGCCTAAGAGCCTTTCCACACAGCCATATTTCCCAGAATATCAAATCAGACAATCCACAATATCTGCTTTGAACTGGGTTATCTGAGTCCACACTACCATATTATCCAGTTCAAAGTAATCTGGATTTTATTTGGCAGTGTAGAAAGGGCTTTAGTCTGCTTCCCTCCCTCAAGTCTCATGTTGCACTTTAATTGTGATGTTTCTCTCAAATGTCATTGTTTGATATGGCTCTTTATTATTATTTTATTAAAACATTGCCTGAGAAACTTGGTATAAAGAGGACCTTGATTTATACATTTAATAAGTAAATAAATAAGCTGAGAGTGGCATGCAAGATACTCTAAAACTAGAGCAGGGAACTTTTTGCCTTCGGGATGTTGTTATACATCATCCCTGAAGTCTAATAAGAGTTGTAATGTGGCATCTGGTAGGGAGATCACATATTTTTTCTCTCCTTGTTAAATGTTTATTACTGTATAAGAGAGAGAGAGAGACAGACAGACAGACATTGTCTTCAGGTAGTTTCCAACTTTTGGAGACTAGGACCCCGGGTTTTCTGGAGCTGAGAGTGTATGACTCACCCAAGCTCACCCAGTGGATTTTTATAGCTGAGTGCGAGTTTGAACTCTGGTCTCCAGAGGTAAAGTCCCACACCTCTGTGCCCCACAGGTTCTCATATATGTGAAATCTTTGCATGAATATGTGTGTGCACGTGTATGTATAGGTGAGATACTTTAAGTAATAGGGTCTTCTCATTCTTGCTCTGATGTTCAGTAAGGGAACCGCTTTTTTAAAAATAATAACATTTCCTTGTTTCTAAATTGATATAGATGCCAAGGAAAGAGAAAGAATCATCTCAGAAAGAGGTCACTCTTCTTGCCCGATTGAAGCACCCTAATATAGTTGCCTTCTTTACCTCCCATCAAGGTGAAATCCTGTCTTTTAACTACAAGCAGTCCCTGAGTTTAAAACATCCAACTTACAAACAACTCATAGTTAAGAATGGAGGTGGGACAACAGGATGTGAGAGAAATCTACCCCCCCCTCCGCTCCTGGAAGAGAAATTCACTCCTGGAAAAAGGATCATGGGGAAAAGGGTCTCCACTGAAGCTTTCTTTCCAATCCTTGCTTCCACAACAAAACTTTTTTTTTTCAAAATCCAGTTTATCACATGGACAGAAAATGAGGTGAAATCTTCTGAACAGAGGCACAGGCAGCAAAATGGAGTTATACTTTTAAAATGTACCTGTTCCGATATACAAACAAATTCAATTTAAAAACAAACCTACATAATCTTTCTTGTTTGTAACTTGGGGACTTCCTGTATTTGGTTATTTTGTATAGATTCCTTCCTAAGCCCTTTGTTTTTCAGGACTAAAAAGTTAAAACATCTGCCCTATTTCTAAAAGCTAGTCTTTGCTACAGCAAGTCTGTGAAATCTTTTGCTTAATAGAACATCAACACTTAGGCCCCTTCTATACTGCCATATAAAATCCAGATTATCAATTTTGAATTGGATTATATGGCAGTATATACTCACATAATCCAGTTCAAAACAGATAATGTGGATTATTTGATAATCTGGATTATCTTGCAGTGCAGGAGGGGCCTTATATGAAAATACAGCTAGTTTAGTGGGTTTCTTCTTCAGTGGGAATGAGCAGCTGGATCTAGGCTCTGGGGTGCTATTCGTTTCCTTAACTTCCTTAACATCTGGTTATTCAGATGCCCAATATCTACAGAACAGAGCCAGCCATCAGAATATGCTTCAGCTGCACTCCACAAAAAGGAAAATCAGCCTGTTTAGCAAGCCTTGCAAATGCTGGTTTATTATGAATAAATGTTTGGCTTTTAAACCTATTCTATATACCCATATATTTGGGGTCACGTAAAAATTTCTCAGGTAAAAAGGGGTCATGAGTGGAGCAAGTTTGAAGAAGCCCTGTATTAAATGGCTGAGCACTTTAAATTAGCAAATTAGGCAATATGTTTTAAGAATCAGCCATTCATCAGATTATGGTTTTTGGTTAAGTTTACTATTGCTGTAAAAGCTAACGTCAAAGCAATTAATTTCTATATGTATAAATGAAATATTTATTAAAAACCAGATGTACTTTATTGTAGAGAAAAATAGGTTGTACATTATTATGGAATATTGCGATGGAGGCGACCTAATGAAGAGGATTAATATGCAACATGGAGTGCTGTTTGAAGAAGACAAAGTAAGTTTGTGCTCTAAAGAATTTGCATATTTTACTCATATCCATTAAATAATTTATCACGGAAAGAAGATATTGGGACCCCTTCTACACTGGCATATAAAATCCAGATTATCTGCTTTGAACTGGATTATATGGCAGTGTAGAAGGGGCCTAGGATGGTGAACTACATACTGGCTTTCGTTTTCTTTTATTAATTGTTCTTGTTGCACTCTGTGATGTATGTTTTAATAATAATATAAATTGGAAATATAATAATATAAGCTGGAAAATAAAGTAATAAGAAAGTGTTGGTTTCTAATATATGTAATGCTTGTGGGACAAAAGTATTTCTTGTTTCTTTGTCAGTGTTGATGTAGAGATTGTCTGGTTTGCCTACTCTGGAACATGCAACATACCATTGTCCTTCTTTAGGGGTCCATTTCAAATCTATGATACTATATCTGTCATATACATATGTGTGTGTGAATCACATCTATCTATATCTATGGCTGGATGGCTCTTTGTCAGGAGGGCTTTGTTTACATTTTCTTGCCCTAGTGAAGGGAGTTGGACTTGATGGCCTTAAGTATTTTCTGCTGGGCATGGGGGTTCTGTGTGGGAAGTTTGCCCCAATTCTGTCATTGGTGGAGTTCAGATTGTAGGTGTACTATAAATCCCAGCAACTACAACTCCCAAATGTCAAGGTCTATTTCCCACAAACTCCAACAGAGTTCACATTTCGGCATATTGAGTATTCGTGCCAAGTTTGATCCAGAATCATCATTGTTTGAGTCCATAGTGCTCTCTGGGTGTAGATGAACTACAACTCTAAAACTCAAGGTCAATGCCCCCCAAACCTTTCTAGTGTTTTCTGTTGGTCATGGGAGTCCTGTGTGCCAAGTTTGGTTCAATTCCATCATTGGTGGAGTTCAGAATGCTCTTTGATTGTAGGTGAGCTATAAACCCCAGCAACCACAACTCCCAAGTGACAAAATTTTTTGAGTGATGGCCACTCCTTGGGTTAGTAGGTGTCTTGTGGACACATTTGGTGGCAATTCGTCCAGTGGTTTTTGAGTTATGTTAATCCCACAAACGAACATTACATCTTTATTTATATAGATATTCCTTCTGCCATCTCCAACATGGTGATATCTAATGCTTTACAAGCTATTTCATGTTGTGAATCTCTAGTTTCTTTTCTTCAAGGAGTGGGCCCATAATATTATTATATTCCCATAACGTCTTGGAAACTTGCCACAGACCAGCAGTCCATTCTAGCGCTAGTCCCTGGACAACCACTTGGACTACTCTTACAATCTGCTATTAGCAGATGAAATAATTGTTGCTGTTTCTAGCACTTAGCCATTCCTAAGCAATTTCAGTGTTTATGTTTTACAAGCTATTGATATTTTATCTTTGTCTATAGATCTTAGGATGGTTTGTGCAAATCTCCTTAGGCCTGAAGCATATACATGACAGGAAGATTCTTCATAGGGACGTCAAAACACAGGTAGTACTTGGAGATGGGTTTTCATTTCTGAGTCCTAAAGCTCACTTCTTTTCAACCATGGGATATGTGTTTTCTTTGACTGCAGAACATTTTTCTCAGCAATAATGGAATGACAGCAAAACTTGGAGACTTTGGGATTGCAAGGATGTTGAGCAAGTAAGCATGGCTTCTCTGTATTAATCTCTTTAGAGGGGGAAAACACACTGTTCCAGATAATTTAGATATTGAAAGGAACAGAACATTGATAGGTCTAATTAAGAAATTAATGATAATTAGAGGCTTATTATCATGAGAATATACAGCAGCAAGCAATGGGCTTCTATACCATATAATGGTTCCTTGTGAAATTCTGAAATGTTTTCACTTGATTGTTTTTCTTTAAGCCTAAACTTTGTGGGACTGATTAGTTAACAAACCAGAATTTGAAATCAAGTTTTGATCCTCATTGAACTAAACTATTCTTTGAACATGGTGATCGAAACAAAGTTTGGATTGCTTCTTATTGGCTCACTGGCTTTATTGGCAATTTAATATATTAATTATTTCAATTATTGTTATATGTGTTTATATAATTTATGCATAATGTTTTCATACAAGATGTAAGATAATTGGTAGGTTATGTTGTTTAATTTTTGTTCAGTTCTGTCGTAGCTGTTGTTTCCTTTTGATAATTTAATTGGTTCATTTTTTGAATTTTTATTTATGAATGTGTTTGGCATTGAATGTTTGCCATTTTTTTGTTGGAATCCGCCACGAGTCCCTTCGGGGAGAATATAAATAAAGAATATAAATAAAGATTATTATTATTATTATTATTATTATTATTATTATTATTTGAAACACAACAAGATGAGTCCACAGCAGACACTCTGCTGGCTGTTGTATTGGATCACACGTCGGATGCTTCCCAAGTGTCTAGGACTGTGTGATGTATCGACGAATAATGTGTGCAGATCCCAGTAAGGTGGCCTTCTGCAGCTGGCAGATGGTAATTTTGTCAGCACCGATTGTGTTTAAGTGCAGGCCAAGATCTTTAGGTACTGCACCCAGTGTGCCGATCACCATTGGGATCACCTTGATTGGCTTGTGCCAGAGTCTTTGCAGTTCGATTTTTAAATCCTTGTTGTTGTTGTTGTTGTTGTTGTTGTTGTTGTTGTTGTTGTTGTTATTCAGGTTTAGTGTGTGTGTGTTTTAGGAGTTAATTGGATAAGTGTTGTTTTTCTCTATTAATATTTGGGGGCAACTAGGGGACCCAAAGGTCACAGTAATGCAGATATTTTCCTTCAAATACTATAGTCTACAAGGAATAGGTAACAGGGCATTTCTAGAGCTTGATACAATTTGAATGCATTATTTTAAGCAAGACTTCTTTATTTTGTTTCCCATGGTCTCTAATGAACTGAACCATCAGAACTGATACTTTTTTTTTCCATATATAGTTCCTTCCTTCTCCATCCCAAATTCTTAACAAGGTAAATGTCTTGTTCCATTTTTTAAATCTCTGTTTTCTTTAGCACCATGGAATTGGCATGTACATGTGTAGGAACCCCTTATTATTTATCACCGGAGATCTGTGAGAACAAGCCGTATAACAATAAAACGTAAGTATTAGAATCTGGCTGATTTGTTTAGATTATATAGTAAAAAGGAACACATAAATATCTAAGAGCCTTATGACTTAATGTGTCTTATATGACTTTAAATATTTATAGCACCTTCCTTATATGACATTTTCCACTTTAAAAATGTCTAGGCAATACTTTTATGTTGGTGCTTTATTTATATCCCCTGTCATTAAGTCCAGTTGTGTCCAACTCTGGGGGTTGGTGCTCATCTCCATTTCTAAACCAAAGAGCCGGCGGTGTCCATAGACACCTCCAATGCCATGTGGCCGGCATGACTGCATGGAATGTCATTTATATCAAAAGCATTACATAAATCTTTGTGCTTTGTTGTTGTCATCATGAAAAGGTCATAAACTAGAGGAGTTTTAAAAAGAGCCATCTTTGTCCAATCTACATCAACACACATATTTTAGCAATAAAGGCAGAGTGATGTAGAAACTAACTACCTCCAATCTCTTTTATAATGAAAAGTCTTTGTTACTTTATAACAAGTTGGGTGACATTCAGTTCTCCAGCTGTTTTTGACCTAAAATTCAAAGTGTTCCTCCCTGTTGACAGATTATGCAAACAGATTGCTGTTTATATGCATATATAAGTAGCAGTTTTTGTCAAAAGATAGATCCTAAAAACCTATGTAAATTTATGCACGTAGCAGTGTAAATATTGTACCCTAACATGTATCAGAAAAGGAGTAATCTCTAAGTAGACAAGAGTTTAGCCTGACCCGGGAGTATCAATGACCCCTTCTACACTGCCATGTAATCCAAATTATCAAAGCGGATAATCCATATTATCTGCTTTTAACTGGATTATATGAGCATACAACCCCTTCTACACTCCCATGTAAAATCCACATTATCTGCTTTGAACTGGATTGTATGGTAGTGTAGACTAAAATAACCAAGTTCAGATTAGATAACCTGGATTATCTACTCTGATAACCTGGATTATCTGGCAGTGTAGAAGTGCCCTCTACTACCATATAATCCTAAAAGAAGCACTCATCTCTAGTCTCTCTGCTCCAGTGCCTTTCTGAATGCAGCTGACTCTCTTCTCTGAAGAATAACTTTCAATTTATCCATGGATTGCATAAACATGTATAATTTTAGCCCCCAAATCTGCCTTCATCTTTTGCACAAGGTTGATTTATGCACAAGAAATATACAATATATTCCATTGTTCCATTTAATGAACTGTATTAATTTGAACAAAATATTGTCCTGAATTGAGTTGAAAGATTTTTTTTTTGCTTTGCTAATTTCTGTCTCCTTTTATTCTGCTTTATTTTATAGAGATATATGGTCTCTTGGCTGTGTGCTGTATGAGCTCTGTACTTTAAAGCACCCCGTAAGTTTGTTGTCAGCCTATGTAGCTTTCCATCATTGAATATAATATTTAACAAGAATACAGATTTACTGGCAATAGTAGAAAGATCTGAGATCTTCAATAGATAAGCTTGGTTGGGACACAAAGCAGAGATTTTTCTGCAGCAGCACCTCAGTTGTGGAGTTCATCCTTAAGGAAGATCTGTCTCAGTCCATCCAAACTTTATCAGGTGTTCAGTTGACTCTGACAGACAGGCATTTGATTGGCCCTGACAGACAAAGCAAAACAAAAATAGTTTTAATTTATAACATAAATCAATACAATTGTGCTTTTAGTATTAGTTTTTCAGATTTGCAGCTATTTTATAGCTATATGTTATTCAGATATGGTGAATATTTATACCTCTATATATATAAAAATGTGGATTAAGGAATGAGAGGGCATCTCACAGGTGAGCATACCTGAAGATCAAAATATAATCCAGTTGCAGAGTGGAGTGATTGAATGAGTACTGACAAATCCCTATCAAACATTCATTCCATGGGTTTACACTACTCCAGGAGAACAATTGGATGTAACCCCAGGACTATAACTTCCTAGTTCATTTTTCACTTTGTCTTAGCATTTTAAAATGTATCTATTTATGTCGGCTCTTTACCATTTTTGATTTTATTTCTATTTGACAGTTTGAAGGCAGCAGTTTACCCCAGCTTGTGCTAAAGATCTGTAGAGGCTATTTTATACCAGTATCTACAAAGTATTCATTTGAGCTAAGAAGTTTAATATCTCAGCTGTTTAAAATATCTCCAAGAGATCGCCCTTCTATCAACTCTATTTTAAAAAAGCCATTTTTGGAGAAGCAAATAAGGAAATATTTACCCCCTGAGGTGAGTGGCACCTGTGGCTGAGCGAAGTATGCAGATGTTTAACCCAAAGAAGATAAATAATTTCACTTCCCACTATACTTTTCTCCCATTTCCTCGTAAGAAAGTAATGAGACCCACATTGGCTCAGACCAAAAGGCTATTGAGTTGAGTAATATGTCCACACAGTGGTTAGCCACATGTCCCGAAGGGAATTCCACCAGTCGGATAGGAGTTCAGCTGCACCTTCCATCTCATCTTCCCCAACAACTGATATACAGAGGAATACTGCCAATGATAATGGAGGAGAGATATAGGAATCTTGATTAGTAGGTATTTATTTAATTCCCCTCTTAGGGCCCTTCCAGACAGGCCCTTTATCTCAGGATCGGATCCCAGGCTTTCTGATTATCCCAGATTATAAACTCCTTCCCTAGTGACATAAGATTAGCCCACTTCCTCCTTACCTTTAGGAGAAAACTGAAAACTTGGATGTGGAACCAAGTGTTTGGATAATTGATTAGTGCAATCTGTGAATATGGAATAGTGCGATGATATTGGATTATTTATTTATTTATTTACTCCATTTGTATACCGCATATATCAGCCTAAAGCGGCGACTCTATGCGGTTTACAGTAAAAACAACACTAAACAATGTATAAGACGCACAATACAAACAAACACATAGTCATCAACGCCACACTTAGAATCAGATTCCGATCTCATGATCCATTTCCATTCCTTGTCCAATGCCGTCATTATTGAGTTGGTTGTTACTGCATAGACTATCCGAATGCCTGCTCGTAGAGCCACGTCTTCACCCTCCTCCGAAACACCAGCAACGAAGGGGCCTGCCTGATGTCCACCGGTAGCGCATTCCATAGCCGAGGGGCCACCACCGAGAAGGCCCTGTCTCTCGTGCCCGCCAGCCGCACTTGTGACGCCGGCGGAACCGAGAGCAGGGCCTCCCCGGAAGATCTTAACGCTCTTCCCGGTTCGTAGGAGGATTATGGATTATTATTATGGATTATTATTATTATGGAATATTGGATTATGTGATTTTAATTTTTTTTAGATTGATAAGTTTTAGCCGGTGTTTTATGTATATGTTTTTTATTTGCTGGATATGTATTGTATGTAATGAATGGTATCAAATTGTGCCTTTGTGCGCTGCTCTGAGTCCTCTTCAGGGTATAAATATGGAAAATAAATAAATCTGGCAGTTCGGATTCATATAATCCATTTTAAAGCAGAAAACCTGAGATCAGATCCTGGAATAAAGGGTCTGTCTGGGAAGGCCCTTAGATTATCCAGGTCCAAGCATGTCAATATTCTTCTTGAATTGCAGTGCCCAGAACACAGAATACTGTATTCTGGGCATAATACTGACACAGAATACTGGACACAGTATTTCAGATGAGGTCTGACCAAAGCAGAACAGAGAGGCACCATTACTTATTACTTCCCTTGATCTAGATGCTAGACTCCTATGGATGTGACCTTTCACATTTCTTTCTAGATCATGGAGGAAGAATTCAGCCATACTGTTCTCCACCGAAAAAGACCACCGACTTCACAGTCTTCAGGCAAGCTGTTATACAATAAGGCTCTTATTTTTTAAAGAGAGCATAATAGTCTGTTAATGTATGTGTGCACTTGTTAAATCAGGTTTAGAACAAAACACTTGAGATAATTTGACTTGTTTCATAAGACTCTGTCTCAGGAGACATGTCCTAAGTTTCAACTCAGGATAAACTATCATACATTTGCCTCACCTTTCCTGCAGGACTCACCTTCCTCCCTCCTTCCCTCCTGCAGAATCCTCACCTTTTCTGTAGCCATTAGTGACCTATGGAGAGCAGGGGTTGCCAGAGAAACATTTGGCTAGGTTCCCCTCAGCTAGAGATGCATTCTCCAGGGCATCCATGGTTGGAAGCCCTTTCTACACTGCCACATAATCCAGTTCAAAGCAGATAATCTGGGTTTTAATTGGCAGTGTAGAAGGGGCCTGGGACCCCTTCTACACTGCCATATAATCCAGATTATCAAAGCAGATAATCCACATGATCTGCTTTGAACTGGATTATCTGAGGGCCCATCCAGACAGACCTTTAAACTGTTTCAGTTTTACCGGAGATGTCCAAATGATGTCTCCAGTAAAACCAAATTAATTAGATACCAGGTAAGACTTTGATCTTACATATGATCTGGGCCTTACCGGGTGTAGGCCCTGTGTGGATTGGGCCCAGGGACCATGTCAACTAATCCCCGGGCCTAATCTACACAGTCATCTTGGTTTTTCAGACTCATGAGCTCGAAAAACCAAGAGGGCACCCACTCCCTCCCCTAAGACAACCCTCCCCCCCCAATCTCTTAGCGTGTCATTTCCTTGTGCCAGGAGGCTCTGAGGAGGCCATTATGTTGATTGGGTAAGTTTTTTTTACAGTTTTCAGGGTTGTTTTGGGGGGCTTTGGGGTGGCTGCATGCTATCCCTATTGGTTTCGGGATGTCATGTAGCCACCTTCCCTCCCCTGGGAAAGCGCAGGATTTTTTTGGGTGGGCTTTAGTGCACATTTCTCTACTGTCGGGAAGTGCCCTGATTCTACACTGCCATATTATCCAGTTCAAAGCAGATAATCTGGATTTTATATGGCAGTGTAGAAGGGGCCCGAGAGTGCCTCTGGAGCTGATTGAAGAGTAGTGAAGGGAAGTAGAGGAGAAAAGGGGAGGAAATCATGTAAAATTGGAAGAACACTGGATAACAAATGTTGGATCAAACCTATCATGTTAGTAATAATTATCATTGTATTATTAAATAAGCTTCTAAAGTTCAGAAACAAAGGATCTATGGTCATCATTCTCCAAAAATCAAGATGGAAATGCTTCCCAGAAAAGAAATGTTGCATCAAAATGAATGGAAATTTCCCTCAAGGATCCAGGATCCCATTAGCCAGGTAATGGACGAAAAACACGAATTATTGATTGGTGATTGCATTATTTTCAAAACACATCTCTGGGGGCCCTGTGATCGCCATTACCAGCAATCACATAACTACAGCAATCTACTGTTCTGGGGTGTTGTGGATTTCTAATTGACCATCATTACTGAAATAAGTGAGGGGGAGGCTAGGAGAGGCGAGGGCCTGTGTTATGGGTGTCATTTCCCACCATTAGAAATAGTAAGCCAAGAGGCTGAAGGGCTTTTGTGGGATGAGAGAAGACAAATGGAATTTGTGGAAACATAAATATTTGAATGTTCAGCAAAACACTGAACGCACTATATGCAGCAGAAACTAACACGATATGTGTGTTTGATCACATGATTCAGATCCATGCTTTCCTAGTTTCTACAGTGGTGTAATCCTGGATTACTATCACTAGGCCAGGAAGGGAGAGATGCTAATAATATGATTAATAAAATGTATACCAATTTAGGTTTAGTGAACTAGACTGGTTGTTTCATAATATTCATAAATACTGTCTGCTTCCAGCCCTGGGATCCTAAGTTAAAGATGTGCAAAAAACCAGAAGATGCCAGAATGTGTGGAGACTATGAACATTATTACATGAAACTGGAAAACTTGCAGAGGAGACCCTTGGTGCAGGATAATGGTCCTCGCATTGGCCAAAGAATGGACGAGTTTTATAAGCAGAAAGGACAAGAGCTGCCACCACCCCCACCTCATTGGTAGCAACGCTTGACGTGAATTTGAATGGATAATCTCTTTATTCTGATTTAGGACCCTTCCACACAGCCCTATATCCCAGAATATCAAGGCAGAAAATCCAACATTATTTGAGTGTGGACTCAGATAACTCAGTTCAAAGCAGATATTGTGGGATTTTCTGCCTTGATATTCTGGGATATAGGTCTGTGTGGAAGGGCCCATAGAAGTTTCTGACTTTATGTGATTACATTAGATTAATTTAACTCCAGGACCTCAGTTCTTGGCTTTCTGTACAATTCCCTGCAGTCTTATATATTCATACATCAGTTCATTCAGGTGTTCTTCTTCCATTTGAGAGTATAGTGTAATTGAATATATCAAAATGAATTTGCAACATAGATTGCAAAATGTGAGGTAGCATCTTGAAAATCCACTGTTCAGATAGAGATAGCAGAAGTAATTAAAAAGCTATATGTGGGGAAAATAGATTATGACTATCTCTACTCAGAGGTAGGACTCCTTGTATTCAGTGGGACCTGCTCACAGCAATTCATTTTAGGATACCAGACTTGATATAGTGTTTATTTTAGGGAAAGTTTACTGTGGGAAATCAGCAGTGAAACTTAAAATGCTACACCCATCCTATTTATGTTCTCACTGAATTTTATGTTGTATATCTTAGGCCAGCAGAATATCTTCAAAGACGGTACAATGCCCAGCAGTACAAGTTAAAAGTACAAAAACAACTTGTAAGCATTTTTAGTAGAAATGAATTTTCAATTGTTAGTTGTCTGAAAATTGCAAATGAGCATTTTTAAAAGTATTGTGAAAAAAGCATTCCAAGTCCAACCTTCTATGCATTTTATTTCTCTGTGTAATAGGGTTGTCTTAGAAAGAAATGAAAATTTTATTTCAATTGCCACACATGTATTTCTCAATTGTTTCACATTTCAACAGGGGCTGCGCCCATCTTCAGCTGATCCCCATTATGATCAGATGCAGAAGCAGGAGGTGAAAGACAAGCAGCTCAAAGACTATCAAAAAGCTCTTGCTCAAAAAAATGAACTGAAAGAACAGGTAAGAAAGGATAACATTATGGGAAGGATCATACGAGCATTGCAGTTGAATATGAGTTGAAGAAACCATGCAAGAAGTAATTCCTATGTAGATGAAGCTTGTAACAATCACTACGCAACCAGCTAGTTAGAAACGTCTTCATAGGGGCCTTCTACACTGCCATATAATCTAGATTATCAAATCAGATAATCCACATGATCCGCTTTGAACCGGATTATATGATTCTACATTGCCACATAATCCAATTCAAAGTAGATAATGTTATGTGCAGTGTGGAAGGGGCCTCAGTGAGATGTTTCTGGGTTGGTACACTGTGTTTTATGTAATTTAACAGGTTTTAAATAGCTTTAACTATGTATTTTTAATACCATGTTTAAGTTTATGTTAATGTTTGTGTGCTTTGAGTCTTAATTTGCACATTATATGATTTTTAGAGTTAGCTACTATCAGTCTACTTTGGGAGAAGAAGCAGGAAATAAATAGTGCTAGTATTACTGCTATTAATAGACTTAGGCTGGATCTGTACTGCCCAATAAGTTTCTGAATACTAATTATTTGCTTTGAACTAGATTATATGGGTCTACACTACCATATAGTCCAGTTCAGAACAGATAATCTGGATTCAGAAACTTGATTATAGACCAGTATAGAATCCTAGAATCATAGAGTTGGAAGAGACCTCATGGACCATCCAGTCCAACCCTACTGCCAAGAAGCAGGAAAAATGCATTCAAAGCACCCCTGACAGATGGCCATCCAGTCTCTGTTTAAAAGCCTCCAAAGAAGGAGCCTCTAAAGAAGGAAATGGGGCTTTAGGAGCATGCTGTTACGGTACATGTTACCAGTGCAGCATGTATTGTTTGTAGAAATGTCTCTGTTTAAAATCCAATAATATTTAACAGGAATACTTACAACAACTGGAGAAAATTCGTCAGCAGTATCACAGCGAAATGAATGAAATTAAACTTAAAGCAGAAGCACTAGAGGTAAATGTCCATGCATCTCACTTGTACGACAGTTTTCCACATTTCTCTTTTTTGTTGCTTTTAAGATTGCAGAATTTTAAAAATTTCTACATAATTCTAGGCTTGTTAATGTTTAGTGAGGCTGTTAAAGGCTTCTCCCTAAACTACAAACCCCAAAATTCTACAGGAGGCAGAAACCAAATTTTAAGTGGATTTTTTTCTCCATTGTGATGAGGCCCTTATTAGTTCTATAGATTATTCAATTATAATTTAAATTATAACTGTATGAATGCACCTATATGTGTATATGTGTACACTATAACCCCCTTAATGCTATTTGAATGGCCCAGCACCTTTATGAACATAAAATAGCATTTCAAAAAATATGGAAATTAAATATAGAAATATTTTAAATTTGGGAAAAAAGAGCATGGATGTGATTCTTGGGTGTTCAAGAATTTTGAGAAATTATGGGAGATGGCGTCAAGATCCTGCAATATCACTCCTCTGATTTTTATGGAATAGATTTTGGGTTACATCAACTTATTTAAAAAAACATTAGCTCATGATTATCATTGTAGGAATTACCTTTACACACAAAAGAACGTATCATTAGTTTTTGAAAATGTGTCTGAAAAGAAAAAGTTTGTGCTTGAACTGGAATTAATTTGGAAAGTAACACATCTGATGAAAGCCGCTTTGATTCTCCTTGTGGAGAGAAAAAGTGGGGTATAAATTATTAAGAAGAATAAACTCTACCAGAATTGGATTCATATTGTGTTCCTTATGAGTAGTTTTCTCATTATACATGAAATATGTATTCATGCTGCATCAGAATGTCTTGGGGAAAATAATTCAAATGTGGGATAGCCATGTTGACCAGATTATTAATTCCTACATCCATGTTGTGGTAATATCTTTATTAGGCCAACTAAAAACCATATAACCTTCCTGTTACATGAGCTCCACTGACTGCCCGTCTGCTACCGAGCAAAATTCAAAGTGCTGGCTTTAGCCTATAAAGCCCTAAATTGTTCCGGCCCAGCTTATCTGTCCGAACGCATGCACACTCCCCTCCCCCCGCCCCCGCCAATGAACCAACTCATAGGGTAAAATAGCCTGTGGAGGCTCTGATCTCAGCTCCACCTCGTTCACAGGTGCGGCTGGTGGGGACAAGGGACAGGGCTTTCTCAGTGGTGGCCCCACGGCTATGGAACTCCCTCCCCAGTGAAATCAGGTCGGCTCCTTCCCTCCTGACCTTCAGAAGGCAAATAAAAACATGGCTCTGGGATCAAGCCTTTGACCAATAGTGCAGTGCAATAGTGATAATGGAAAATGGCAATTGAGACGGTTTTTGACTATGATTTCGGATTGCATGTTTTTAAGAATGTGTTTTAATCTCTATATGGCTTTTTAATCTATGTTTTTAATATATATGTTTATTTTTTATATGTTGATGATATGGCATCATATTGTTGCCTTGTGTAAGACTGCTCTGAGTCACCTTCGGGGTGTGAAGGGCGGGGTATAAATACTGTAAATAAATAAAAAGACATGCAATTCTCTAAGCACACATTTAAAAATGTGGTCTGAAAGCTTGCTCTAATAGTAGACTTACCACAGTATGTATTGACAAAACATTGCATACCATTTTCATTATTTCAGTAATGTCCTTTAATTTTAAGATTCTGAATCCTGTAGATGTCATTAATATGAAAAATGCAGAGGGAAATGAATTCTAAAAATACTGATGAATTAATCTGCTAAAACTAAAAAAACTCATCTTTCTTGTTGTTGCTATCTTCAAAAAGCATAAAAACTTAAAGGACAAAACCTATCTTGTGAAACAGAGAAACTCTGAGGACCTTCCTGCTTCCAAAGAAGATATTTCTGAAGGAAAAGATGAAGCATTCCAGGTACTGCAGGAAAAGATAAAGCATTCTGCATGCATACAGCACAAATTAATGGTATAAAATTAGAGCTGAGTTGTTTACTGTGATAACTTGCAAAGAACAAAGCAGTGATGTTACTGTGGTACTTTACATTTGCAAATAAGGTGTTTGGAGTTGTATCCATCTGTGAGCAAAATGGACACCATTTGTGAAACTGATCTCTCCCCACATACACTCTCAAATTGGCTCTGAAAGGTTGGAGAAGTGTCAAGGACGGATTTGGAGGGAGAATTGAGGGTGTCAGGAAAAAAAATCATAGACTAAATCCCTGTCCATAACTGGAAGGTTACTTCGTGTTGGTTGACTGGAATTCAGCTCCCTATAAAATGCTAAATTGTACAGTTGGATTAGTTTGACCTAAATTTTGTAAAAGCCCTTTCTTTGTTTTGAATCAGCTATAAGGTTGAGGGCTTGATTTTCTATCCTTGTACACAAAAATAAAATATGAGTCTGCTATACAGATTTAGATGTATATACAAATCTGTAACAACAATGTCCTTTCTTCTCATCCAGGATATTGAGCAAAATTTGAAACAGATTGGATTGCAAAAATGCCAGGAGGGAAACATACTGGAAGTGAAGCACAAAGCAAAGGTTCACGATCAATATATTTTATTTGTATTCTTTTTCTATTTAATTCATTTTAAGTGCCAGCCTCTCTTTTGAAAAAAATACTGATGTTTCTGAACTTGGGGTTTCAGGCAGCAATTTTGCTGACAGTATTTGCCAGATTTGTAATTGTTGAGGGCATTCCTTCTTATCCTCTTCTTCATGAATTTCCTGTAATTTCACTCACGCTTTTTCTCTAAGGCTCCAAGCTCAAGAAAAGAAAAAGAAAAATTACAGTTTTATGTAAATATTCAAAAACATTTCACCTACTGATGCCTCAATTAATGTAATTTTATTGGTATCTCTTTTTATTTTGAAATTTACCATTAGCTGCTGCATTTCTCACCTTATACTCAGCTTATACTCCAGTCAATACGTTTTCCCAGTTTTTTGTGGTAAAATTAGGTGCCTTGGTTTATTTTCGAGTCGGCTTATAATTGAGTATATACTGTAATACCTCTGTGATTTTTTATTTTATTTTTTCAGGGAGGTGTGACATTTCAGATTGATCTAAAAGCTGATGCCCCAAATGTAAGCAACATCCAGGAAGAGAAAGAGGTATAACATTTTTGGGTGTTATGATCTGTTGGGTGTGGATGAGCATTGCATTTGAACTGGATTATATGGCAGTGTAGACTCATAATCCAGTTCAAAGCAGATAAACTGGATTATCTGCTTTGATAATGTGGATTATATAGCAGTGTAGATCGAGACTTAGATGTGTCCTTCATTTGGGAAAATGGGGTAGCCTGTATATTCAGACAATGTTTGTGTTTTTTGGCACATGTGAGTCCTTAAATTCAATGGAAGGTTCAGGCTTCTAATATTGTTAAATTACTTTTCAAAATGATTGCTATAAACTCGTAAGGTTCAGTCTCTGTGTGAGATTTTTTTTCTTCTGAAATAAAATTTAGAAAGGCTTGAGAGTTGATAAAGAAAGTTCAAGCCCTGTTCAGGTTCTGGCGAAGAGCATATCTGTGATACAGTCCCAAACTAAAGATTAGATTTGGTTTATCATGTTCATGCAGAACTTTTACTCTGCTTATTTCCCACTACTAAACAACTTAATTAAACAATTGAATAAGTTCTGATTGTGGAGCCTTCTGTTTGATTTCAGGATCATGATAAACTTAATGACACTTTGACTTTTAAAGCTGGAGAAAACCTTAAGAAAAATCTGTCGAACAGCTATGATAATAACATAGATAAAGCATTGGAAGAATTGTGCTATTGGGAAATAGGTATGCTTCTTGAAATCACTATATTTGTTTGTATGTTATGCTTAATTATTAATTAATATTGATTACTAATTGCACTTCTGGCCTGAAGCTCATAATATATAAACCTGTACTGCTGAGAGTTTATTCATATAACTCTGTAGGCTTTCTTTTTTGACCATAAAATGCTTTGTAGTATTAGAAAAGTCCACATGTATTGTCAAAGGCTGGAATCACTGGGTTGCTGTGAGTTTTCCGGGCTGTATGGCCATGTCCAGAAGCATTCTCTCCTGACATTTCACCCACATCTATGGCAGACATCCTCAGGGCTTTTGAGGTCTGTTGGGAGAAAGAACTCTTGTCTGTTTGAAGCAGGTGTGAATGTTGCAATTGGCCATCTTGATTAGCATTAAATAGCTTTTTCAGCTTCAAAGCCTGGCTGCTTCCTGCCTGTGGGAATCCTTTGTTGAGAGGTGTTAGCTGGCCCTGATTGTTTCATTTCTGGAATTCGCGTTTTCTGAGTTTAAGTGTCTCATTTCACTTTGGAAGAGGTGCGGTTTATTTGCAGATATTTTTTTGCACAGTCTGCCAGACCTCATAACCTCTGAAGAAGCCTGCCATCGATGTGGGTGAAATGTCAGGAGAAAATGCTTCTGGAATATGGCCATACAGCCCAGAAAACTCACAGTAACCCAGTCCATATGTAATTTCTGTAGATGAGTTGCAAAATATTATTAGAATAAGAGGAAATAGCAATGCCAGTTCTAATGAAAATGAGACAATGTGGCTTCTTTTCAAAGGATATTTATGCTGAATTTTATCTTGAATTTTATCTTCCAAAATAAACCACAGTTGCATTCATTGGCCATATATGCAAAATAGTGAGTATCTCAACCACAACCATATGGTTTTTAAAATCTAGATGCTGACAATGAAGACGATGCCCCAGTAAACAGAAAACACTGGAAAGCTTCAGCTCCACAGACTCTCTTGAATCTTCTCAAAAATGCAGATATAACCTCAGTATGTCCTACTATGGAAGAAGGTGATGATTGTGGGAATGTTCCTGTGCTTATATTGAGTAAATAGAGTTTGGGGCCTCACTGTGTGCCTATTGATGTACTGATATGTACAGTACAAAGGACATTTCAGAATGGTACTCTAGTTTGATCTGAAATAGTTTCCTAAAATGTGAAGTAGGCATCTTAAATAGCTTATGGGCATGTGCTAAGTGGGAGGATATATAGATTTTTCTCCCTGGTCATATGGCTTGTAGCTTGCTCAACATAGGTTGCTTAAGGAATAACATCATTTACACATAGGATTTTTTAGCAAATGTAAACTAATATTGTGCCAACCGACAGTGAGTGAATCTTTTTTCTTTTCAGTTGGTCAGGGGGTCATACTGCCTTTAGACCTCCCTGAAAATAGGAGAAAATGGAGCCAGGAATCTCCTGGGACACTAATGAATATGTTGGCAGAAGCTGAATGTTCGAGTGACACTTTGTGCCCAGCTGAAGAGCCAAGTAAGTGATTGGTTGCACACTTACTGCTTGATAGTCACTCTTGAGACTTAGTTGTATTTACAGCCAGCTCTCCACATTTACTGAGGTAAGGGGCACAGGACCCCCATGAAAGTGAAAATCCGGGATAGGTGTTTCTTGAAGAACACCTATCTAAGAATGTCCAGGTCTTCCAGCCCTTCCACTGGAAGCTGACCACTGAATCACATTGCAGGGTTTAAAGATTCTGGGAATTGTATTCCCTCTAGAAATCTCTTTAAGTTTTCCAGTATGACTGGAGGAAGTTGACCATAGCAATCGCAGTGAAGGACCTAGCAATTCCTACAGAGAACATTTTTAAGCAAGTTTGTGAACAATTGTCAAAATCACAAATGAGGAGGCCCACATTGCAGTTGCACAACAAATACAATAATAAGGGAGCAGCCCTAATCCAACTATGTAATACGATTTTTGTTCCTGGGTCATAAATGTCATTTCCTAACTGGTTGTATCACAAAAACATGGGAAAGTCTTATTATACTGCAAAATGTTGATTTTTGCTGTACGCACAAAAGGTTAAAATGGTTAAAAATGACACATTGAAAGGTTAAAAACAAAGTTTGTGGAGTATAATAACTGCTTTCAAAGTAAGTAGTTGCACAATGAAACAGAAAATGACACTTTCAAACCAGAGACAGAAAATATTTCAGATTTTTTAAATATAGTGGTATTAGTCCCAATCAAATCACATTCATTCAGTAGGTGAATAAATCTAGTTGAGATTTGTCTGGAGCAGAAGGAAGGGAGGAGGTATTGGGCATCCCTTAATACCGATGAATGGAAACTCCACTTTTTCTTAACATTGATTTAGCTGCTTCAGGTTTATGCAGTCCGTTTAGCTGCTTCAGTTTTATGCAGTCCAACAGCATTTGGAGGCAATTATTCTTACCCCTGGTCTGTAGCTTCTCAAATAAATTAATCAATCAACGTTGCCCAAATTGTTGTGTGGGGACTGCTCTGAGTGGATCACTTCTAAACCTTTGGATTCTAAAAGGTCACCACAGTCCACCTGTGAATGGGCAGAGCAGCAGGTAAACTTTTCATCCTCCTACATGATTTGATTTCTGAAATGTTAACTATGCCCACTCTTCTCTACTCTTCCTTATGTTCACAGTGCTTAGTGTCACAAAACACAATCAAATTGACTAGGTAAAATATTTTCCTTTTCAGGTAAGACAATAAACCCTCAGGATCCCCCAAAAGAGGAAGCTGATTTGGCTACGGCTTCTGATGCTGAAGTGGATGAAGGCAGACTTGATCCAAGATCTGATGATGATGACACGTAAGTCTATACATCCATTTCTGTTTGATCTTTTATTTTGCCACAGTATTTTTGGTTGAAAATACAGTGATTGAATTAGTTGAATTAGTCTGCAGTGCCTTTCATTATCCTTGATTCGTTTTGGGTGCTGTATTTGGTGCTCCCTATGTAGACTTGTCCATAGCTGCATGGTATGTGGCCAGCTAACAACTCTCAACAAAGGATTCCCCCAGGCAGGAAGCATACAGGCTTTAAAACTGCAAGGCCATTCAATGCTAATCAAGGTGGCCAATTGCAACATTCACACCAGCCTCAAACAGACAAGAGTTCTTTCTCCCACCCTGGACATTCCATAGGTATATAAACCCCACTTGCCTAGTTTCCAACAGACCTCACAACCTCTGAGGATGCCTGCCATAGATGTGGGTGAAACATCAGGAGAGACTGCTTCTGGAACATGGCCATACAGCCTGGAAAACTCACAGCAAACCAAAGGAATAGCCATCACTCACTGTTCTTAACCATTTCAAATACAAAGTGAATCTTCTTTCCTCCAGACTAGATTAATGGATTGATTGAAATTGCATAGAGGTGTTTTGTATGAACACCAGGAATGCTTCAATTATGTCTTCCTGCATGGCAGGAGTTTGGTCCAGATGACCCTTGTGGTCTCTTCCAACTCCAGGTGTCTATGCGCCTCCACATTGATAATGGACTACTTGTTTTCCCATTATGGCTGTTGGTGAAGAATGTATGTCACCGTCATTACAAGAATTGGAGCACACATTGGCTTTATACAGTTTCTAAAGAGGTATCTGTGTTAGTCAGGAGTCCTGTAAGACTTTAAAGATGGCCAGTTTGATTATATTGTAGACTACAGTCCACAGTGTAATAAATATGTTGGCTTGTAAATTGCCCAGGACTCCCAAGTGGTAGAGATTCTGCAGCTTTGCAAGGAAACGTCAGGAGAGAATGCCAGTCTAGACCATGGCCATACAGCCCAAAAAAACCTACAACAACCCAGTGATTCCAGCCATGAAAGTCTTCAACAATAAACTGTGTGAAGTCCATAAGTCATGAATAGATGAACCCACCCCGAGATTTTCAGAATAATTTTGAAGAACATCTTCCCTGGTTTGAGAATTGAAAAAAAAAATGGTAATACTGAAGAAACCCCATTTTCTCTTATTAATTATATAGAAACTTTGAAGAATCTGAAGATGAATTGAGGGATGAACTGGTAGAATCCCTGGAAAAAATGGTAACCTCTCTAGAAGGAGAGATCTCTAAAGCTCCTATTGAATCAACAGAGGGAAATGAAGTGAAAAAGGAAAATGAGACTCCAAGTGAACCTAGAGATCCTGATGTCAGTTTGGATAACAATGTGGCTAGAGAGAAACAGGAAGGAGCAATGAGTTAACACTGTTTTTGTTAATACTTTAAGAATGAAAAGCAAACAACTGCATCCATGTTAAAGGTTCAACATTTAGGAATCAAGTGCCTCTTGTAGAAAGACCATTCATTATTTAGCAGTTAATCAAATATAAATGGTACTCCAGTTGAGAATAATAGTTACGCTACTACTTAGTTATTTTAAGCTCAAAATGCATAGCTGGGACTTGTCTTTTGTTTGTTTGTTTGTAAAACTCTATATTCCCTAAAGCTTGCCATATTTCTATTTATTTATCGGGGCCACCATAGCTGGGACTAAACTGGATTTAGATCTCTGCATTAGACATTACTTTTATTAACTTCACAATGCCTTTATATAGAAAATTTGTGTTCCTCGCCTTTTTATTTAACAGTGGCTTTGTGTTATTTTTCACTCCCAACTATTCTGTAAAGACAATCAGTTAGGCATGTGCAATCCATGGTTCTAAATGGTTCTAAAGTACTGTACTTACAAAACTAAAGTTCTGGTTGTGAAAACTAGGGGGCGCTGGTGCGTTGCTTCTACAGTGTTGCTAAAGTTCTGGTGGTGAAAATTTTAGAACTCTTAACAAAACTTTTAAAATTTCATTATTGGTGATTTTTATGACAGAACCTATTACGAACTGCCATTTATAATGACATTTTGAAAGTTGTGTTAGAGTTCTGAAAGTTTCACCACTTTAGCAACACTGTAGAAGCAAAGCACCAGGGCCCCCTAGTTTTCACCACCAGAACTTTAGTTTTGTAAGTACTTTAGAACCATTTAGAACCATAGATTGCACAGGCCTAGTATTCAGATATTTATTAATGGGAACATCTGTTGAGTCTGTTTTTCTTGTTTGATTTTTGTAAAATAAAAATATTAATTTGGGAGGAAAACTCGTATACAATTATATCTCAGAATTGGAACTCTTTATTGTACTGCACAAATAAATTAGAAAAATATACAAGCATATATTACCATATTGACTCAAGTATGTCCAGATATCACGTATATAAAATGCATTATTTGAATAATTGTTCCACAGATAGTAGGAATGTTTCCTCAAATTCCTGATCAGCAAATCTCTTCACGGACTGGCGAGCATTCTGTCTGATCTCTAGCCTTTTTGCAGGAGACAACGAAAAGATGTGAATCATGGTGTTGGCATAATCATCTTCATTTTCTGCTAGAAATCCAGTTATATTTCCTTCATAGGGCACCACAATGTCCAGCTTAGGGCCTCCAGAATTGTGAGCAAGGATGACTGTCCCAGCTGCCATACATTCAACAATTCCTATAAGAAATATAAAACAAACCATAAAAACAGAGGAAAATATGTTTTATGAACCACTCTCTATTAATGAGGGGATGGATACAAACATCACTTGTACATCTATGAAAATTAGGAGGCATATCCAGGTCCCAGTTGAAGACTTCTGAAACACATATTCCAATTTATCTCTGCTTTAGCTTGCTCTCTAAAACACTGTGAAGAGGATCAAAGATATGTCTGCTTTTCCCTCAGTACTTGTACTAAACTTTTCTTGCTTTATTAAACTACACCAATTACAGGCAAATATAATGCAGGCAGAAGAGAAGCAGTATGTGACAGTACAGTCAAAGGCTTGGCAGACGTCCTTAGTAGGGGCTTTTTATTCTCCAGGATTGATATTTTGATACAGATTAAAAGAAATCTAATCAGGGCCTGCACACCACAGCCACCTGCAATTCTCTTTAGTACAAGATGGGCAAAGTGCAATCTTAGGGCTGCATATGGCCCGCAAGATTTAATTGTCTACAGCTCCAAACTCTCCTTTTCTACAAAACAGAGGATAAAGTACTTCTCCAAGAAGCTTCCAGGAGTAGCAGATGACCTTTTAAATAGGTTGTATTCCCTCCAAACTATTGAACAGGAAATGCACTTTTCCCTCCGAACTATTTCCCTTCAAACTATTTAACAGGAAATATACTTTTCAAAACCAGAAGTGGTAATTTGTAGGCTAACCTTGGGGGATTATGAGGCAAAAATTAGCCCCGAGACTTGCAAAAATTGCCCACTCCACATCCCCTTGAGTGAAAAGAATCCAAAGACAGTTACAAGCAGGTTGACAAACACCCACAAAGCAAGTGATAAAATATGTGTTTTGCTTGCCTAATTACTAGTCTTGTGCATTTGTATAGAATCACTATCAGTTTGTTTGTTTCATTTGTATGGCTCCGTTTTCATGCACTGTTTCTGAAAATGGGTGCCTTTCCAAATTGGCGTTTTTGTTCTGCATCGGAAAGAATGAAAAATCTTGGACCACTAGAGGCGATGGATGGGAGGGTTTCCCAGGCTCCTTTCCCCCCTCAGTTTTAGGGCTAGAGGAGTGAAAATCACCACACATGGACACCATATCTACCACTTTTAGCCCACCAATTTGGTTAAACTCCTTTGAAGGTGACACTATGACACCTTTTCCCAACCCTGTGGCTGTTTTTCTTAAAAGGTATTACAGATGCGATTTAACTATTCCTGGAAATGCAGACCAGGTACAGAAATAGACAGAAGATTTGATAGAAATATAGTGATTTTCAAAGGTAGAGAAATTATTCAATTGAAGACCAACAATAACTTTCCTTTGAAAACTATTTTTTAAAAAAAAAAAAAATCAAGAGGCAGAATACCCACAAGGAGAAAATATATTAAACTCCTGTCCCCCCCCCCCCTTTGTGGGGGTTGAACTATTTCGTGCCATCTGAATGAAACAAATTGAATGAAAACACAAAATAAATGGATGAAACGGTAACCAGGCCTACAACTACTAATTACCCTTACAAATGGTGAACCGGCCGATTGTGAAAATTAAGCAATGGATCAGATAAATGTGATACAACATTAACTAATTGCTGCAGCAGTTCAAAGGCATTTTGGGAACTGGATGTGCAGAATGGATCACCACCGCTAGCTCTCATGTTTAAAACTAGAATAAATGAAGCAACAACCAAACACCAACTCCCACAGAGCAATACAAAGCCAGAGTTACATGTAACAATATTTACCAATCCCGAAGTGTTCATTCCACATGGTGTGAAGCCCAATGGTAGCATCTGCCAGATTCTTCTTTAGTTCTTCAAACGAAATGTTTACTTTGAATTCCACTCTATTTCCAATGCCCAGCTCTTGACAGAGCTTCTTAAGTTCATTTACACGTTGGTCATCTTCGTAGTTACGGCAGCCCCCAATCAGAATGAGTTTTGGCTGTGGCTGCTGACCTGCAGTCTTTGCTAGAAAGTTAGCAAAAGCTCTGATTTGTAGAGAATGGTCTTTTTCTGGCCTAAATTGGCTCACAGAAACAATGGTTTGTTCTAAAGTGTTGTCTTCCTCACGTAAAGGAATATCCAGGAATGTCTGAACATCACAAGGCGGATATACAATGCTTGTGCGATCGCTGCACCGCCAAAGGGACAGGATGTGATTGAGGGTCCATGAAGAATTAACCATGACAACATCACTGCAGGATCCCACAAAACCATATATGGAAGCAAAAATGTAGTAATATACAAGTTTCAGCTTACTTAGGACAGGATTTCTTGTAATGACGGCTGCATTATTAAAGCGAGCACTTTGATTTCTAACCACAGAAAGCATATCAGTACTGATTGTGGGATAGTGAACGTAACAGCCTACCCGGCAACCTCCTAAATATTTAAAAAGAGGAACTGTAAAGGCATAGCCCATGGAATCAATATAAACATCAGGGATACACTTCATAAGAGCTTCCCAGCCAAGAAACAGCGATCCTAAACTCTGTCCCAGCAGAGTAAAATAGGGGTAAAGGGACGCCTCCACCAAGTAGCGTCTCCTCAAGAATACAAACTTCACAGGTTGATTTAATCTGATGTTGAATCGTCTTTGTGCTCCTTCAAGGATACTGTCAGCTGTGGCAGTGTCACCAGTATAGACAACATAGGAAACGTCTTTGTACCTGGAAAATAAAATGCAATTTACTCTTCAGACCTTATCCTAACAGGAAAAAAAAAATCATGTGTAACCACCATATCTGTCTCTCAGCCTTTATGCTCATTTTTAAATGGCGGTGAAATTCAGTGTTATGGTAATTATGTGGAACACTGGATTAGTTATTTCCAATCTCTACAAAAAGGGAACAATTAAATGTGCCAGTAAAAATACTGAAAGGTGGTTAAGGTCATGTTTTAAATATAAGGATTGACTTTGTTGAAACTTTTGTGATCTAGATTTTTCTTTCTATTCAAGAATTTTTGATCAGCAATTTTGATGTGTAATGCAACATATAAGTAGTGAGCAATACGGAAAAAACTTCCCACACACCTAGCAATGACAACTTTTAACAGTTTCTCCCAAAGACATTCTGAGGCCCCTTCCACACAGCTGTATAAAATCCGCATTGAACTGGATTATATGGCAGTGTGGTCTCAGATAACTCAGTTCAAAGCAGATATTGTGGATAATCTGCCTTGATATGCTGGGTTATATGGCTGTGTGGAACGGCCCTGAAATTTCTCTACTAAACCTGGATCAGTCTTTCAGACTGATTGTTTAACCCACTTCTTAAATAGTTAACTGACTCCATAGACATTGCCTCTGCAAGAAATCAGGCATCTGAGTAATAGGAATCTAAGAGGAGTCAACCTTCTCCTGTTACTGCTGCCACTACATTTACTCCCACTGTTCGCACTATGATAATAAAGTTAATGAATTTTAGGTAATGGTTTTAGTTGAGGCACATCCTCTTTAGCCCAGTTTGTTGTTTCACTAAGACCTTCCCAGAGAGTGAAAGTGTTAAGGCAAACATACATATAAATATACATGTATTACGATGCAAAAATAAAACATGTACTTACCTTTTCTGCAAGGCCCTTAGAGCACACCATAACACTCGCTCCCCTCCGCCCCCTGCATTGCAATATGGATGAAAAAAAGCAACTACAAGTGGCGTTTTCCCATCTTTCCCAGGTGGATTTAATTGCTTTTTTCTTTGTTGAAACCACAGCTGTAGACCACACAACAGCATGAACAGACACAGACATAGCACCCCACTTAGGATCAATGCAGGGATCAGCAGTGAGTACAGCAATCTGAAATAAGAAGGACAAAGTTTGAGTACAGCAACAAATCTAAAAGGAAAAAATACATTTGATGTTGTTAGTGGTCTTTACC